AACGGTATTGTCGTGGTTACTAAAAATATTATTTTCTGTGAAAATCATTCAGAATGCTACTTCTCCCATTTTTCAAGTCTGATTACAATATAATATGGCACATAAGTTGACTACACTATGATACATAATTTTATTTATCGGTTTTTGATTTAGATGAACGTTGTTGCCAATTACTAAAAATAGAAAATTTTTAAAAATACATTGTACATTCAAAATACTACTCCTCCTACAGTTTTTATGTCTGATTTTGATATAACTTGGCACACAAGCAGACTACACTGAGATGCATAATTATCAGTTTTGTGTTTTTGATTTTTGATTTTGATGACTTATGTTGCCATAGTAATTTAAATTGAAAATCCTGTAAAATTTTATTAAAAGCTACTCCTACAGTTGTAGTCTAATGGCAATCTTGCCTCAAAAAGAGACTTAATCAAGGATCATTATATTCTATTTATTGCTTTAAATCTTTACTGCTACTTTTCTCTTTCTTTATTATAAGTAAAAACCAGTAGAGCTACAGTCTAGACAGAGACTTCTGGTTTAGATTTTATTTTAAATCATTCTGATAAAAAAAATGCTGAAAATGTTGAATTAATCAAACAAAGACTTGTACTAGAACAGCATTAGGGATTTTTGTCAATATAATTAAAATCAAATGTTAGATCTGCGCGCGTATTGGCTAAAATCTAGTCCGAAAATCTGACGTTTTCCTATGGCACGCCAAATTCACAAAAATGAGATAAACCTAGTTTCACAATTGATAAACTAGGTTTAACGATTGTAAACTATAGTTAACGATTCGTAAACTATAATTAACGATTCGTTAAGTATAGTTTTCATCTGTAAAACTATATTTAACGGTCGTTAACTATAGTTTACGAATGATAATCTAAGTTTATCTGTCTGAATAAAGCGTTAACAATAGATTTTGTTGATAAACATAGATTCACGTTTGTAAACTATAGTTTACACTCGTAAACTATAGTTAAGAGTTGTTAATCATAGTTTCACAAATCGTGAAACTATATTTATCAGATCGTTAACTATAGTTAACGGTTTGTAAACTATAGTTTACAAATCGTGAAACTGTATTTATCAGATAATCTATGTTTTGCAATCGCAAATGATAGTTTTCGGTGTTAAGTATAGTTTACGGTTGTGAAACATAGATTATCGCGATAACTATAGTTTACAGATGTAAAATATAGATAAACGTTGTCAACTATAGTTTACAGTCCGTAAACTATAGTTTACAACCGATAAACCTAGTTAATCGATTGTGAAACTATGATTATCTCATTTTTGTGAATTTGACGTGCCATATTTTCCTGGCTTTTTTTTACGATTTTGATATTTTACATGCCTGGCATGTAAAATATCAAAATCGTAAAAAAGCCAGGAAAACGTCAGATTTTTCAGACTAGCTAAAATCTAACAACATCTTGTAGAGTGTCACGTCAGAGGTCAAATTCTATCAACAAATCAAAAAGTCGACTGCAAAATTATCGTATTTTAATTTTTTTAATATATTGAAACGAATAAGTCAATAGTTGTTGCGTATTTGATATCTGATGGGATGTTCTTAGATGATGTGTAGCGAGTATGCGAGAGGATCAATCATGCTATTTTACTTAGGTTGCGATTTTGTTAAACTATATTTATATATTTTCAGTAGATTCGAATAACTGATGAGCAGGTCAATTCAACTTGAACATGATATCATTTCTCCAAGGATGAAATAAGTATCTCTGTACTCAAGCATTGATATTTCTAAACTGAAACTGAAACCGGTCATACATGCAGACTACTGGTCCACTAAATCAAAAGTTATGGACAAGGTTAAAGTTTTTGCAGACAGACAAACAGCTAAACAGACAGACGGATGGACATGACAAAACTATATACATGTATATATCCCTGAAACTTCGTTTACGGGGGCATAAAGATACGTTTTACATAGTAAATACATAGAAAATAAATGTAATATTGTTTATAAATGTATTTTCAGGTACTGTTGGACTTGAGTTCGTAGTTATTATGCCCCCGTAAACGAAGTTTTGGGGGTATATAGTTTTTGTCTTGTCCGTCCGTCTGTCTGTCTGTCTAGTTGTCTGTATGTCTGCCTATCTGTTTGCCCGCAAAAACTTTAACCTTGCCCGTAAATTTTGATTTAGTGGAGCCATGACTTTCATATTTCACATGTGTATTCCTTGTGACAAGACATTTTGTTGGGTACCACAAAATTTGACATTTTGACATTGACCTTGGAATTTGACCCACTTTTACATGAAAATTTAAACTATTTCTTTGGCCATATCTTTTTAACAGTTTAAACCAGGACCTTTATACTTTACATATGTATTTTTTGTTGAAAGAACTTTCACTGGATGCCAACAACCTTGAACCTTTGACCTTGACCTTGTATATTTCCGTACTTGTGAAAGAACTTTAACCTTGGTAATAACTTTTGAAAGGTAAGGGATAGGGCTTTTATACTTCAAAAGTGTAATTCTCGTGAAAAGACCCTTTATTGGATGCCAAAAACTGTGACCATTTGACCTTTACCTCTGAGTTTGACCTACTTTAAAAAGCAATTACTGACCAAAACTTTTAAAGGGTTAAGGTTAGTGTTTTCATACTTTACATATTTAATCCTTGTGACAAGACCTCTCATTTGATAACAAGAACTTTGACCCTTTGACCTTGCAGTTTGACCTACTTAAAAAAAAACAACCTAGGCCATAACTTCTGAACGGTTAAGGTGAGGGCTTCCATATTTGCGTATTCTATGTGACAAGACCCTTCATTGGATACCAATTACCTTGACCTTTTAACATTGGCCTACTTTCAAATTTCACAAATGTTTTCCAGTGAGAAAACCCTATTTTTGGTACCAATTAATTAAATTTGCATTTAGCAAAAGTTTAATCTTTGCTATGTTGCCATACGGGGGCATCAGTGTTGTTTCACAAACACATCTTGTTTGGTGATCGAATTGTTTTGATTAATTTTTACAGTTTATAATTTTATATACTTTTATTGCCAGGGGTATACAAGTTTTGAAGGCCTGAGTTATTATAACCCCATTTAATAATTTAACGAGATTCACACACATATACCGGTATATGAAGCTTGGAAGTACATTGTATTTTAAAAGAACACAGTTGATTCAAAATCTGTTTTTACTGGGCACTCCACAAATTAACCAGTAATTACGGAGTAAGTATGTGATTATTCTTCTTGATTGCGACAAATATTTGGGGCTAAAAAAAGTTTCAGAAACAAGGAAGACAAGATGTGTTTGTAAAACACAAATGCCTGCGTATGGTAACATAACGAAGGTTAAGCTTTCTCAAATGTAAGACCTTTTCACAAGAAATACAAATGTGAAATATGACACACTATCACCACCTGATCAAAGGTTATGACCAAGGTTAACGTTTTTAAAGGTAAGACAAACTCTGGGGTCAAGATCAAAGGGTCAAAGTTGTTGGTTTCTAAAAATAGACATTGTCTCAAAGATTACATATGGGAAGTATAAAAGTTATGGCCCTTACCGTTCAAAAGATATAGCCAAGGTTAAGGTTTGTTATAAGTACATGTAAGTCAAACTTCAAGATCAAGTTTAAAGGGTCAAAGTTGTTGATATCCGATGGAATATCTTGTTCAAGAATTACATATGAGTAGTATGAAAGCTCTATCCCTTACTGTTTAAAAGTTATGGCTAAGGTTAAAATTTGTAAAAAGTAGGTCAAACTCCAAGGTCAAAGTGTAAAAGATGTTGATATCCTTGAAAGGTCGTTTTACAAAGATAACATTTATGAAATCTGAAAGCCCTAGCCCTTATCGTTCAAATGTTATGGTCAGGGTTAAAATTTTATCGTAAGTACGGAAATGTCCACAATAAAGGTCCAAAGGGCAAAATTGTTGGTTTCAAACGAAATTGCCACAAAGAATTAATATTTGAAACGTTTAAAAATGAGTGCAAAAGTAAAAGTTTGTATTTTTGTGTAAAAATGAGTCAAACTCTAAGGTCAAAGGGTCAAGGTTCTTGAAATCAAATGAAAGGGCTTGTCATGGTTCCTTTTGGTTCCTTGTGGAACATAGAGCTTAGGTAACAGTTAAAAAGGCTGGTCACCAGGATTAAATATGTGAAGTACGAAAGCCCTAACCCTTCAAAATTATGTCCAAGGTTGTGTTTGAAGAGTAGGTCAAACTCCAAGGTCCAAGTCGAAGGAACAAAGGTCTTCGTATCCAATAAAGCGTCTTCTGACAAGGATAACATAAATGAAATCCTAATTCTTAACATTCAAAATTATGTCCAAGGTTTTATTTGAAGAGTAGGTCAAACTCCAAGGTCAGAGTCAAAGAATCATAGGTTTTCGTATCCAATAAAGCGTCTTCTCACAAGGATTACATACCTGGTGTGTGAGGTATGAAAGCCTTAGCCCTTACTGCTCAAAAGATATGTCCATAGTATAAGTTTGGAATTTTGTGTAAAATAGGGTGAAACTCTGAGGTCAAGGTCAAGAGGTCAAATTCGGTGGTACCCAAAGAGAGTTCTTGTTACAAGGAATGCAAATTCAAAAATTATGGGCAATGTTAAAGCTCTTGCAGACAAACAGACAAACAAACGAACGGACAAACAATATACTTAGCTTAGTACCCAAGAAACTACGTTTACAGAGTCAAAAAATACTTCGTTTAAAAACAAAACACTGAGTAATATATACAATAGACATACATGGAAATTTATGTACGGCATAGAAGTACTTAAAAGGCAAACTGCTCCATAAACTGTAACCTGGGACGGCGGCGCCGAGAGTATCACATATAAAGTTCCCCCTAACTTCGTTGAGGTCAACTAAAAATTAAAGAGAGCATGAATTATTCCCTGTCCAAAGAAAAAAGGAACACAGAAGCCGCCTAAAAATATCAAGCAGAAAATAACCCAGTATATCTTTGAATTGTTTTCAGATGCTTTTTTGCATTAACAAATGACGACAAGAAATCAGCCTGATGACAAAAAATACACATGTGTGGATCCAGAGGGAGTGGGGGTGGGTGGGTGGGGGAGTCAGAACCCCCCCCCCCGGAATTTACACGGTTAAAAAATGTCTATACTAAAGAAAAAAGTGTTACCATGGACCCCCCTGGTAAACGCGAATATATGTGATATGGGTATGAAAAGTGAAAGATTTGAGGCAATAGAAGTCATAGACTAAAACCCCAGTCACATTTCCAAAAACGACCAACGGCCGACGGGTTTCGAAGCAAAAGTGGGATTCTGCGGGTGGCAGTCGTCAGTTCATCGGCCGTTGTCTTGCCCGATTTTGACCATTTTTTTTTGTCGGCCGACCAATTTTGTGTCCATCGGTCCAAGTTATAATTTTTTAAGCATCGGGGGCCGATTCCTTCAATTGAAGTTATCCGTCGACCAACCTTCGATCATCGTTCGACCATCGGTGGTCAGTTTATTAAGTCGGTCGTCCGTCGTTGGACAAAAAGGGTGTTTAAAATTTCGGCCGATGGTTAAAATCAAACTGTAGCTCAGAGCTCGGACGACGATTGGCCGACTTGTGATTATTTAACCTGGTAAGAAAACATAACACAAACAAAATTTTGATGCATGGATTGAAATAAAATTTTTGAACGGAAATAACATGAATAATTAATCCGTAAGATATAAACAAATCTTAAGCATTCTTTGCTGCTTAGATATGCACCATTTGTCGTTTTTATGCAATTTCATACAAAATTTTGCACACATTTTCAACATTGAGTAACAATTTTATAAGATTCTGCCACTTAGCCTTGCAAACATTACTCACGTCACCTATCTGAATATAGAACTATGAAAACATATTGCTGAATTCTAAAGAAAACAGATTTTTTGTGTTATTTATCCAAATTATCGGTGTCCCTAGGAATTAATGTGACTGCTCAGTGTCGACCGATACTGTATCGGCCGATAATGTTCTTTCAGCCGACAAGATCAAAAAAATTTAGTCGCCCGACCATCGGCTTAAATGTGACCTAGGCATAACCCCCCCCTCTCATCCCAAACGAAATAGGTTTTTGACGTTTGGGCGAGTTTAGGTTTTTTCCTGCTTGTCAAGAAATTTCTGGGAGTGGATCCCCCCCCCCCCCCACCACCTGGAAAAAATTTCTGGATCCGCGCCTAAATACATGTACACAGCTGTTTGACCAATTTTTTTCTTTGTTTCTTTAGAGCTACATTATATGTACATAGTTAGCAAAATTGCAGGAACAAGGTCATCTTCGCTAGCCAAGGGTTTTTATGGGGAGCGGTGCGGACCGAAAACTCTTGGCTTGCGAAGATGGGACAAGGTGATCAGACCATACATGACTCTTTTTACGCTAGGAACGTGACATAATGTCGTCAAAAAACACGTTTTGTGATCAGTCAGATTACTGTACCTTGTCTTTTTGCATCGCACATTAATATGCGACGAAAAAGGATGAGGTGGTCCGACTGTATCTATGACGTCACTTAAACGTAACAATCAGTGTGACGCAACAATCATAACTACAACAAAAAGCGGAGACGAGAGGCAAAACACGGAGGTAAAAGTCACCCAGATATTTGTCTTTTTAGATCAAAACAGTGTCATACATTAGGATATTCTGTTTCAAACACGTGTAAGAAAATTAGGTACTTTTATCATGATAATATGTTTATTTTCTTTTCGTAGAAGAAGAAAAATCATGGATTTCAACAAAATTTTGGATTTTGGAGATACCCCCGTTGCAGATGTGGTAAGTTCACTTAAATTCTCTCCTACGTAATGTTTACATTCATAACTTTATTGGAGCCCAAACCTTAATTTGAAAATGTCAAAAAATATATCCAATGCCGAGTATTTTAGTTACTCAGTATTTCTGTGGTAAATAACTTTATTATTCTGGATTTCCCTAGCATCTAAAATTATGAATTATAATCCCGAGATCTGGCCAATACCCTCTTGTTTTTATATTGTCATACGGTTCTCAAATCTCTCCATAGTCAGATATCATTTAGGTGGTTGTTTTGTGTTTTAATGTTTTATTTTGTTTTCTCTTGCTGGACAAAAATGCACTCCTGTTAGATTTGGCTTTTTACAGACCTTCCAGGCCTAAAGCAAGCAGTTTCAATTGGGATGGAGGGGGGGGGGGGGGGGGGGGAGGTATGCACAACTTAACATATTTTGGTTGGACATTACAAAGTAAAAAAAAAAATCCTTGACATGCAATATATATATTGTAATATTTATCGGGTCATCAAAAGTAATTATTGAGGGGTACATTCATTCTTCCCTAAAGTGGTTATATCTGCCCATTATTTATGGTTAAAAGGGAGGGGGTCCACTTAGGTGTTAGTTTAGGTTTGAGGTTAAGTGTTTGAGTTTTTGGCAGCATTTCTCCTTATCTCCCATGTGTATAGATATTTTGAGATATAGGTAGGGTAGGGTCGTCATGTTTCAGGTTCTTGTATGCCCACTTTGCATTCTGTCAATCATTTCAATTTGCTGATCAAATAAATATTTTCAGGACACAAAACTGAGGATATTAAAGTTCGATTATTCATGGAGTGATGCTGTTGAGGAGGAAGAGAGACGTGTGGAGGTACAGAATAGAAATTATCTCTGTATAAGTTATATATAGAAATTATCTATGTATTTGTTATATAATAGAAATTATTTGTGTATTAGTTTATATATAATAGAAATTATCTATATATAGGTTATATACTAGTAATAGAAATTATCTATGTATAATTTATATAATAGAAATTGTGTATGTTTAAGTTACAGAATAAAAATTATCTATGATTAAGTTATATAATAGAAATTATCTATGTTTAAGTTTCATAATTGGCATTATTTATGTATATTAAGATACTATACATAGGAAATTTTCAATGTATAAGATAAATATATGGGAAATTATCTATGTTTTAGTTTACCAGAACTTTCATGTCTTTACATTTATAGAAAAATACCCCCTTTTTGAGTAATTGTAGGTTGTCATGTCAATAAATTTTGTGCCAATGGTTTTTTTTTATATAATTTTGTCTAAGAAAATGAAGTTGATATACATTTCCATGCTGATGTTTCATATATCCACATTTTTTTGTCTTGAAGGAGGAACAAAAGCAAAAAATACAGATGGAGAAAAAGTTTGAGAAAAAAATTGCAGAGAAGAAAAATTACAACACAAATGACAACAGGTATGGTCATGCAATAACTGACCCCCAAATAACTATTCCAATATGCTATGTGTTCTGTTGTCAATGTTTGGTGGTACATTTAATGACAGGCTTTATAAAATATTGTAGTCATCTGTATTTTTGTAGATTTGCAACACCTTTAGATTTTGGAGATGAGGCAGTGAAAAATTGGGTAAGTACAAGTATTGAGAATCTGATTTGTATCTTTTCAAATACTCAACACATATTGTTGCAAAAACATTTTCATTTCCAATGTCTTTGTGCGAGATAAAACTACAAAAAAGATAATGACTTTATAACCCCATACAGAGATTTGCTAAGCACACAACACAACTTATTGCTTTTTTGCTGCATGTTGCTTAGTAATACACCTGTTGGGGATGCTGAGATTTTCTACTAAAAGCTATTATTGAATATTATATAACTGAATCAAGGATCAGGTAAAAATTTAAAATATAAGGAATAACTGTCTGTCTCTTTGTTTTTATTATGATGATCAATCAATTTGCTCCAGTGATAATTTTACATAAATTCTTTCAGCGTATATGCAAATTATCATGGAAGCGAATGGATTGATTGCATCAGTTTTTGCTAAATAATACCCATCAGACAGGAATATTTTGATAATCAATGTTTGTACATGCAGGTACATCAAAACATGTTAAGTCCAACTTTATATAATTTGCAGGTTTTCATGCATTTGAAGAAATAAATAAATAATACATGTCTATATGTTTAACATGTTTTTCTATTTTGTTCTGTATTTAGGAAACAAAGCTCCAGATCCTCAAGTTTAGTTATAGCTGGGCAGATCAGGTTGAAAAAGAAGAAAAAGCAGCAAGTCAGGTAACATTTCTGCTAAATGAATCAAATTTCAAATTATAATACCACTCTGACATGCATTTGGGATTATTTTCATACATTTGATATGGCAACTCTGACATCCCAATTACCATTTTATTTGTGTAGGAGGCAAAACCTGCAGAGAACAGAGTTCCAAAGGAAGAAAATAAAACAAATAATAGAAGCTTTGGAAAAACCCTGACAAAAGATGAAGTAAACTTTCTTTTGGAGGGAAATAAAAACTCTCCAAGGGGGTTAGTCACTTTTTTAAACTTTTGACATTGTAAAATAAATATTAAAATCTTTATGGTGTTTATCAGTACCCTGCAATATTTTTCCACAGTAATAATTTAAATATCTGAGCCATAAATAATTGTATACCTCAAGGATGATGCACTTAACTTTGAAAATATGTATTTGAATTTTTTTTAACTACTTTAATTTATGGCAATTAAATATATACATGATATATAAGCTTGGAAACTTACTTAATTTAATCAATTACAGGAGGCTAAAAGCTTTCATAAGAAAGCGGAGAGAAGAAGAAGAAGCCAAGGCCTGTATCAACGAGGAAAACAAAACAAAGACTTCTAGAAATGGTGGAACCCTGACAAAAGACCAGGCCATTGCAAAAAAGTCTCCTAGGGGGTTAGTCACCTTTTTCAGTTTTTAGGTCACCTGAGTAAACTCGGGTGACCTATTGCTATTCGTTGTTGTCGTCTTCGTGCGTCGTCTGTCATGCGATAACATTTGAACATTTTCAGCTTCTTCTCTGAAACCGCTCAACCAATTTCAACCAATTTTGGCACTAAACATCTATGGGTAAAGGGGAACATAAATTGCGAATTTCATGGTCCCTGCCCTCCCTTGGGGCCTGGGGGTGGGGCCAAAACCACTAAAATTAGTGCAATTGTAGAAGTTCGGGCTTTACGGACCGTGGATATCGGCCTGGATAGCTCAGTGGTTAGAGCACCTGACTAGTAATACAGGGGTCCCGGGTTCGATTCCCGGTCCAGCCATATGTTTTTCTTCGTGCATTTCTCCTTTCCTACTACATTTGGTGGCCAGTGTGGGGGGCTTTGTTCAGGTTTCAGTGTATGTGTAAATTAGTAATTCCTGGCAGGGCCCTAGAACTTGTGTCTTCGAGGTCGAAGACTGTTTAAAGAGGGAGGAATGTAGAAGTTCGGGCTTTATGGACCGTGTATATCGGCCTGGATAGCTCAGTGGTTAGAGCACCTGACTAGCAATACAGGGGTCCCGGGTTCGATTCCCGGTCCAGCCATATGTTTTTCTTCGTGCATTTCTCCTTTCCTACTACACAATCTTTAAAAATCTTCTATGAATCTGGACATCAAGCAATCAAACTGTTGGCATGATTGTGATCAGCATTGAGTCCTCTACCAAAATTGTGAAATCCATGGCTCCAGGGACAGGGGTTCTAGTGCTAGGGTGGGGCTAAATAGGCTGTATAGTGAAAATGCATTATTTCTTTGCAAATTTTCTTTTCTGCTCCTGGGCATTAAATAACCTAACCAAGTATATAGTTATGTTGAATAAGATTGCCTCTTCCAAAATTGTGAATTTCATGAGCTCAGGGTCAGGGGTTCTGGTGTTAGGGTGGGGTTCTGTTGATTATATACTGAAAATGCATAAATTCTTTAAAAATCCTCTCATATGTTCCTGGGTATAAAACCAATGAACTGTGTATATAGTTATGATGAGGAAGGATGCTTCTTCCCAATTTATGAATTTCATGACCCCTGGGTCAGGGGTTCTGGTGTTAGGGTGTGGCTCTATAATGATTATATAGTGAAAATGCATGAATTCCTTGGAAATCTTTTCCTTTGCTCCCTGGTATAATGCCAATGATTTAACTATATATTTATAATGAAGAAAGCCTGATGTTTCCAAATGATTAATTTCAGAGCCCCTGCATTAGGGGTACTGCAGACAGGGGTAGGGGGTTACATATCCTGAAAATATAGTAATGCTTTGAAATCTGCTCTTTGATATCAATCACCCATTTCGGATAAAATGAAATTTATAAAATTTCCAAAATGTTGAAATATGTGGCCCCAAGGTCAGTGGTTCTTCTGGGTTGGTGTGCACAACTGGTGGTTATAAAGTGGAAATGCATTTTCTCTCTGTTACTCTGATCTGCCTTTGGGTATTAAGTAACCAAAATAAGCATGCTAAGTGTAAAGTTTTGATAAACAATGGTGCCTTTTTCAAAATAGTGAATTACGAGGCTTTTGGTTTAAAATAGTCAAACCAAATTCAGTTGTTGGAGAATTGTTACATGTTCCTTAGGTGACCTATAAGGCCCGTGGGCCTCTTGTTTTTTTCAGTTTTGACATTGTTAAGTAAATATATTATTTGCATAATTAAGGGTTTTCCTCCCTTTCTTTCAATTAGTACTTTGATATATATTTATACCCCTCGCTTGAAAAGTGGGAGGGTATACTGTAATTGGAATGTCTGTCCGTCTGTATAGCAGTCCATCTAAATGTCTTTCTGTCCATCCATCTGTTACGTTTTGGGGTACCCATCTCTTATCTGAAACTCCTCATATACTACTGAGTGAAATTTAATGAAACGTTCACAGAATCTTTATGACATATTTCCAATGTCAACCTCCTATTTTAGTTTTTGATCGGACACATATTTCGGGTTTCCATAGCAAAACATGGACACTGCCTTTTTATACATATGGGAGGCGGGGGTATCATATAGTGAGCTCATTGCTCACAATACATCAATCCTGATACTAAAACCTAGGAAAATATCGATATGGATTTCTGACATATAACTTAATTTTAAGCTTGCAAACTTATTTTAAATAATTTATTTATTTACAGAAAGCTAACAGCATTTATCAAAAAACACAAAGAAAGGGAACTTGCAAAGGCCTTGATTGAAAGAGAAAACATAAAGAAAGTACAGGTAAAATGATCATTTCTTTATTAGACAACTGTGATTTACTTGTTTAAACTTTTTCTGAAAGCTATTTGAATGGAATAAGAACCAAAGTTACAATAATAAGATTATTATTGAGTATAATACAAACAAAATGGTAAACAAACCATTTCTTCCATTATTTAAGGCTGCTGATTTCACAAAACAGAAAGATGCAGTGAATACGGAAAAGGCATTAGATCAAGAAGCTTTTGGAGATGAGAAGGAATCCCCTGTTCTAGAGACTCCAACATTTGGAGATGAGAAGGAATCCCTTGTTCTAGAGACTCCAACATTTGGAGATGAGAAGGAATCCCTTGTTCTAGAGACTCCAACATTTGGAGATGAGAGGGAATCCCTTGTTCTAGAGACTCCAACATTTGGAGATGAGAAGGAATCCCCTGTTCCAGAGACTCCAACATTTGGAGATGAGAAGGAATCCCTTGTTCTAGAGACTCCAACATTTGGAGATGAGAAGGAATCCCCTGTTCCAGAGACTCCAACATTTGGAGATGAGAAGGAATCCCTTGTTCTAGAGACTTCAACATTTAGAAATGAGAAGGAATCCCTTGTTCTAGAGACTCCAACATTTGGAGATGAGAAGAAATCCCTTGTTCTAGAGACTTCAACATTTAGAGATGAGAAGGAATCCCTTGTTCTAGAGACTTCAACATTTAGAGATGAGAAGGAATCCCCTGTTCTAGAGACTCCAACATTTGGAGATGAGAAGGAATCCCCTATTCCAGAGACTCCAATGGATGTGAAGAAAGATAGCCATAAACCGGAAGAGCTCTTGATGGATGAAAAAATAGCAACACCAATTGGAGATACCGAAGTCTTAGAAGTCAACAAGGATCTGAAGATAACACTTGAGGTATTAAAACACAGCATTCACATGTATTTGCAGATGAATTATGAATTACAATTAGGCAAAAGAGATTTGTAAAAATTCCTATTCATTTACACTTTTAATGTTCTTTCTATAATTTTTGAAAGTTGTTAAAATATTTTTGTTAACTATCACTTTCAGCTTTTGAATAAGGATGATGATAAGTATGGTGATGATGAAGATGACATTGCTGATGATGATGATGATGATGACTGCTTATTTGGGCCAAGAAAGCTATTCTTCTTTGGCATAGATTATTTTAAGGTAAAGCAAATCTTCATTATTTCATAACTTTCTCAATTTGTATAGTGAGAGCCTGAGAGGAGGAAAAATATTTTATTTTTAGTGACAATGTAAATTATTAAATTTACATCAATATCTTTATTGTCTTTACAAATATTTCAAAGACTTCCAATCAACCGAAATGAAAAAAAAAATGTCACCCCCTTCCATCCTAATGTTTAATAAAGTTCAGTTTAATTAACATAGTAAATAAAACTGATTAAATTCAATTCTTGTTAAAATATTTCATTAATGATTTTTTTTCCTAATTTTTCATCTGATACAGGATGCTGGAAAAGCTGTGTGGTGAAAAGAAGCAAGAGAGAAAGAATGGAACAGATAAAACTTAACGAAACTACTTAAGAAAGAAAGAAAGACTTAAGAAATTTTTTTCTCACAAAAATAAAATTTATACCAGAACTAAAGGTTTTTTTTTTCATTTTAAAGACATGTGTAGAGAAGCATCATTGATAGGTCCCTTGCAAAATCTTCCATGCAGTGAATGATGAAGCAAATCTGTACTGGATGTACATGTACTAGTATGACAAATAAAGTTATGTATGAAAATAATCAGACATTTTGAGGACCAATTTATATTTCAATTGATATGTGTGCAACAACTCTGTTGTTGAACTCAAAGTAATCTGAAGGTAAATGGACAAATTGACTGCAATTTTTTCTATCTAAATTGGAAAGACAAAAATATCTTGATCAACATCAAGTAAATACAATTACATAAAAACAATAGGTCCAAGGGCTTTGACAATCATTTGAGTTAATCTAATGGATCCAAAGAAGTATAAAATAAAATAAAACTGACAGATGAAGCTATGAAGCCCAAAACCAAGAGGAAAAGGTTGACAAGGGCTCAGCAATATAATGAGTCAGGAGAGCTGAAGGATCATGAACACATCAAATAAACACGGACAGGTCCTCGTGAAGGAACTAGCAAAATCTTAGTTTTCCAACAAAATGGCTTTAAAAAATACACAATAAAAACATGTTCATGTATTTTTATTGTAATGGTACAAGGTTCAAATAACATATATTGTATCCATCTCATTAAGAAATCCGCCAACAGTAATTATATGTATTATAAAAACAAAATTCAAGGGAAGTAACCAGGTTACAACCTAATGTCAGAATTGTAAATTGAATACTCAATAAAATCCAGTATTAAAGATAATATATTTATGTTTTGCCTCAACAAAATCCACTGATTAAAGATAAGTATTTGTAGCAATTTGTTTCTAGTTATTTTCATTATCCCCTAATTACAACCACATTTAAACTAAGTCAATGCATTCATAACATTTGTAGAAAAAAAAATTAAGAACAATCAATTCAAAGACTATGTACATGTAACTTTTACATTAAACTGTCTTCTGGTTATTTAAGCTTGAATTCTTGTAGATAATTTCATGAATTTGAATTTCACTCCTAACGAGAAATGATATGACAATATTGCAAGGAAAGGAAGGGGAGACAATTTATATAAGAAAAAAAGGGGAGTAACTCTTGCTGAGGTAATATTTGGAATTTATGAGATTTTCCAGGTGGTCTCTGAACAGATCAGAAAGAATCACAAGTGCAATATTTGAGATTGTTTAACCATTTTAGATTTAATTTTATGCTTTATTTTCATGCTAAGCACGATTCCCCTTCCATCCTTGATTAAACAATTTTCAGAGGAAACGGCAAAATGCACTTTTACTTTACAAAAAAAAACCAAGATTTGCACCGGTCCCGTTACTTTGTAAAGAATTTGATAAAGCACCATTTTCTGAGTGACCTAATTCTGTATCACAGTCAATGTTGAACTCTGAACTCTGAAGTTTGCTGGGAGAACAGATTGGGGACAAAGTTTCGATGCACTGATCTGTCCCCGAGATCTGTCCATTCTTGGAGAGTTCCTCTGGGGATTTTGTTGTGCTTTTCTCTGGGGATGAACTGTCAAAAAGGGAGGAAGTTAAGACACTGACTGGGGACTTGCCTTCGATGATGTCGGACAATGTTCGGTTTAAGGTGTCGGGATTTTCTAAGTCTTCGTCACTTTCATCGTCACTTTCACTCAAAGAATCATTGCGATATGGTGGTCTTGATACTGAGGAATTATGGGTTAGCCTCAGCTGGAGTACCTAGAGAAACTTGGCAACGAAGGGTCTGTTTGTTAGAACCCAGCACTCTGACTCATCGCCGAATTTTTTCTCATCCTTGTGATGATGACTTTTGTGGCAAACGCTGCAGAGGATACTGTTGCATTCATGACAGTGCTTCAGTTTTCGTACCTCCCTTGCTCCACAAATGTCACATGTCTCTTCTTGCTGTGGCGCGGAATTATAGTAATCGTCAAAGAATTCTTGAACTTCATCACTGTCACTGTCATTTTTTATTATATGTTTCATCAGTGTAATTATATTTTTGTCATGAAATGAGAATTTATAGTAATTCTTTGATAGCCGACGATCATCGTACGCGTACAGCGAGATAGGAACGCTGTTTTCTGTGGTTGTTACATTTTGGACATATTTTCTGTACATCTCCTGGCCATTACGGGAAAACTTGGCAACGAAGGGTCTGTTTGTTAGAACCCAGCACTCTGACTCATCGCCGAATTTTTTCTCATCCTTGTGATGATGACTTTTATGGCAAACGCTGCAGAGGATACTGTTGCATTCATGGCAGTGCTTCAGTTTTCGTACCTCCCTCGCTCCACAAACGTCACACGTCTCTTCTTGCCGTGGCGCGGATTTACAGTAATTGTCAAAGAATCCTTGAACTCCATCTTTCGGAATAAATACGCCCTGCCTGCAGATTGGACACTTAACGGAGGAATCTGAATTTGAAGGGGTGGCGGCTATAATGTTGTCAATACACGGACTGCAGAACGTGTGAGAGCAGGGTAGAATTTTTGGAACTTTATCCGGAGTGGAAAACTGATATGCACATACTGGACAGTTTGAGTCGTTTTGTTGTTGTTGTTCATCCATTTATTGTGACATCGACAAAAACAACAAAATATTATCATATATAAGTGAAACCCCGCACAATGTCCAAATGTTAGTTGTAACTCAGAACAAAATTTTCAACATCTAGTGAAAATTTTCCAAGTTTAAAAATAGCACCTGTTGCAGCTCACAAAGTCTGGAAGTGAATTTAAAAAAAACATAAACAACAACAACAAAAAAACCCCACATTTTTAACAGCATTATATTTGTTCTTAAAACATTTTATTGAAGTAATTGTACATATTGCTTTAATTCATTTTTTATTAAATGTTTCATCAGTGCAATTATATAATTTTTTGTCATGAAATAAGAATTTATAGTAATTCTTTGATAGCCAATATAATTATCCGGAATTAAGGAAGCTCTAAACACTACCCGAACAAAGTTCAACAAAATGACTTTGAAAAATACATACTAAGAATATACTCTTCAAAAAAAAAAAAAAAAAGAAACGCAAGTAGGAACAGTGCCCTGAAAAATGTTTGATAGTTTTATCATACCTTTTATTTTTGTATGGATACGATGTATTCGAGTGAAATGCATGATTTTTTAATGCAATTGTTAACTTTACAGCTATTCTACAAGTCTCACAGACAAAAAGACCTGATTTTGCAAAATTTTCCCCAAAATGTTTATCTCAATTTTCATTTGTTGAATTCGGATGCAATTCCTTCAGGTACAAAGGGGCTATCAAAAGCGGGGGTTCTCTATATATTGAATATGGTTTTATCTGAAAAATGAGGCTTCCTAAAAATGCTGCATCTGAATGTTGCGTTGCAAAAAAAGGAAAATGGGTGACTGGAAGCAGTGGTACTGCAATCTACAATTGCAAGAGATTTTAATGTTACACACAGACAATATCTAACCTATAAAACATAAACCATATATAAACAGCGAACACCCAATGTTCGCAAAAAATATAGTAGACTACGTGTGACATCAGCAGCACAGCATCACTTCCGAGGAATACGTAAATTGCGTGAATGTAATGCAAGGACGTCATCTTAAGCATTAGCTATCTATGAACTGCATAGATCATCTAACAAGACCGTTTTCAGTTGACTATGAATTATTGCAAGAGGATTAATCATGCCATTGTTCCGACCCCACAACGCCCCATATATCGACTTCAAAGATCACAGATCAATAGAGTATGACCACAGCATCACTGCTGAACATTTTGGTTAACCTACTAGTCCAGAATATTTTTATGAAATCTTCTTATAAGTTTAAGAGTGCTAATGCTTTGTAATGAATGTTAGACAGATAACTGCCTCCAAGGCGTTAAAAAAGTTGTTGGTGGTAGTGTAATGATATGGAAAACGGTATTATAAGAATGTAAGATTTATTTGGTTCGAATTCAATGGACTTTGATGGCAAAAGGTACTCTAACCATGTTCTACCTACACATACCCATTCAATTTTGCAGCTTCCTAGAGCCGTATTGCAATCTCACAATACACAGCCACATATAGCTCGTTTGACACACCTATTCTTGCAAAGAACAACAACCTGTTTCAACCACAGTCATCTAAATCGCTAGATTTAATCCAAATTAAGCTGCATTGGACAAAATGAATTGACATGATTTGCCAAAGACAATCGCATCCCCAGACTCTGCAACAGCTGACCAAAGTTCTACATTTGAAGTGGGAGAGTATTCATATACAGTTTTATTATACACATTTGCTTCCATTAGATGCCGTTTGTGGCTATCATTTGTGTCTGCGGGGGCATACCAGATATTGATCTTTAATGGTCGTAAACTGACTATAATTTCAAAATTGTTTGTGTAATAATGACATTAAGATAGTATTCCTGCTGCTTACTACATTATTATTTTATCAATGCATCATTTTACTAAATAACCTTTATTTTCAATGTGTCACTAAAATTCTACTATGCGTTTCTTATTTTGATGAGTATATATTCATAATGGTACAGGGTTCAAATAACATGTATTGTATCCATCTCAGTAAGTATATGTTATCCATCAACAGTAATTATATGTATAATTAAAAGAAACTTCAAGGGAAGTGACCAGGTTACAACCTAATGACAGGCTATTAAGGTATGTTAAGTACGTACCCTACCTACTGATAATATTTCTAGTCATTCTAAATTCAAAATTATAGAACCATTACATGTTCCTAGACAAATAATCAGCATGCGTTACCAGAGGTTTTGAACATATATCAAATTATGAAAATTTTTGCATTATTCAAAGAAAAATATATAAAAATTACGAAACATAAATTTAAGATTTTATAAAAAAGTTGTCATAATTTACAGGTAAACCTCCCAACAGACCATGTGGTTTTATTTCAATGTTTTACAGTTATTAATTAACTTGTTCATATTTATTAAGAATTTTACCGAGAACCCGGGTACTCGATCGGAAAAACGTCCGAGTAACCGAGTATTAAAAATTGACCGATTTGACATCCCTAGATTTTTTCCATCAAAATTTGTTTTAGAAGAGGTATACAATCCATATATAGACATTAAAAATATTGCACACAGGTCCCTCCTGTAGTGAAACTCTTCAACTCGAGGGAAGAGCTCAATAAAATTCAAACTACATTGCCTATGACCTTAAACTGAGTACGCAATAAAATCCAGTGTTGAAGATCAATGTTTATCTTTTGCTAGCAGGTATATATTGGTAGCTATAGGTTTCCAGTTTTTTTTTTGTTATTCCCTAATCACAACCACATTTTAGTCAATGCATTCAAAACAAGAGATGTTTGTAAAACCCCTACCCCCTCCGCCCCCCCCCAACTGAAATTTTTCTAAGTCCAAAAGGGCATAGCTCTGTCAAAAATGGCGAGATCATACCCAAAACAGAACTTGACCTAGATATTTATCTGATAAATCTATATACTAAATTTCATTTCAGTATGTGTAACTTCTAAGAAGAAATTGCAAATAACTGGAATTTTTCTAAGTCCAAGGGGCATAACTCTGTCCAAAATGGTGCAATCGTACCCAAAACAGAACTTGACCAAGATATTCATCTGATATATCTGCATACCAAATTTCATTTAAGTACGTGCAACGGTTGTGAAGAAAATGAACGGAAACTAGTGGACCGACCGACAGACAAAAAGTAAAGCAATATGCCCTGCCTTCTTCGAAAGGGGGGGGGGGCATAAAAAAAATAATCAATTCTAACATATGTACATACATGGAACTTTTCCATTAACTGTAATCTGGTTATAATAGCTGGAATTCTTGAAGAAAATCTCATGAATTTGAATTTCATTCCAAAAGAAAAATGATATGAAAATATTGAAAGGAAAGGAAGGGGAGACAATTTATATTATAACAAAGGGCAGTTACTCTTGGTGAGGTAATATTTGGAATTCATGAGATTTTCCAGGTCATCTCTGAACAGATCAGAAGAATCACAAGTGCAATATTTGAGATTGTTTAACCATTTTAGATATATTTTCATGCGAAGCACAATCCCCTTCCTTTCAAAATAGATCCTAAATTAAAAAAAAATGGAGAAAAATAAAACAAAGAATACAAGCATTCAAGGAACCTGTCCAAAGAACCTGACAAACTCTCATTTGGAGAAAAATAAATTAAAGAATACTAGCATTGGAGGAATCTTAACAAAAAACCAGGCAAACCCTCATTTGGAGGAAAATAAAACCAAGAATACCAGCATGGAGGAACCTTACCAAAAACCCAGCCACTCATGGTGAGGAAAATAAAACCAAGAATATCAGCATTTGAGGAACCTCACCAAAAGACCAGGCAAACCCTCATTTGGATGAAAATAAAACCAAAAATACTAGTTTTGGAGGAACCGTACCAAAAGACCAGGCAAACTCTCATTTGGAGGGAAATAAAAACCAAGAATGCCAGCATAAGAGGAACCTTACCAAAAGATCAGGAAATGTCTCATTTGGAGGAAAATAAAACCAAGAATACCAGCATTGGAGGAACCTTTCCAGAAGACCTGGTAAACTCTCATTTGGAGGAAAATAAAACCAAGAATACCAGCATTGGAGGAACCTTTCCAGAAGACCTGGTAAACTCTCATTTGGAGGAAAATAAAACCAAGAATACCAGCATTGGAGGAACCTTTCCATAAGACCTGGTAAACTCTCATTTGGAGGAAAATAAAACCAAGAATACCAGCATTGGAGGAACCTTTCCAGAAGACCTGGTAAACGCTCATTTGGAGGAAAATAAAACCATGAATACCAGCACAGGAGCATCGTCGGAAACCCACGGGTGATCTAGTCTTTACTTATCACCCGTGGGCAAACTCGCCGAAAAATCGTCGTATGTAATAAATCTGCATTGGTCATTTGATTGGCCGATTCACAGAGTCGCGATGCCAAACAACAAAATACAGTTCACGTTACCAAATTCAATAATTGATATCGAGTAGAGACGACTATAAAGGGTTGGAGTGGACATATGCATGTTCGGCATTGCCAAAACATGAAAAACTCATTCCGTAGTGAACACAGATGATAAATCCACTCACCGGTGCATTTTGCAGTTAGAAAGAGGTACTCCTATAAAATATCTGACGGATATCAATGTCAGTGACCTGTACGAATTGACTTTCATAGTTTTAAATCAAACTTTGCACTGGAGTATCAACACTCAACTTGAGTTCACTCCAAAAAGGGAAGAAGAAGAAGAAGTTTTAACGAGCGTCAAAATATTTACCATAAATAGCAAAGTAATAAACGTATTTTTCAAAAATGAAGATTTCCAATTTTCTGATTGGTTGACTAGAAAAACAAATTAGCATATTTTACGGCGATATTTCAGCGAGTTTGCCCACGGGTGATAAGTAAAAACGAGATAACCCGTGGGTTTCCGACGATGGCACTGGAGGAACCTTACCAAAGAACCAGGCAAACCTTCATTTCGATTAGGAAAAAACCAAGAAGACTTGGTAAACTCTCATATTAAAGAAAATACAACCAAGAATAATAGCTTTGGAGGAGCCTTAGCAAAAGACCAGGCAAACCCCCATGTTGAAAAAAATAAAACCAAGAATACCAGCATTAGAGAAACCTTACCAGAAGACCTGGTAAACTCTCATTTAGAGGAAAATAAAACAAAGAGCACCAACATTGGAGGAACCTTACCAAAAGACCAGGCAAATTCTCATTTGGAGGAAAATAAAACCAAGAATACAAGCATTCGAGGAATCTTAACCAAGGAACTGGCAAACTGTCATATTGAGGAAAATAAAACCAAGAGTATCAGCATTGGAGGAAACTTACCAAAAGATCAGGCAAACTCTCATTTGGAGGTAAATAAAACCAAGAATTCTAGTACTGGAGGAATCTTACTTACAGACCAGGCAAACTATATATCAAGGAAAAAGTGGATGATAAACCAAATACCAAGGAGAAAGTGGATGATAAACCATATGACAAGGAGGAAATGGATGATAAACCAGGTATCAAGGAGGAAGTGGATGATCAACCAGATATCAAGGAAGAAGTGGATGATAAACCAGATACTAAGGAGGAAGTGGATGATAAACTATATACCAAGAAGGAAGTGGTTGATAAACCATATAACAAAGAGGAAATGGATGATAAACCAGATATCAAGGAGGAATTGGATGATAAACCATATACCAAGAAAGCAGTGGATGATAAACCAGATATGAAGGAGGGAGTGGATGATAAACCACATACCAAGAAGGAAGTGGATGATAAACCAGATATGAAGGAGGGAGTGGATGATAAACCATATAACAAGGAGGAAGTGGATGATAAACCAGATATCAAGGAGGAAATGGATGATAAACCAGATATCAAGGAGGAAGTGGATAATAAACAAGATATCAAGGAGGAATTTGATGATAAACCATATGCCAAGAAGGAAGTGGATGATAAACCAGATATCAAGGAGAAAGTAGATGATAAACCAGATACTAAGGAGGAAGTGGATGATAAACCATATACCAAGGAGGAAGTGGATGATAAACCATATATCAAGGAGGAAGTGGATGATAAACCATATATCAAGAAGGGAGTGGATGATAAACCATATACCAAGGAGGATGCGTATGCAAAACCAGATAACAAGGAGGGCATTGAGGATTAACCAGATTCTAAGGAGGAAGTGGATGATAAACCAGATATCAAGGAGGAAGTGGATGATAAACCATATATCAAGAAGGAAGTGGATGATAAACCAGATATAAAGGAGGAAGTGGAGGATAAACCATATAACAAGGAGGAAGTGGATGATAAATCAGATATCAAGGAGGAAATGGATGATAAACCTGATATCAAGAAGGAAGTGGATGATAAACCAGATATCAAGGAGGAATTGGATGATAAACCATATATCGAGAAGGAAGTGGATGATAAACCAGATATCAAGGAGGAAGTGGATGATAAACCATATAACAAGGAGGAAGTGGATGATAAACAATATAACAAAGAGGAAGTGGATGATAAACCAGATATCAAGGAGGAAGTGGATGATAAACCATATACCAAGGAGGGAGTGGATGATAAACCATATACCAAGGAGGAAGTGGATGATAAACCAGATATCAAGGAGGAAGTGGATGATAAACCAGATATCAAGGAGGAAGTGGATGATAAACCAGATATCAAGGAGGAAGTGGATGATAAACCAGATATCAAGGAGGAAATGGATGATAAACTAGATATCAAGGTGGAGGTAGATGATAAACGAGATATCAAGGTGGAAGTGGATGATAAACCAGGTATCAAGGAGGAAGTGGATGATAAACCAGGTATCAAGGAGGAAGTGGATACATACTGACTTAACTTTTCTTTCATTAGTGTTTAGCTTTATTTGTCCATGTGACCTTGATAAACCAGATATCAAGGAGGAAGTGGATGATAAACCAGATATCAAGGTGGAAGTAGATGATAAACCAGATACCAAGGAGGAAGTGGATAAACCAGATATGTGAACAGTGCAATACAAGGACCGCTGTGGATAAGAAAATAACATCTCTGCACATAAAGAATGAATGTATTGATATAAATAAACCAGGGAAATGCACTTTGATGATGAATAATAATTATGATGGCAAAAGACTTTACATTCATTTACATGCTTTAAATGTTTTTTTTATAATAATAATTTTTGAAAATTATTAAAATAAGTTTGATTATTTTTTTCATAAAATACTTTCAGCTTTTGAATAAGGAAGATGATAAGAATGGTGATGAAGATGATGATGATAGCTTGTTTGGACCAAGGAAGCTATTATGCTTTGGCATAGATTATTTTAAGGCATAGCAAATGCATAATGCCAATTTTAGAGGTATTGGACATTGAAAAAATAGACTTAATCTCTCTCTCTCTACTTATTCCAAGACCAAGACCAATCTAGATAGTCAACTTTTTCTGAAATTTCACAATTTGGTGACTTTTTATGATAACTTTCATCTACTTGACAAAAAAAAAAAGAAACATCTATGGCAGAATTACAAAAAATATGGAAAAAATGTGATAATTTGGTGCTTTTCCAACAATTTTCCATAGGGTCTAATAGTAAAATTTGACTTTTCCAACAATTTCCCATAGGGTCTAATAGTAAAATTTGACAACTTTTGAGATGGACTCCTAAGAAATCGGAATGTAAACATTCGATATTTTACTCTTAAAACAATAAATTAATATAACAGTAAAAATTAATTAACTAAAAATTATCAAAATACTTAGGGAAGAAATAATAAGACTCAGCCTCGTTAAGAAAGAACATTTTTCTCACAAAAATAAAATTCATAACAGAAAAATATGTAGAAAAGCATCAATGATTAGATCCTTTGTAAAATCTTCCATGCAGTAATGAGGCAAATCTGGATTGGATCGACATGTACTAGTATGACAAATAAAGTTCTGTTTAAAAATTATCAGACATTTTGAAGACCAATCTATATTTCAATTGATATGTGTGCATCAACTCTATTGTTGACTACAGGAAGAATAGATAAATTGACTGCAAATATTTTCTAAGCAAAGATGGAAAGACTAAAATATCTTTATAAACATGAAGGAAATACAATTACATAAATTCAATAGGTCCAAGGGCCTTTACAATCATTTGAGTATAATACAAAATATAATGGATCCAAAGAAGTTTAACATAAACTGACAGATGAATCTATGAAGCCCAAACCAAGAGGAAAAGGTTGACAAGGGCTCAGCAATATAATGAGTCAGGAGAGCTGAAGGATCATGAACACATCAAATAAACACGGACAGGTCCTCATGCAAGGAAATAAAACCTTTTCCATAGGAACTAGCAAGAGTTGCAGCAAACTCTTCTCTTAAATAATAGTTACTACATTCTCTTATTTAAGATCTTTAGAGTTTTCCAACAAAACAGCTTAAAAAAATACATAATAAAAACATGTTCATATATTTTTATTGTAATGGTACAAGATTCAAATAACATATATTGTATCCATCTCATTAAGAAATCTGCCAACAGTAATTATATGTATTATAAAAACAAAATTCAAGGGAAGTAACCAGGTTACAACCTAATGTCAGAATTTTAAGTTGACTACTCAATAAAATTCAGTATTAAAGATAATATATTTACGTTTTGCCTCAACAAAATCCAGTGATTAAAGATAAGTTTTTTATGTTTTGCAGGCATGTATTGGTAGCAATTGGTTTCTAGTTATTTTTGCTATTCCCTAATCACAACCACATTTAAGTCAATGCATTCATAACATTTGTAGAAAAAAAAATCAAGAACAATCAGTTCAAAGATTATGTACATGAACTTTTAAATTCAATGGTCTTCTAGATATAAAAGCTGGAATTTCTGTAGATAATTTCATAAATTTGAATTTCACTCCTAAAGAAAAATGATATGACAATATTGCAAGGAAAGGAAGGGGAGACAATTTATATCATAATAAGGGCAGTAACTCTTGCTGAGGTAATATTTGGAATTTATGAGATTTTCCAGGTGGTCTCTGAACAGATCAGAAAGAATCACAAGTGCAATATTTGAGATTGTTTAACCATTTTTGAAATATTTTCATGCTAAGCACAATCCCCCCTTCCAAAGATCATCCTTGATTAAACAATTTTCAGAGAAAACAGCAAAATGCACTTTTTCTTTAAAAACAAAAACAAGATTTCGGCCATAATGAAGAATTGCCAGTATTTCTAGACTACTTCCAACAAGCCTCAATTGAAAAATAAATACCTTTTTTTCATGTAGCATAAACAATACTTGCAAAATTCTTTGGCACATTAACTCCTGTGAGTATTAACAATATTTGCAATAAATGGTAGTCTTATCCCCATTTAATATCTATATAAATTGTACAATTCAGAAAAAAAAAAAAGATTCAAAGTGAACAAGGCATAAGTTATGGTTGTGTGGACAAAACAATGTGTAGATCACAGGCAAAATTAAACTAAAATTTTGTTTCAATTAAGTCAGTCTGTCCTCTTTAAACAACTAATTGCATGAAAGAATGAGATTAAACCATCTCTTTTAACAAATAGATCATTATTTCATAAATACTATTCATAAGTCCCTATTTTCATTTGACTGAAAACAACAAAAAGATTGCTCTTATTTGTTGAAAGAAATCTACAGTAAAACTTTTTGTTCCCTTGGATATTAAGTTTACAAAAACAGAAATTTCTTTGTTTAAAATAAATTTGTCAAAAATGATTCTAACTTGTATGTTTCTAAGGGAAATCCTGCAATTTATTAAAACCATGAAAATATTTTAAGAATGGAGAATACATTTATGCATGTCTTGAAAAATAAATATGATAGGTTACACAGTATTTTTACAAGTACCTTTACAATAACCCAAAAATCTCCAGTGACATTCATCCAAATCTAAAATTCTTTAAAACTAAACCATATAGTATCAATAAATTCTTTAATCTGGTAATAAATGTAAGAAAATATTTTTTTTGTGGAAATGTTTACAAATATATTCAACAAATATTCAGAACAGATTATCTCCATTTTACTATGACACACTTTCTTGTGTTGAGCACTCTTGAGAAGTCACAGTGCGTTCGTTATTGGGATTGTTTAACTCCCCGTTAGGTAAACTTGAGGAGAGTCCATTGCCTGAGTCACTATTTATCCCCGCCTTTGCACCGGTCCCGTTACTTTGTAAAGGATTTGATAAAGCACCATTTTCTGAGTGACCTAACTCTGTATCACAGTCATTGTTGAACTCTGAACTTTGAACTTTGCTGGGAGAACAGATTGGGGACAAAGTTTCGATGCACTGATCTGTCCCCGAGATTTGTCCATTCTTCGAGAGTTCCTCTAGGGACTTTGTAGTGCTTTTCTCGGGGGATGAACTGTCAAAAAGGGATGAAGTTAAGACACTGACTGGGGACTTGCCTTCGATGATGTCGGACAATGTTCGGTTTAAGGTGTCGGGATTTTCTAAGTCTTCGTCATTTTCATCGTCACTTTCACTCAAAGAACCATTGCGATATGGTGGTCTTGATACTGAGGAATTATGGGATAGCCTCAGCTGGAGTACCTGGAGGAAAAAAAATACAAAAATAATTAAGTTTAATTTGCTAAGAACAAGAATCTTTCAAAGAAGAACCGTTTTCTTTAGATTAACCTGTCAAGAAGTTACTTATTGTTGCTTTAAATAAAATCTTTAAAATGTTAACACTAATTTTCAAGGAAGTGTTGGTAGAAAAACAATCCATGCATGTTGTAAAGTTAAAGTAAGACAATGCTTGATAATAAAAGAAAATGTGTACTAAAACCGAAACTTGAGAAATTTAAATCAATTTATTTTTTGAGAAAATAAGAAAGAACCACAGTGAATAGACATATAAATCAAATTTGAACTATGGATTTATATTCATGGTTATATAATACAATATAAAGGATAATACATGTATATATATCTGAAGCCACAGATTACATTTACATGGGTAATGTTAAACTGTTTTTCAGGGTTTATTGAGGAAAGTATTAGGTACATGAAGGGATGAAACATTTGAAAGGTAACACTGTTTATGGCTCTTTTTTAACTTTACCATATTAGAAACCTACAAGTTCACTGTAGAAAATAGAACAAGCAATGAACAAAATACCAATACTGTGTACCAATTTTGACTCCCTTTTTATCCATCAAAGCTGATTAATATATACTAAAGCTGAACAAGAGAGACATAAATGCAGTGTGATCAAACAGGAATTTTAAAGACAGTTTCACTAAAGCCAAAGCAAAATATTTCACACATACAACAGCCAAACTGTCTCATAAAAGTAAGACAATTTTTAGAGGATTCATCTCCCTTATATATTGAACCTGAAATTGGTTGTCTAACATTCACTATAGCTCTGTAACAACCTGTAGTCTTTAGCTTGAAAGAGTTTTATGGTCTGTTTAACAAAACTCAAAAGAATAATATAACAATCAAAGATTAGAAACATGATAAACAATTGCTCTTAAAAAAAAAAAAACACACACACCGAAAACAAACAAACAAAATTTAAAACAAACTAATAAAATCAATTGGAAAATGCATGCAAAATTCCCAACTATTTCTAAATAAAATTGAATTAGTAAAACATTCACAAACTTCAGTTAAAATGTTACATATCAAACCTCCATTTTCATCTTTAAGCCTTAAACGGAAAATATTTTAACCCAATTTAACTTAAATAAACCGTTTTGAAGCAGGATGACATTAAATGCAGTACAGAAAGGTCAAAGGTGAAAAGGTTAGGACACCCACACACTAGGGTCACTGAGTGCAGAAGAGCCACATGCATCAATCAGACATACTTCATCTTGTAGATCATAGATTCGATTGGCCAAGTCCTGGCTTCCATCTTTCGCATCCAATCGATCAGCCGTGAGAAGTTCCTCCTTCTGCAAATTTTATTTCATTTGAAAATTAAGATTTTGGGTAACCACAGAAATACATTCAAATGAAATTTTGTGATCGCAATAAGTTGAAAAGACCGCTATATCTGCCTTTAAATAAGATCATCATAACATATTATGTAGTGTATAGTACCTGGATTTCAAGTTCCGCTATCTTTCGCTTGAGTTCTGCCAAAGTCTGGTCTTGCTCAGCCTCTCTGATTTTGGTCATCACAGACTCTTCTTTTCTCTACAAGACAATGAAGACATGTATGCTTTCTCATTTAATGTTTCTTATCAATCGCATTTTGTATATGTCAAATAATTTTATTTATGTACCACATCTATCTGATTATGCACCTGAGATGGAATTGTGACAAGTCAAACCTTAATATTCTAATCTATCACAATCTTTTGCACATTTCTTGATATCAAATACGAAATTTAAACCAAACCATAATGCCAAGAAACATAATGTATGAATTTAAACCAAATCCTAATGCTGACAATAATCACATATTTTTACCTGTGCCTCTAAGTTGTCCATTTTCCTACACATTTCTTTGATCTGGTTCCTGAGGTCCTTCTCCTGAGCCTCCTGTAGTTCTATCTGAGACTTCAGTGACTTGTTCTCCTCGTCCATTCTCCGGATCTGATTCGTGCAGATATGGTTCTGAAAAAAAGGATAAAATAATACAACCAATCAAATTATTCGAATTTAATATGTACATTAATTTTGTTTAGGATACCAATCACTCTTAATCATATGGAATAAGTTTTTGATAAATTTCATCTCTTATTAAGACAAAAATTTTTCCTCTCATATCTATTATCCATGTAAGTTTCTTCTCTGTATTCTTTGCTCTTTGGTCTCTCAGACCTATTTTTATTACTCTTTTCCTACCTGTGTTTCAAATTCCATGACTTTCTGCTTGGCCTCCTTCAGTTCTGATAAGCTCGCTGCCTCCCGAATTTTGACAGACATCACTTCCTCCTGAAGTTGCCGAATCTCGTGCTTGTTACTATTTTTATCTTTTGGGGAGGACGGGTCCTGATTGGACTTGATGAGGTAATCCTGAAACACCACATTGAAAATGCGTAAAAAACAAATTCTAGATTGGTTCTTCTCAAATTTCCTTTATTTAAAATTTTGCATAAGTCAAATAAATCATGAAAAACGTGATATAAAGTAGCTGTAATTACCATTAAAACTGGAAACAAATAAGGTAGGGGTATAAATTGTTTTGATTTATCAAGATAAATAATTAAAAGAGATGAGTTACCTCCCATTGTGACTCTAGATCGTAGACTTTGTGTTTCATTTCCTTCAGAGAGAGATTAGCCTCGGCCTCCCTCAGTTTGACTGCTATAAGTTCCTCTTGTAGATGTTGGACATCATTGCTGGGAGCCTTCTGTAGCTGTATGTTTGTCTACAAAATAAAATATATGTCAACATTCGATCATGATGCATATCGACTTAACAATGTGGTTTTGTACAGTGCATCTTCTTAGTCATTTTACAGTACCTAATGCCTTCTTTTTTTCCTTGCTAAAGATCCCATCAAAGTAAGAAATACAGTGAAACACACTCATATTATAATGAAATGCCAAGGATAGACGATTTTGCTTTGTTATAAACATAATTCATTATATCCTTTATGCTTAGAATATATTCTAAATTATATCATGGGTAATAAAAATCCCTTTGCTGTAAGCATCAATTCCTTATAAGCGTGTTCGCTATCAAATGTTAAAGATACAATTTTTAAAATATCTTTTTTTATGTAAACATGTAGATCACACTTACATCCTCTAATTCTTTGATTTTAGTTCGGAGCTCCTTGACCAGTGACTCTGTGTCCGCGTCCTTCAGTCGTAGAGCGATGACCTCTTCCTGAAGATGAGTGATCACGTTCTGAGCCTCATCTTCATCTAACGAGGAGGCTGAGGTGATACTGCTGGTCTGAAAGGAAAGGTGCATGTTTTATAATTATGTACATAGAGAAATGTTTACCAATATCACGTTAATTTTTTCATCCACTGTATCAAATTACATTATTTATATCTGAAATACTGTTTGATGGGTTTTACACACACCAACAATTACCAAAGTTAGTAACTGTTTATTGTCCATTTACTTCCCATATAATGTAGAGAGAATATAGAAAGACACAACAATCATAGGTTTAAAAGTCCCTGTGTTTGAATGTAAAAATTTCTACCAAATAAATACTTTGACTTTTATAATCTGAATTGAAATTCGAAGTACCTTACAATTTTTAAATGATTTTACAAAATGATCATGATATCAAGTAATTGCAATGTGCAAGGAATAATGCATAAAAGATTGAGAAGGAAACTATTGCACAGATATTGATTTTTCTTAGATATATGCAATATTCACCTCCAGATGTAAATATATAAACATACAGTATGTAGGACTGTCGTGCAAGACATTCTGAATACAGTGCAACAGGACAATTAAGATATATACTTGTATTATAAGACTTACAACTAAATTCATCTTCAACAGAATGAAAAAGGTTATGATGTTAATGTCTATTAAATAAATATTTCTTGAAAGTATCATACTCATAATATCATATCTTTACACTGAAATTCCATTTAACATGAAGATGCGTTAACTTGATTGATGCAAAAAAAAATATAAATATATTTTGTTTACACTAGTAAGGATGCACGTTACACAGAATTTTCACTAATCAGTACTAACCCTATCCTTGATATCCCCTATAAGTGTATTGGCCTCCTCGAGTTTCCGTGACGTATCTAGGAGCTTCTGTTTGGTTGTGGACAGATTATTTTTCAGGGCGTACGTTTCTTCAGCTTCCTGTGCTCTGGTTACTTGGTACTGAATTAGTCTATCAGCTAACGAGGCCGATTCCTGTCCAAATCAAGTTGTCAGTTCTCAATAGTTTTTTTTATGATATAAGTAATAGGATCAATATTTGCGATCAGTGCATATGAGAACAATATTTTTAGAGCTTGAATATGAACATGAATGCAAATACATCTTTTCCATTAAATCAATCTGTAATGTGAAAAGTTCCATTTTTCAAATAAATTTTCCAGCTCTCACCTTTTCTAGGGCATCAATTCGTTGACGAAGAAGTCTATTTTCTGTTCTTAATCTCTGAAAAATAGACAACATTTTACAAATTAAATGTATGTGTCCACACTTACATGACTAGAATCAATAAATTATGCACTAGCCTTCATATTGAATGTTAGAGATTGCATAGATAGCCCCTAATCTTTATATTTGAAATTTTAAAAAATCTTTGTATTCACAAACAGAGATTCTAATTTTTTTTACCCTTAATTCTATCTGGTCTTCATTCTCTTTGCTTTTCAGTGCTGTGTATTCTTTCTCTATTCTGAAAAGAGAAAATGATACAAGGGAAATAAATTATAATTAATTGAATACTCATTTTTCATAATTTAAAGACATTTTTTTCTTGAGTAAGATCACCATTACTTGTTTCCATTTAATATACATGTAATCACTGGGTACAACAGTTTAATTTTACAAGAAAGTTATATGATACAGCATAAATACAACTTGGACTTGCATTAAGAATTATGACATTAGAAATTTCAAAATCTTCAAACTCCATTCTACTAGAATTGACAAGGACATATATATTCATTTTTGTAGAACATATTTTTTTCTTCAAATTATTTTTGGGTTCACTAAGTATGACCTGTGTTATATCATACTGAAACAGAATCTGACAGCTGTGTTAACCTAGTTTTTTTGTTTTTAGGAGGTTGGAAAAGTGACATAAGCAAACCACATTTGCACACCTTTCACCTAAAGGGCATACCAAGTACACAAAACACATTTGTAACCTGTATATTTCTTTCTTATGTAGCCTAATTTATTTGATGTTAATAGGGAACACAAAGAGAGAAAGTCAACTGTTTTCCCTCCCACCTTTTTATTCAGTAGATGTGTTATAAAATACAGATGGTTTATGAAATACAGATGATCTTCTGATATGACCATTGCAAACCTCCCTCCCCCCCAAAAAAAAAAAAAATAATCATAATTATAAGAGGCACTTGAATTTTCATCAAGTCTTGTAATAAAATAGATCAAAGAAGTTGAAACAAAGTTTAACTGATGATTAACAAGTTCTTTCCATCTGTAAACAGATATACTAGTACATGTAATATGCTTTGTCAGAGGACTAAAGATAAATCAATGCGTAAAACGAATATAAAATAGACGATATTTCACATGAGAAACTGACATTTATCTTGAATCTATATAATATAAATTATAAATCAAACATCCCTCGTAATATTTTTAAATTGCTTGTTTAAAAACTTAGTTGATCAATACATGTATGCACTTTCATAGTGGCACTGCAAGCTGTAAGATAAGTCAATTGGTCTGATCTTGTCATCATCTCAAATTACCTATAGGCTGTCGCAGGTATGCAAAGATCACCTAGATTAAATTCGCTCCTGTTCGAAAAAAAGTAAAGAAGCTACCAAAACATTTTGACAAGTCAGGTAAATTGTTGTAACATGAGCATGACAAATAGACAACAAGTAATCCATATTCGCAAATAGCTTCTCCCTCTTTTTTTAATGTCCCATAAATATCTAGTATCAAAACCTGTTTTTTAATACACAGATATCACCATTGTGAGACATGAAAATGAACATCTTCCTACAGTTTGTATCCTTCTTATTTTGTATGTTAATTAAGTCTTAATTATTACTTCCTTATAAGAATTTAATGATCCAAACATCTCAAAGGGTACCTTTTTCGAGTAATAAGGAGCAACATAAAATACTATATAGGTATATTGTAAACCAATTACCGGGGGTATTAATGTAATATTTCCTATCACTAAATTGCCAAAAGCTATTCTTCCACTAATAATATTGGAGGTTTCCTGTTTCATTTATCTTTCATCAAGTCTTCATGAGTCTTGGACATATTAATACACTGTAACTATTTCATGGCCATAGGCACTCGGCACACTGTAGAGCTTGGTATATCTGGGTTGTTTGTGAATGTTCCTCCTTTAAATTAGCATTATAAGTACCAAACAATATAGTGCACTAGTTTCTTATTCTATACCCCATATAACAACTTTTTTTTTTTTTTGAAATGTGATGCTTCACAAATTTCCATAATGTATTCATATATGCTTTACATAAAAATAACATTACAAATCAGAAAACCACAAAACATTTAGGTCAAACTTTTGAAATTTAATAGAAAAGAAAGAAATATTTTTCATTCTTTTCAAAATCTGCTGAAAGGGCATGGTGATTTATTAATCTCTTATAAGACGAAGGATAATAAAATATTCCTGCAGGCTTTATGAACTGTGAATATCGAATATAAATGCTTGTAAGATATTGTCTGCATCCAGGGTAGTGTTGACATTTTAAGCTGGTAACGATTGGTTGATAATCAAACAATGAAGAAAAAATTCGACCCCACAGCACAAAAACCAGTGTCAATTAAATGTCTCCTTCTTCAGTTTATCTTCATTTCTCTATCTCCCTCAGGGCATATGGCACAGACAGCACACACGCAGGAGATGGAAACAAAAAGATGAACCCCGGCATTAAAGAGAGCTTTAATGGGTGATTAATCAACAAAAGAGATTCTGTCCACTTCACCTGCGATGTATGCTGGACCTTTAACAACAGAGACCAGCGCCTGAAAGGCCAATTCCCCATAATGCCCTGATAACATAGAGATACTGGCCATTTTCGTATTCCAGCCTTTACAATGTACCCATTAGAGACCTTCTAAAATTCCCAATTAACCTTGAACTTTTTAAAAATAAATATTTTTAGTTTCTTTCATTTTTTTTTTAGAAACACTATATAAATACTGTTTTTTTATTCAATATTTATTGTGGAATTTAATTTCACCAAATCAGGTATGATCTAATCAACTGTTATATTGTCTGCATTCTCCAAAACAAAGTTTACAAGAGGAATATGCCAATTCTAATCATCGTTAGAGAACTCAGATTATTTAAAATGCAAAATTTTACATCAAAAACTCACACAGAAGTCACATCAAAACAACTGGACTCTCTGAACTTATAATGAGATACAAATGTATGAAGAATTCTCGTTAGTTCCATCTTTTTAATTAATTAATACACTTACCCAGATTCTGAAAAACAGCTGTTTCCATAGTCGTCATCTCCATAATCCACAAAATCCATTGAAAAGTCTTACATAGTGTAGAGGCTGCAGCCATTGGTCATACTAAACCACTGGTGCAACTCTACCCAGTCATTATACCCACAACGAAATTAAAACTGCTGCATGTATAACATGCATATATATAGTCACCAGGCTATATAATACTGTCTATTGCATTACAGTTCACAGTTTCACATGCGCAAATAAAATCACATTTTTTGGCAAAATTTGTGGAATAAATCACTTCATTAATTTCCTTCTGAAACAAGAAAGACCTTATTGATTAGGTGTTCCATAAAATTCGAAAAATTCCACCGAAATAAGTCTGGACCTTCCCAGCTGGTGTCAACGGACAATTTACACCTTACACTTCCTCAAAACAGAGCCTGAATGTAGGACCTTTAACACCACGTAACCACCCATCTATGACCTTAATGGTGTGACAAAATAAGATGTTCCATTATCATACAATGTGCTCAAATTACACACCATTCATTCTCAAAACATCGTGATCCCTTGAAATAAATGTGAAACTTTTCTCTCTCCCCAGGTAAAAATTGACTCCTTTGCCAACTTAAACAATGAATTATTCAATGTTGTGTCACCCCTGAAACCCTATGTAACTAAGCTCATATTGAAACTTTGTTAATAATGTCAAGAGTTTAAGTAACCCCTCGTAAAATTTGGAAAAAATTTCAATTCACACAACACCTGGTTTTCCTCTCTTTCAAATATTTAGCTTTGAGCTAATATCCCTCCAAATTTAAAAATTTCCTTGTAAATTAAAGAACCATATTGGGTAAACTTTAACTCTAAGCTGTTTATACAAAATCCAAGTGGATAAAAAAAAGTTTACCTGCATGTACACATGAACTAGGTACAATACAATGATGCATAACACAGATTATATGAACACATGATTAAAATTCCAACAGCCCCTAAAGACCAATTGTTTACATAAACTTTCTATTCAATGCTTTAAAAGAGATGCTGGTCAAATTACATGTAGGCTGCACGTTTTGACTACTGGATATAATAAAATCAACTAGAAATATCACGTATGTACAGTCAATCCTTTTGTCACAGTAATCCAAAGTTTAAAAAAAATATTATCACCCAAATTCTAAAAATGACAACATTTGCTATAATACCATCCTAAATCCAACATTTTATACAAACCAAGAGAAAAAAATCACAGATCACTTTATGTACTTTTCACATCGTAAGTTGCCATGAGACATCAAAGGAACAAAAAAATTTTAACTGACTTGTACGAGGTCATGAAAGGTCGGGGCAAAGCAAGCTAGGGTACTCATTTGTTATTCTAAGTGAATGTGCCTTTTTTCCTGAGGGGGTAAAACAATACATGAATTATTAATTCTGCTGCGTATATCTGTGCACACTTATTCCTGAGGCTACATTTTTCTTTTTAATTGTAGAAAATGTGTGTATTTAACCAGCAAACATTTCAAACTGTTTTTAGTTATCTTTACAAACCGAATCTTGACATGGTGTGTTTGTATTCATTTTAAGGAAATATTATAATAAGGACCTGTATAGATCAGTATAAGAGAAATTCTTCCTTATTTGAAGTTACTCTCTGACTCTTCAGGGATCCTTGCCCACAGAGTATTAAATAAGAGAATTAACAAGTTTACCAATACCAGGAAATTGCTTGTCTAATACTCTTAAATTGAACTTGTATCAAAGGTATAAAAATCTGAGAGGTTAAGTTTGTTTGTGAAAATCAAATAATATCTCACAGTTCCTATTATGTATGACCCTGAAAATCTTTGAAAAAAATGAATGTCTCCCAAATTATGTCAAGTGATTTTTTTTCATTTCAAAATATTATTAATACACAATCAATAATTACTTTAACATAGGAATTATGACTCATATATGAGGAAAATCGCTTTAAAATTAAAAAAGTTTTGAAAGAATCCTTTCAAACTCATTTCACAGATGTTACTAAATAATTAAGCTTGGACACACATATATTTATTTTTTGATACTATTAAATGCAATACATTTCAAAATTACACTGGGGAAGAGGAGGTTGTTCTTATACTAAGCATATTAAAAGCATAGACATTTTTACAACAGCTGTGTCAAGATATCCAATAAGAGATAGAGATACAATATCTATCTTGCAGAGGAGATAGGGTCTTTTCTTACTATGACACATGGTTGACAATAAATGAAATCTATATCCTTAGGCATTGAACTAATAGAACGTTTCATCAGCTGCTCATATCAAAATATAATGGAAATCTAGCATCTTAAGATACAGGCATACAGCAATCGATTCATTTGCCTATACACAATTTATACAGGTCACATTTTCATTACAGTTCAAAAACAAAACTGTTGAAATGATTATGAAAAAAAGTTACTCAAAATGAGGAATTCTTTAAGTTTACATATTTTCAAGCATCTGTAACATTTCTCAAAATCATAGTTGTCTGATTTACTTCCAAGACAAAACACCCACATAACCACACCATATAACAACCTGACAAATCTTGTAAAAAATGAATGAAGATTTCAACCATTAGGAGAGACTGACTCAGAAACTGCCGAACTATTTCCAATATGCCAAATATTGATTGTGACACACACATACACTAATGCAGATGAACCCAGTAGAAAATTGCACTGAAGAGGGAAAAAAATCAACATTCCATCAGGTTATATTCCTTTCACAGAATCAAATCTGTTGCAATTAAAATACAAAAGACACAATAATAGCTTGACATTCTTAGGCTATAAATATCACTTGAGAAACAATCAAATACCGCATATAAATTAAACAATATTAACATGAACAAACTGTGAAGTAAAAACTCCATAATTTCTCAAGTTGAAATTAACGAAATCATAACTGGAAAAAGAAAATCACATTATCTATACATCAATTCAAACCACAGATCAGAAAATTGGTCGTAAATCCTCACAGATTCCTTTACAAAACATCCATCCATTTAAATCGTCATCAAAGGCATGCAAAGATGAAATTTATAAAGAGAAAACGCAGGGTTCTGAATCAGAAGAGAGGCTCAAGAAGGAGACATTGACGTGTCAACGCAACACCGACCACCTGTCAAACAGAGTGACCCACAATACCAATATGTCCAGGTAGAATTTTATGGTAAATAAATAAAGAGTAATCCCTGAAAACAAACAAGGCATTGTTACTTTCCACTGGAATCCTATCAGGCCCAATTGTCTGTTTAATCAAGCTAAAACTAAGGGAGATAACTTTTCAATAAATATGGTTAACTTTCGCCCCGAGTTTTCTGAGGCCCCCGTAGGATACTTTGTTTAAATAGCCATTTCCTTGGAATATATACTTAAAATGTAATGAAAATATTAGGTGTATCATTCCCAAAGCTTATCTTTAAAAGTCCCAGAATATCAATTTATCATTCTCCTTTGTAATTCTACCTGAAGATGAATTCAGAAGAGTTTGGGTGGAATAAATTACATGCTTTACAAAGTGTTAAATTCCACATCCCTTCATTGAATTCCATGTCATCCTTTTGTATACATAGAGAACACATAATTGCATTTCTGAAATAACATTCACACAAGGATTTTAACAGCTTGAAGACAATTTGAGGACTATAAAATTAGATCAGGTTATTCAAACCTTTAAATCACAGATTCTACATCTCAATATTTCTCAGGAATTAATAATTTCAAAATAAATAAATTATTCTGTGTCATTTCTTATGGTTCATAACACATCATATGCTGTATGAGAGAGAGAGAGAGAGAGAGAAACTTTCCTTGGCATTCACAAAAATACTAGTACACTTTGTATCTTAATTAATGCTTAAAAAATAAGTTTCTCTTTTACAAAATTTATATTATATTATCATTAATTAGTAATGTTCCACATCTTAAAACATTACCTTACTTTTTAAAACTTCAATGAAGATTTAACATTGTGAATCCATCAATTTATATATCTCAAGTCACACCGATTGAAAGAATATAGGTACTTAATTGCTTTTACATTGCATAATAATTTCCTTTAAATTAGAGTAAAATGCATTTTCCAATAAGAAAAAAAATCACAAAAAATATACCTGGGTCGAACTTTCATTAAAGCAGCAAGCAATTCATCCAAGCTTTCCACAAGTGTCATCTTTTTCTTTTAATATAAATATCCCAACTCCTTTATCCAGCTAGCTTTGAACAATTTCTTGTGATCAAAGTCACGCTAATTTTATTGCTGATCATTACATATCCTAATACACACCACAAGTGCACAGTAAATATCCATGATATACCTTCTTATAAACTTCACTAATCTCTTAATCCCTTCATGACAACACTAAGTTCTTCTGTGATAAGTGATTGTCCATTAATTATTACGTCACATAAGTACATTTAATCTGTGGTTCTAAGTCCGTCTGACTACCCCAGAATCAACAAACCGACCGGTGATGTACCTCACTTAAATTCTACATAGGCCCACCCAGTCGCCAACACAGCAAGCAATCATTTGATCTGTTAATTGAGATCCAAAGAATTAAATGGCAAAAATGGAATTAAAATTTTCTGTCAATAAAAACATTTAAATAAGGGAGATGTACGATACAGGGGCTTAAAGGTATATTATCCAATTTAGAAGAGTTTCTTGTTAAAACATGAAGTATTGAGACCTCATGTAGGTCACAGTGACACAATTAATCAGGCAAAGTGTTAATCCCCCTCGTTAATCCTTGATTATAATGAGATTATCTTCTTTGATTATGGTTCTGCATCTTAAAAAGGCATGAATTTGGGAGACTTTTTTAGGTCAACTTAAGGATAACCTGATTTTCTTCTATTAACCTCAAACCTCCTCTTTTGTTATGGTTCTGCATCTTATAGAGGCATAAATTCGGGAGATTTTTTAGGTCAATTTAAGGATAACCTGCATGGCCATAATTAAACATAGATTTTCTGCTAACCTCAAAGCACAGAATTCATTACCTGTTAGTTGTTGCTATGGAAAAAATTCCCTGGTTTATTATCAATCGGCTGTATCACATAACAGACCTTACTGCAATTCCTAAATGAAATCTGAATCCAACTGATTTTTACTGCCATAAAATCAATGTACAGGTACCATTCAGCCCCAAATGTAAGATTTCTCAATCTACATTAGAATTAATATAGGCTTTGTTTTTGAAAACATGATGTACAATATGTCATCACAAAGTCATCATTAGTCATTACTTAGTACACCTATTTGTAAGTCACCATAACAGTGGAATTTTGTAGAGAAAACACATGGAAAATCTCACACTACTAAGGAAGCCAGGCCAAACATATTTTTTTTCATAGTTCTCATTGGATTGTCAGGTAATCAAGAATGGTAAATCTTTAAAAAAAATGTTTCCAATTCCAGTTGAGCAATACATGTAACTAGAAGTTTACATGAGTTAGAAACTACTGTTTTGACATGATAAAAATAAGACAGTGCAGTCTACTCTAGCTGCAGAACTGTAGCTCTCTGAAAAAATATATACTGATAGACAGTGCCACCCATTGAAAAAACTATATATATTTTACAGATCCATTTAAAAGTTGAGACCTCTTAGTCTACAAAAACATATTTACCCAGTCTTATTAAAAAGGAGAAAACACTAAAGGAGATTTAATTTACTGAAATAATTTCACCTGTGAAAGCATGTTAGATTTTAGTAACCATGTTTACAACTATCTTAGTGAAGGCTACTTTTGTTTCAGTCATAACTGTAACTGGATCAAAACTGTAGGAAGATCAGATCAGCATATCAAATTGTTTAAAGACAAACAGACTGACATAATGACAGTCTTACCACAGCAAAAAAGCTACTCTGGTTTTTGATCGATATGACCTTGATCTATTTATTTCTTTTTACCAGTGTGCTTACAATTGATTGGTATAGTTTTATGATTGAATCATTGCAGGCCTGCCGGCCGATATATATTTTTTCTTTTTTTCGGGGGGGGGGGGGGGGGGGGGTTTTACTTACTTTTTCATTTTTTTGGCACTATATTTCACAGCAAAAGCCGAGGCGAAAAGTTTATCTGGCTCTCCCTCATACTGACTAAACATGGTCTTCTGGAAATGCTGCAAAGTTAAAATCATGTAAGTAATAAAACAACCTCATAAAAGCTAGTGTTCTTTCAAACATTGCATCTGCCTGATCTAAAACTTCTTAATTATTAAACCATGGAATATACATTGATGTAAGTATTTTGCTCATGCAGTCTCCTATTCAGACATTACAATTATTGAAAAAAAACTTTTTAAAATGCTTTAATATGTTTCATTTGACTTCTGAACAGATATTTTTATACATGTTAAAAACAGTTTTTTTCTGCTTGCTAAAAATGGGTATTTGTAGAGTTAATGTGTTAACTTAAAGAAATTAATTTTATGGTGTTAATTAATGATATTTTTTTACCTGTAGCATTCCTTCCATATCCATAGACAGGAGTTCCTCTTGACTAGTTTGTAGTATTGCAATTCCCACACGAAATATCACATCCATACCCTACATAACAAAATTAAAGTTGAAAATTATAATTTAAACTTATCAAAAAATTTAATTCAGGCCATCTTTAAAAAAATTTTTGTTTGCCCTCTCCTGATCAATTTAAAATGGTCCTATTCAAAATTTTTCTGACCTTCAGTAAATGCTTATTTTTCTTTCTTATCCCTGAATATAACATGCATGTAGTTGGAACTTTTATATAAATATTGTAAATTACAAGAGCATTACCAAAACAAGCTATATGAACAACTGAAAAATGTTAGCAAATCAGAAGCGTGCATGGTAACGTGCAGTTACATTTTATGAAAGCAAAAATTGTGAAGCAAGATGAATACAAACTGCAAAGTTATTTAAAACTAATAAAATAGTGGAACAGTTTCACGAAAAAAAGTTGTAGATCTTTTATTTTTTATTAACAAAATTGGGAAAAAAGGATCAGTGCCCATCCACTGTATATTGAAACGGGAAATAAAAAAAAAATTTGAATAATCAATTATTAACATTTGATTCTAGCTCCTTACCACTGGACACATAATGCTTACAAATAGAAAAACGTTTATGTTATTCATGTATATATTGTTTGTTGAAGACGAAAAACATTTTGTTCTTTACTGTCCAAAGTATGATCAATATAGATGCAATTATAATGATATATTTAATGTAAACACATATACTAGTGATAACCCCATTAGAAAAATTGTCAATCCTACTAATATTTCAAGTGCTACAAGGATATGTTGTTTCTTGAAAAAGTGCTTTGACATCAGAAAAGAAAGTCAAAAATGAATATTAATATTGAGAAATATACAATTTTGTTCACCTCATATTTATCACTTTGAATATGCATGTATTAATCGTGTAATTTGTGTTATGTTATTAATGTTCATGACTGTATGCCGACATGGTAATTGTCAATAAAGGGAATTGAATTGAATAAAAAATATTTTCCCACCTACCTACCAACCCAATCTTTTTACCCTGAATTAGGTGAGAGCAAGCAAACATTTTTAAAAGATGGCCCAAATTAAGGCTTATTTATCTCGACATTTTTTACAATTTGCCAGTAAAACATTGCTTTCCTTGTCTGTGATTTTACTGATTTTAAATATGTTACAAGTCTTCTATAAAACAGATTGCATCTCTAAAAGTAATACTTGGTTCATGCATATACTCAGAGAAAACATGCCTCTAAGAGTTGTTTCCCTTGACATAAAAAAAAAGCCTTACCTCAGAAATAAATAGATCCATGATGCGACATGAAAGAGACAGTGAAAATGAGGTGGCAAACAGCGTTAAGAACCATGACGAGGCATACATGGAGGTGTGAAAGCCCTGAGACTGGAAGTGGAGGTACAGGTCTGGCAACAGCTCCTATTAGACAAATGTAGACATAACATTTATACTCAGAGTCACAAAAAAATCAAATGTCTTTTAAAACATCTCCTACAAGTTTGTCAAATCAAAATAAGAAACAGGTGGTATTTAAAACATAAAAGCACTTAAGACCTAAATGATATACATTAAATCTTTTTTTTCTTTTGAGCAGTTATGAGATTTCAGGATACTTGTAGCTGGTATATGTCTTTCTAGTATTTTAACAATTTACCTATACTACAAATGATAATTTTTTTTAACTCATATAAAATTTACCTGTATAAGACACTCCAGTTTATACATACACAAGCCGAGTTCAGCCATGCTAGGTTTAAATAATTCTCTGAGACGATAGTCCTGCATTAACTTAATAAGGACGGCAAAAGCTTCTTCCTCTGGCATCTATCAAAAGACAGAACTAATTAATAAATGTATACTAATTATTAATTGGAGGTTTCTTTTAATTCACATGAAACAAGTACACAATTTAATCTCCATCAGGCACCCCTTTCGAAGGATTCAAATTTATTTTTGGTACAGCTCATAATTTACTTTTGAAATTCATAAATAAATTTACTTTTGAAATTAAAAAACAATCTGTTTTTTTTAATAACTTAATTGTTTCAACGTGGATATTATATGTACCGGTACATACACTTTAAGATTATCTCTATATTCCAGTCTTTTTTTACATGTTTTACTGACCTGCATAAGTAGAAGGCCCACTATAAATCCACTTCCCTGGCAGTATCCCACTTCCCTGTCGTGTAGGGAATATGCCTAGAATTCACAAGAGAAACACACAGTTAATCAAATGGAGATGATTAAATAATTCATTTCATGCAGTTTCAGTAATATACAACTAAATGCTTCTTTTGAATAAAAATTAAGATTGTATTGCTGTGGTTCAAGAATTTTCTTTATTATTTTACATTCAAAAATTGTAGTCCCTTCTCAAAGCAAGTGCTAACTGGATAACTTCAAAATACATATATGGGCCAGTCCACTTTGACTATTGTCAGAAGACTATAAATCAGTAAATCAGTTATATATACATGCTGTTAATTTTCAAATAGAGTCAAACTTCATTGTCTCAAACTCAATGAGACTGAGAAAGAAATTTGAGATTTCAAAGAGGCTTGAGAAACTGGGGTTAAAATACACAGAAAAAGAGAAGTCAGCACTTCCAAGTCCCAACTTACTTTGACATACCTGTGGAATTCAAAATACAGTTTAACTGTACATTTCATAAATTGTCAACTCAAACCCACCTTCATAACATTAAACAAGCTCTCTTGCCCCAGTCCGTCCTTCTCCTTGAAGAAGTCGTGGTCTGGGAATGTGCGGGCTATGTCCCTCCTGATCAGCTTCTCACTGGGGGAGGTCTGTTTGAGGTACTCCACATACTGCTGTTTGTGTGGGGAGTCATGGACCCCCAGTAACAGCTGCCAGGCCAGGCCCCGAAAGTGATGGGGAATCCCTCTCCTTACCAGCTCCTGGAAAAAGACAGGAGAAAATCTATAATCAGTCAAATTCTTGCAATATCCTACATAATTTTAAGATTTTTCATTTCAAAAAAGAAAGAAATCTGATCATTATCAAGATTAATTCGATTGATCTTTTTAGGGTTGGATAAGTAGTTAAAATAAAATTAGACTACTATCTACATTTTGTTGTAAACTTTTTGCATGCTCTCTTGTGATTTGTCCAAGGTGATGGATTATAGACAGAAAAAACAAATTTTCCAACCAAAGAACTTGGGAAAAGATATTGGCTTTATATGTAAGGTACAATAATCATTTACTAAGAAAACCAACACACATCCATGGACAAAGCTAAGTTCAAGATTTATGGCAAATTTGTAATAAAAGGTCCTCTACATCATGTACATTGTATGTTCTCCTTTAGTATTGTTGTTAAGATACCTCAGAACAATGTAGGCAGATATGTTATGACACTAGCTAATTTGTCAATGTGTGTTTTTCATGTTTACAAAATAATGATCCTGTCATCCGTGTTCCACAGTTTTTGGGCATAGCTTGACGATTTATTATTTTGCTTAAAGGTTTTGCTTAAACAAACAAAACCATTACATTGCCACTTTTTCTTATAACTTTTTTTTCCATCTGTCTAATAATTCACGATATCTAATATGATAGCTTTTCAGAAACAACATTAAATCCGATTTAATTTAGTATTTTGTTGAAAAGAAAAGTTTATACAATATCTTATCAAAATATCTTGCTAAAACATTAAAATAAAGAGAATTAGAGAATTTTAAAGCTATAACTATTCTGCATTATCTTTTTTATCTTTTTTCAGAATCATGTTGTGTGTGTTTCAGCTTCATAAAAATGACTCATCTTTCTTTTTTTAAGATGATACATGATTCCTTAAAACTTTTATTTTGACTTTGACTCTACTACAGTGGACCTTCAGATATCCAGACCCCAGATATCCAGATGCTTCAGTATCCGGACAAGTTTTCATTGGGACAGACTTTTTAAATGTTATTTTGTCTTGTTTGACCGGTGATTCAGGTATCCGGACGCTTCACATATCCGTACAAATTGACTAGGAACCAAAGCCTCCGGATAAACGAGGCTCCACTGTACATGATCCACCTCTACAGATATTCATTCTAACATTGTTAGTGGTCCTTTAATTGTCATCACAGTGCCATAGAACCCCGACAAATTTCATTTGATATTCTATGAGCTTGCTTCTCTCATTGAGTTGTGTAAGAGTTAATGTGATTGCATGGTCAAGAAATAAGAAAACCAGTCAAAATTCGTATTTTCCTTGAATGACCTCACTGCAATCAGCCTATAGAATAATGAATTAAATTCGTCTGGGGTTTGAGAGCAATGTTGACTTAGGACACCTGACATTGTGAACTTGGCAGATATCTTGCATGCATAATTCTACATATCCTGTGTTGTAAACAAGAGAGATTTTGTTTTCGTGTAGGAATGTGTACACAATATTTATAGATCTTTCTAAATTTATTCTACTTTGCCTACATCACCCATAAACACCTGTCATCCTGTGATTTGGAATTCAATCAACCCTGGATAAATCAACTAACATCAATCAATCACTCATGGCTCAGTTGTCCCATTGATGAGTGAAGTTTTAGCTGTTCCATACCTTGATGAGTGAAGTTTTCTTTCTTGCATTATCCCAGTCATTGACCAGTTTCCCCCAGATGTCCCAAACATTTCCTGTTGCAGTGTCTATCAAAAATAAAAAATAATACAGATTAAAAGGGGGAAAAGAAGATTATTACATAAGTATTATATATTTTTGATGCAAAAAATTGACATTCTTCCTTCTCTTTGTGAGTGTACATTATTTTTTAAGTACTGTATAATAGTGGTTAATACCTCTATGTAATAGTAAAATGTATTGTATGCATAGTATAGAGTACATAAATATTTTATTATGAGAATTTGTGTGTGTGTGGAGGGGGGGGGGGGGGCATAACACATATATAAAGAGGAGTTCAATTAGGAAAGCTGGTTGAGGGATGAGGCTGGGGTGCTTATTGAAAGGCCATTGGTTGGGGGACGAAACAAAACAAGACTACCTGGTGGTATTTTTCGTAACTGTTCTGGTCTTTTTGCTAGAAGTCAAAAAAGTCAAATCCTATTGAACCAATACGAATAATGGTACAAGGAGCAGGAAAGCATATTTGCATGTTTTAATGAACAATTTTAGTCTCGGGGGATGGATGTACATGTTTGAATAGAGATTGCACATGTGTTAATTATTCTTTCAATCCATAGTACATTTTTGCCCAAAATTCCTCATTTTCAAGAGGGAAGCTAGAACATATAAAATGCATGTAAATGATAAACAATATCTTAAGGAAACAACATACTTCCTTTTGAGAAAAATAAATCCAGGCTCTCAAAACATTTTACGTAAAAACAATATCATATTTCTTTTCCATCTCACCTATCCCAGAATTCTCTTGGTCCTCTACAGATACGGCACTTGTAGATGTCAAGTTATTCAATAGTTTTCCAAATGAATTCTTGTGCTTATTTTTAATTCTATGCATTATCCTCAGACCGGTATCAATCTACACCAATGATATGCTCCAGAGAGGAGCCATCTTGTGTCTGTTTTTAAGGTAACAATAAACAATCCTGTCTTGACAACAAATATTGTTCTTCCTGCAATTTTGTTTCAAATTTTACAAAAATACTTCCCTTCCCTATCAGATCACGACCAGAGCTATGATCTGCAAACAATAATTGATCTATACACATCAACTTTTAAGTATTACTTTAATCAAAATACGCTATTAAAACCAGGAAATCTCTACTTTTGAATAGGAAATAAAATTCTAAATATATAAACTGAATTTACACTATGTATTTCCATAAAATATGATCATTTAATTAATTTACAATTCGACTTTATTCACTTTCTATTTGATGGTTGAATTCCAACTTTGTTAGAATACAGATTTGATTTTGCACTGTCAGGGTAAGACAAAATTCTCTTCTTAGTAAATAAATAAAAATAAATATTGTATTACAATTACCATCACACTGACTCATTTTTAGTTCTCAAAGTAAGTTCATTAATTTAATCTAACCCACAGGTGCTTGATGTTTTCTTTTTATAAATAAAAATTTCCCCATAATATAATAATAAAGTACATGCATGGGGAAATTTTTATTTACGAAAAGAAAGGTTAAAATCGCAAGTGCCTGTGATCTAACCACATTAGCTTTAATTTGTCTTTATCAAATATACCTGCAAGTATAGCACAATGTCATATATGCCTGACTGATTAAAACTATACATGTATATGCATCATTAATTTAAATGAATCATTCATTATACATGTATTATAGTGAAACCTATAATGCTCAAAATTCAAAAGAATGGACATTTTGAACCATTACAAGTTATATACATGTACCACCCTATCCTTCTAAAATATGTAAATATTATAGACCAACAACTTATATCTTAAAATTATTAAAAAGTGCCCATGGCAGGTTAATAGGGATGATACAATATCCCATTCAACAGAGAATTTTACCACTGTTTACAGGATTTTCTTTTAAAATTTTATCTTTCTTAATTAGTTTTATTCTTATATGCAGTATATAAATATAGCCTTAAAACCACAAAGTTTCACATTTATCTCTGTAAATCACTAGGGAGAGTTCTTACTCCTTAGCATTTTGAAATAATTTTGAAATTTCTATTTTCTGCCAACACCGTCATCAAAATCAAAAACCAATATGTATCTTAGGGGGGGGGAGTAAACAACTTTAAATTTTGGCCTTTTGGCATGTCATTATGGTTAAAACTGCGTAAATGTATATTGTGACACTGACTGGATGCTATATATGACCATATAGTGTCATAATTTTATAACCAAGTAAGAAATTAAATTTGTTAAAAAGTGTACTCTAAGTCTTAAGTTATATGTTATTTATATAAAATGCTGCTCAAGTAGGTTTTTAACTTGATATATGTACTATGTATGAGTTATTTACTACGTTGTTTGGTGTTTTTAATATACATACAACCATACTACCAAGTACAACTGAGTGAATTCTGAAATAACAATTACCAGTATACAATAAATGTTCCCATCATACACATTGTTGTCTTTTTTCCGAAGGTATAAAATACAACATGCACAGCTTCAATATATTTCAGTCTGGTTTTTATAGATAATATTGTATGAACACCGGAGCTAGAGTATACAATATAATGTCTGTTTTCCGAAGGTATAAAATACAACATGCACACTGTATTACACAATATAATACTGCAGTCTGGTTTCTTTATAGATCTATATTTCAAAATGTATAAATTTGTACACATTGTACATACTGATGTCTGGTTTCTCTATACATCTATATCATTGTACGTATTTTTATACATTCAATAGATACTCTCGTCTCTCAAGACCTCTACAGATCTATATAGATCTCAATCAGTGTATTTTTACACATTGTACATATTTTTGTCTTGGTTCCCTGTAGATCTTTATGATTATAATTGTACATATTGTATGTACTATTGTCTGCATGATTTCTATATCATTGCAAAAAAGTACCTACTGTCTGATTTCTCTATAGATCTATATCATTATAATTGTACACATTGTACATACTATTGTCTGGTTACTCTATAGATCTCTACAAATCTGTATATATGTACACATTGTACATTCTATTGTCTGTTTTCTCTGTAGATCTCTACTACAAATCTGTATAAATGTACACATTGTACATCCTATTGTCTGGTTTCTCTCTAGATCTCCACAGATTGTACCATTGTGTTAGCACACATTATACGTACTGGTGTCTCTATAGATCTCTATCATTGTATATACATGTATTAGTACACATCATACGTACTATTATCTGGATCCTAGGTGGACTGCTGGTTGCTGTAATGACTGTTATACGTACTATTGTCTGGTTCCTCTGTAGGTCTATATCTTTGTGTATATTTGTACACTCTATATGTACTATTGTCTGGTTCCTCTGTAGATCTATATCTTTGTGTATATTTGTACATTCTATACGTACTATTGTCTGGTTCCTCAGTGGACTGCTGGTTGCTGTAATGACTATTAGATGAGGTACTGGACACCACGCTGGACCCTGACCCCTTCCTGGAGTGACTGGGGGTCGGAGAGGGGGCAACATTGAGGCTCACAAGGGATTTCTCATCTGCCTCCAGTAACCTTAAACAAAAAATTACAATACATTATATAGTTACAGATTGTCTCTTTTAATTGATTGCCCTACTTTCGGGTTATTTTGTTTTTTGGCTTCTGCACATACGACTTCCAAGAATTTGACAAGTTGGGAAAAAAAGGTGATTAGATATAAAGGTGGGGGGGGGAATTTATGGATATCTGGTGTGCTTTTCTAAAAATGATTAATGTATACATACTTTTTTGGCCTCTAAAACAATTAACACTGGTAAGCCACATTTTTAGTACATTATGGACGTTTATGGAACATGCCTTTAATGCGTTTCCCCGGCCATACATCTCACCATATTTCACTCATTAAGCACTTTAGATTGGATCTGATCATTGCACAGAGACAAAGAAAGCAGGTCTATAAGCAGTAGATGATTTATAAGATGGTGACAGCTTAATAATCAACATGGCTTACCTGTTTCTCAATAAAAGAAACATTTCATTTACCACATGCACAAAGCAATATCTGATGCGTTAATGACAATTTTCTTTCATTTACCTTATGTAAATGAACGATTGACAACACCGGCAATTCATCATTTGTAAAGAGTAACTTCAAGGCTTTTTTTCTTAACCGCAAAATAGAATTCATCCATATCAAATTTAACAATTTGCATATATCAGGAAATTAGAGGAATATATTTCCCATGCAGTTGTTTGTAAAACATATGCTTTATGATAATATAGACTGAAATGGACTTATTTTACTTTGCAAAGAAAAATAATTTTAATTATTATAATACCTAAACAGTATTCAGGTATAGGACTAGTAACCTTCCCTGTATAAAACCTCCACTGTATAAATTACTGCTTTACTATTATAACTTTGCTGTCTGTAAAATTTGGGAATACTGTAAAGGTATGCCAAAAATTTTGGTGTAATTTAATACACAGGGTTTTAGCTCTTTGCAGATGAACACTTAAAAGAGTACTGACTATTTTAACGGTTTAAATTTTAGTGGACAATCATCAAAACGCCAAAATAAGCCAAAATTAGCACCCCACTAAAATTACCCGCTATTATAACTTTGCTGTCTGGAACAGTCAGGGTATATATGTGAAAGCATTTTTTTTAACCAAAAATATTGATTTTAAGAAAGGTCTACATTTCCATCTAATGTTTAAATATCAAGCAAAAAAGTAATTTCGATCCTGATCCATTCAAAACAAGGAGGCATCCATCTATGGGTGGATCTGTACATGCATACAAAAGTGTCCAACAACTGTGTATGTGTCTTAAAAAATAAGAACTCAATTAATTAAATAAGCTTAACATGACTTCACTAAACACACCCTTAGAAAACTATTGGGTGGTTACTTCCAAGATATAATAAATTTTTATACTATACTATACATGTAGTACACCCCTTGTACTTCAGTGTAAACAAAAACAAAACAACTCTTGCGACTTAAAATCAAAGGTTAAATTCGCACTTCCTCTACCTGCCAGCAAACACATTCCGACTCCCTCTTTTGACATCATCCACAAACTTAGTGAAATTTTCGTTCCATTTACTCTGAAGTCTGTCTACAGTTCTGGGAAACATGACAGAGTATTTGACAGTAACTCAGTGAGGTTTGGACAGGAAACACAACAGGAACTGGGATTAAGTTGTAGATGTGCGTGGTGGTTTGTTACTGAATTACTGCTCAAATTATATTTAGTTTTCAAGGGTCTACTCATCATCATCAGTATTTTACAAGTAGTCAAACAACATATTAAGTATTCTAATGAGAGGGGGCTTCTAGCTTAGGTTATGAACAGGAATGTAATATATTTGGAATTCTTATTTAAGCTACCCCTGAAAATATGCCTATGCATATATCAAACTTAAAGCAGGGAAATTTAAAACTAAATTTAAAGATGTTAACATAGAAAGGCCAAAAACTTACAGTTAATTTAAGCTATTTTAAATGTTTTATTTGTTATATATATGTACATCAAATTTATCACCATCATCCCAACCAGTTTCAAGAGCTATTTTACGTAAATCACAGTTTGTAGAAAATGTAAAAATATTGGTAGACCTCATTTTTACCCTACAAAATCTCATAATGTGCGTTCCCTGGGCCCCCACCAGGGCTTTGCCTACAAGGTGGCCACAAGAATTTACTTCAATTCCTGGATCCGCGCCTGCCAACCTTCTATATGCTAATTTTCCTTACAGAGTTTTGGGTAAGATCCCGGACTGGGGAATTGTCACACCTATAATGGCACAATACCCCAAAAATGCTGATATTGACCCTGACCTGGCGCAACCTAAGGAACCTAAGACATCCTTCTACTTTTTAAACCTCTCCTCTTATTTCAATTCTTATGGACTACCCTACCTATTTCAATGTGAGGTAAGATGTTTTTAGGTACTGTGGTAGATATCAACTTTGTACATTTGATATTCATGCAGTTTAGCTTAAAACAAGTACTAGATTAGCAAGTACAGGCAGTAAGTACAAACTGTAGTACATTTATCATAAGCAAGAAATGACCTTAACCTTTTCTTGGTGAAGCTAGCAGAAATTAAAGATGTATGATATGAATGCAAATGAGCTTTAAATTATCCATCTCATTTTCTCTTGTCTATTGCATTTGCATAGTTCAAGGATGTCTGAGAGAGTACTGTACATCTATTGAGATTTAACCTAGAAGTGTTCTCTTAAGAAATTGTATGTGGAACATTTTCATGCTTAAAATCCCCTCCCTACCCCTTAACCCCCCCCCTCCCATTTTTAAATCTATCCCTGCCTCCAACAGGTAAAGTCCTCTTGAGACATTTTCAGAATCCATAGTTTACAAACATTTCATGTTGCACAAAAACAACATCAATACCCCATTCACCATTCAATCAAAGAATAGGATCCATATACCATTGCTCAACTATATCTGGTGAACTATGGTAAATAGATTTTTTTCCCTTCATGTAGCTATATATAGGCATGTCGATTTAAAAAAAAAAGAGAGAGAGGAGTGAAATAACAAACCTATGAAATTCCAGTACAGGATCAATGAATAGAGACAATCAATTAGAAAAACAAATCTTTCCTTACTTATTAGCCTGCTCTAGCTTGGCTAGAAGCTCTGCATGCTCCTTTTCCTCCTCTGCGCTCTGTCCTCTGGGTTTGGAGGAGGCCTCTGGGGGGTCCGTTTTGGAGGAGACGACTCCATCGGAGGAGACCCCCGATTCTGAGGAGGACACAGGAACCTCAGGTGTGGACATGGAGACAAATCTAGCCTCGGTGTCTAATTCTCATTGTGTGCTCATGATGATTTGCCCTGCGGTCTACAAGACAAATAAAACAAGGTGTCAGTACCCAACAGGCGTAAACATTATATTCCCACACTTCATTACTGTGATCAATATCTATCTATGGAAGTTGTCAACTAAGCAATAATCTAAAAGCAATCCTGGTTCTCCGTGAGATATATACACTGAGGAATCTATACACCAAATGTGGACTGAATTCCACTTTGTGTTAATTTTTAATGTAGAAACCTTCCATTGTTAATAAGCAGAATATAACGAAGGACCATCAATTATAAACAAATACAGAGTTTTTAATATCAGTATACATTCACCCACATTCCATAACAATTGTTTATAAAAAACACTGTTAGAGAAATCCATATCTTTTATGCAAATGTCTAATTCATTATCAATTAATGTGTCAATGAATACAATGAATTGTCAAAAAAATTCACATATGAAATTCTACCATAAAACCCTCAAAATAACCTGTCAAACAGAGTCAGTCAAGTATAATGCTCAAGCATTTGGCGACTAATTCGTCCAGGCCATATTGGGTCACAGTGTTGCTATCCCAGGGCTCATTCCTGAATAAACTGGGGGGCATTTTAGATTGGTAACTGGTACAGACATGGAAAGTACACATAAATACACATAAAACCCCTTCTTATCTTTATACAGTGACATGCTTCATCCTTATCATGAGAAAGTCAGTGTCTGATATTCGTCATGAATCATCACACACTTTTGATTTAGCTTGAAGAAACTTCACTGCCACTGCAATGCATATAGCAGGATTTTTATTAAATGCAGCTGCAAATTTAACCACTTCATAAAATGACTGGATTTTTTTTTCTATCAAAGCCATAAGCAATGTAATTTTTTGTATTAAATTGAAGGCAGTACATTAACATTTACTTGTTCCATACCTACCTTAATTGCACATGCATCGTTCTAAATCACTTAGTAGAACATATATTACAGTAAGTACAGTGTATGACTTCCGTCGTCTTGCATAAAACCACATTATTAACCTTGTATAATAAATCAGTGGGCAGTATATGTATATGCACTTCAATCACCTTTCATTGCTTAAATATAGTGCTCTTATTTTTTGTCTTTTTTTTTCTAAGAATGAAAACAATTAACTTGAAAAATATTTATAATATCATAACTGATAAACAAATACCAACTTACAAATTCTTTTGAAAATCTTGCTTAATTCCAAAACAACAACAATGTAATGCACACTTGTATCCGATACAACACAAGAACTTGGGAAGCAAAATTCGTAATAAATCCCCCGAAAAACAAAATGCTTTACTGCTCATTCATCAGTCTGAACCAATTGGCACTTTTTAACTTTTTCTGTCACTGGCTCATTCATTAACATGAGATCATACCAGGATGGAGTAACGTTAACGTCTCTCGTAGTGTGACTTGTCAATTTCTTGTGGCCCCCAGCTAGTATAATCGCTACAGTCACTCGTGTGCAATGGCTCTATACCTACACAGTGTCACATATAGCTTTTGACTGGGCCCCCATCATAAAAAGTTCCTTATTTTTCTTTAAAAATATTGTTGGAAAAAATTTATCTATTTATTAAGGAAGTATTAGCTTTCAGTGAATCTCGTATAAACTCTACATCACTGTCTTAACACCTGAAGCATGTCACATAATTATGACAGAATATATAGATCATATTGTTTTTGCTTTGACCGCACATTAAATTCTTTTATCATTGAGATTATTTATGTCTAATAAGTTTCTTTCATGACTTCTACAACAAGTGAAAAGCTGCATACATGTACATATATACCGGGGGGTACATATATTGCAATTCTATATCTACATGTTACATCTACACAGAACATACTGGGTAGAATTTATAACAAGTGGCTCACAGCAGCCCTCTGTTTGGCCAAGGGCTATAACTGGTTTGATTTCAAGATCAGAGATTAACACTTCTGGATATTTAAATTTCTATACAATGTATATGAAATGATTTATAAGTGCTGGGTAACAAAAGTTTTTAAGTCTGTCAACATGCTTAATGCACTATATATCAAGACAAAATCTCAACATGAAAGCAAAAATGATGACCTACCTCTATATAAACAATCTAAATTAACACATTTCTCTCAAGTGACAACCCAGAGTAAGTCTGAATAACTTTTTTTCTTAGATTTATCAATGACATATTCACTAATTTTCCCTGAATATGATACATGTATGACTTACATATCATGATATGAGATTTATCATGCTTGATTCTTTATATTTATGTGCTCATTCAGACCAAATTCTTACATATTCACAAGTGAGAAACGTACGTTACTAAAACAACATGATTATATACATGCGGACTCAAATGCATAATTATTCGAAATAAAATAAAGTATTTGACGTCTTTAAAATATGTCAATTACTGAATAGTAACAAAAGTAAAACACACTTACTGTGAACATGCTTATGAGAATTGATGCTTACATCAAAGTGATTTTTATTTCCTAAGGCTTTAAAAAATATTTTGAACTATATGAATATAACAAATTACACTTAGAATGAAACAAACATCCCTGGCACTCCGTTGATCCATAATAATAAGTGTGTTTCATTGTATAGGGAAATTGATATCCTTGAATGATAAGGATTTAACGTGATAAATACGATCATCATTACTTTGTAAAAATAATAAATAATAACAACAATAAATATTACATTCAAAAGTTTGTACAATCCATTATAAAATGATAGAACATTTTATAGTTATAATAAATATAGAATAAAAATTAATCTTTAATAAATAATAATTAATAAACAGACGTTTTGTGGTGTGAGGGACAAGACATCCCTCATAATTAAAAGTAAAACGTGCAAATTGATGATAACGCGTTTGTCAACAAATCTTGTGCTATTTGATGCATCTGAGGTATACGCAATGTTTTTTAATATTTATAATGATAGAACATTTTATCTACAGTTATAATAATCCCAGTAAAGTTCTGTGAATCTCTGAATAAAAATTAATCTTTAATAAATAATAATTAATAAACAGACGTTTTGTGGTGTGACTGTTGGGGTGAGTGCAGTCCTATAGATAATCATTAATTCAACTCAAAACTGAAAGAAATTAATTGCAATTTGGGTTTTTGACGTAAACGTGACATCACAATTTTTTGCATGCTTTTTCAGGATTTGAATGATAAACATGACGTAAATGTGAAATCACAATGCATGCTTTTTCTATGATAAAAACATGACGTCACGATGCATTGTAGTACGTAGTTATCGTATCAATAGATTGAGGCACAGTTATTTAGACTCTGATGTTTACAAAGAATCTTTATGGGTACATAGGAAATAAATTTGTTATCCAGGTTCAATCAAGGGTATGTAGGGATTTACCTAGGTTTTTATAACTTTTATTCCATACACCCTGAGGCCTTGAACCTGGATAACTAATAATATCCTAAAAATACTACATGAAACAAAAGGGTAGATTTTATAACAAGAAGCCCTCACTAAGTAACTGTGGTCCAGAAGTTCTCCATCAGCAGATATTTATTAACTATAGCTGCAATAGTGTAGTCCTTTCTATTTTTTTTTCCAATTGATATTTTCTGGAGAGACATACAATTCTACATCATCTCCATCTCCATAATGGTGCAAATATAACTATAATTTTAAATACGAGCAACGGTGCAAAATAAATTGTTTTTACATTCAACTTACTTCTAGTAAGTCAAATTTTTTATTCAAAACCTGTTGAATTTATGTGAAAAAAAAACTTATCGAGGCTAGTAGCTATGTACTCATGATCGATGGCTCTTTTGATTTCATTACAAAAAATGTTTATATCTCGACAAATATTGCACCGATAAAACAGGAATCTGTACAAAAATGGTCAATTAATTCCTGATATGTCTTTTTTTTATTCTCATTTTAGAATTTGGTAAAGGGGGTATACTATGTATCTCGACAAGCTATGTAGCTATAATATTAGGTCTAACATTAATTCCCATAATCATGATAATATATATATTCTTGAAGTCTCGATCAATCCCACAATTCAAAATATAATCTCAAGAAGAAAAACATTGCATATACATAATAAAACTGAGATCATTCACAGGTGGATTCCTTATTGATTTGATTCCATATTTCAATAACAGAACCAGAAGAAAATTAACATTTAAGGACTCGATCATTAAATGACTCACATCAGATTTGATTTTGCCACACGAAATTGTGATGCATATCTGTTGACATTGTATATATATAAATAATAAATGAAGACATATTCATTATCTTAATCCAATATATCAAACATAATAACCAGAATTAAAACTATTCAATTGAAACTTACAGGACCAGCATTTTATGCTTCTAAGTTCTCTAAGAAATACTGTCTTCTGTCTCACTTTCACAGGAAGTTGATTAAACGCCCTTTGACCCTGACCGCAAGTGTAAACAAAAATAAAAGTTCTTATAAATGATTTTTATTTTAGATGGGTTGATCATTTTGAAAAGAAATATAATCAATAAGAATGAAATTTGAAGGAAAAAATAAAATCTTACAGAAAAAAATTATGCTATATTATTCTTTATCAATAAAACGTTTACTGTCATGATAAAAAATAGAGCTTTTTGTATATCAATTTAAGCTTTGTTTTGACGCCGACGAGAAAAGTTTTAATAAAATAAAAGTATTCATTATATATCCATTTAATCTCTTTATTTCAAGTCCTTTTGGGTCGTTCTTAATTTCCTTTTGGGTCCTTTTGGGTTCCTTTTGGGTCCTTTTGGGTTCCTTTTGGGTCCTTTTGGGTTCTTTTGGGTCCTTTTGGGTCCTTTTGGGTAAAAGCATGGCGGACGATTTGCCTGAAGGATGGGAAAGAAAAATGAGCCGGTCTGCTGGTTAGTGATTGTTTTATTGTTAGTAAACATAATGCACGGTTTAAAAAGGTGATGATTAATTTCTTGTTCCTTTTATACGACTTGCCATTCTTAATGGAGGGTAGGGAAGGGGTATATTTTCTGATCTTACCAGAGTAAAATCTTTGATCTCCAGTTTCATGGCATTTAAACAATGGGCAGCAAATTAGAGAATGAGAAAAACATCATTTGGCATTGCATGCCTAGCGAGGAACGGGACATGGTGAGGCCAGAGGAGGTTAATTAGTACTTCATCCACCCTAATCTGAGCGAGATTTATAGAGACTAAAACATTTTAGTCTGACGTCTCTTCGAATCTCAGACCAGTATCACACAAATTGGAAATCTTGCATGGACTTCGACCTTTCGTTTTGATCAATACAGTCTGAAATGAATTAGCTGCCCACTTCTGCTTTTCGCTTTGGACATCATTTTAAGAAACTCTTACTGCAAAACTTTTGTTTCTTACCTAAAAAAAGGTTTAAATACAGGAAAATAATATGTTGATGGTGCAACTGTTTTGGCGAGCGCAGATACTTATTCAGTTTTAATTTAGATCGGGCTCATCAATCAAAGTCTGAATCTGAACAGTGCGAATATTTAATCAAAAACCTTTAATTTCCTATTTATCCGCTTTATATCCATTATAATCAAGGCAAGTATATAATTTTCTTTGAACATCTTGTTTATGCAAGAACATAGTTTTTGGCGAGATGCATTTCCTTAAGGATTATGGAACCACAGGTAAATTCAAAAATAAATTCCTTTGGATCAATATGCAAAGTCTGATTCAGAATTTTCTCTTCGTCCAGGCGTAGCTTTAAGAGCATTTAAGAGCAGTGCTCACTATAAAGTTGTTGATTTTTCATAGCAGTGTCCTATTCGTTTAAACCTCTGATGCTGAAGAGTTCCAGCAATATTCTGCTTCAAATACTTTGTTCTACTACAGTTAAACTTCTCAAAGTCGATTGGTTCCTAGAAAAATTTTGAGATATCAGAGGATTTGAGATATTGAGGGTAAAACACTTAAAGAATAACTGCATGGGACTTAAAAATTTCTTCGACATATCCATGGTATTTGATATATGGGTGTTCGAGATAGGGAAGTTTAGCTGTATTATATTCTGTAGATATTACCGTATCTATTATAGTACGAATAATCTTGAATCATTGTTACCTTTCAATGGTTGCTGCCAGCATGACCTAAACAAGAATGTTGGAATGCAAAATATTTGACATTTGAAGGCCACATAAGACTGTTTTGGAGTGTTTAAAGTTAAATAAACAGTGTTAATAATCAATATCAAGATTGGGAGTAAATATATGGTTAATAAATGGATACCGTGCTTAAAACCTGGGGAGGCATATAATAAATACAAGAAATGGTACACCCTTAGTGTGCAACAAAAATGCATCACCATAGATTGTAGATCGAAGGATTTTACAATGTTACGATTTGTAGATCTGTAGCCTGGGAGGATAGATATTTTCAATATAAATACATAACACCTTTATATTAATATTTGAAACATGACATGATATGTATCATAGTATTTTGAATTGGTTATAAAAATTTTGTATTGGTACCAAATTGTGCTTGAAAGCATGGGAAATTAATGGATGGGAGCCCAGAAATCTATTGATAAATTTGATTTTCTCAGGAGGTGGTTGTTGAGAGGTCAACCCTCCTTCTTTATATTACAATAATATTTTTTTTTAAAAAGAGAGGAAAAAATAACTTTTTGCTCCATCAATTGTTCAATGAAGCATGTTAAAAATATCAATGAAAAAAAATTTAATATGTAATAGTGATGTAACCATCAGGCAACTAAATTATAATTATAAAGAATTCTCAAGAAAAATTATTAAATGATTTTGGGTATGATTAATCTTGAATAAAAATGTCAAATTTTATGCAGTGAGACGTAGTATATGTATCTATGAAATGTTATTATTTCTATTTAAACAGGCAAGGAATACTACTTGAATATTTATACCAAGGAGAGTCAGTGGGAGCTACCCACAGCTCCAGCTGAGAGGAGTCCGATGGTTCAGTGTTCACATCTACTGGTAAAACACCGAGATTCCCGAAGGCCGTCATCATGGAGAGAGGAAAACATCACACGGACCAAGGACAAAGCACTGAAGATTTTACAAGGTGAATATTTGAGGGTAGAGATACTAGAGATAAAATTTCAGGCAGAGCCATGTGGTGGAAATAGGCAGTATTAAATGTCATCTCCTTATTCTACTGTCTAATATTATGATGCATGTACTGAGTAATGATAAGGATAAAGTTGCTTTGAATTAAAGTACATGTAGTCCAAAAGGAAAGGGCTCTGGAAAAATTTGATTTTTGAACAAAGGAATGTATACCATCAGGACATGTCTGTCAAATATCAGCATGCATATTACCATGTTGCTGTTTAAACTAGTTTTTTTCATCAAATGACAAACTGTTATCTTCCTTGTTTAATTTGATTCACGGGAAACAGATACCTTCATGTATAATAAACCAACTAGGGAAGATTTACTTTGGTATTATTTGTATTACATGTACTATAATAACGTAATAGAAGGAGAAAGTTTTCCTTGATTTTTTTTTCAAACATCATCATAGTTAATAGGGCATATCTATTCCTGTTCATGATTTAATCTACACAAATTTGAAAATATTTAACATTTAAAACTTCCTTTCATGATCTTGCAAACTCAGAAACTGTTTTAGGGGGAAGGCAGTGAAGATCTGTTCTTATGAAGTACTAGACTTCTTTCCAGAAAAGTCATAAATAATAAAGAATTATAGATTAAGTTGACAGTATAGTCTTTCCAGAAAAGTCATAAATAATAAAGAATTATAGATTAAGTTGACAGTATAGTTAAGAGGACAAGATATGACAAAATCAAAGTGAACGCTTCCGTATAAATCCGTTTCTTTAGACCATAGCCACTTAAGAATAAATGTGATTAAATTAGGAACCAGTGTGCAGTATTGACAAATTTTACTGCAAGAGGATTTAATAAAAATCTACTTTTCCACTTACCCCAATCTGTTGTTCTTTTTCTAGGTTACAGGGATCAAATTACGAGTGGACAAGCCACTTTTGAGGAGCTAGCTTCCCAGTACAGCGACTGCAGCTCAGCCAAGCGGGGTGGGGATCTGGGGCCATTTGGGAGAGGACAGATGCAGAAACCGTTCGAAGACGCTACTTATTCAATGAAAGTAGGGGAGCTAAGTCAACCCATCTCGACAGACTCAGGTGTGCACATCATACTAAGGACGGCTTAATGTCCTGTTGCTACTGTCATAATGCTGGGCATTGAGTATAAATCTGACAGACTTCTCTACCTGCATCACCGTTTTCTTTTAGTTGGTGCATAATTAGTCTCAGTTAAAATATGCCATCTTGAATGAACAAAATCCCTATGAACACTGTAATATTTTCATGCCATGGAGGAAAAAGCAATGAAAATGTGTTTGGTTGTAAGTTGTAAGTCACAACAATTGCCTCTGAAATTTAAAAACTGCCAAGAGTGACGATAATTTTGTTTTTGTATATGATCTACCTTTGTTTAACTTTTGTAATGTTAGCTATTTCATGTAATATTCAATGTTGTCATGTGATTTCAATTCTACTTGAACTGTTTTTTTATAGTGCTAATAAATTACATGTTCAATGTTCTTCATATATTTTTTTTCCTATAGCCTGTTTTACTTTTGGAAACACCTAGAAAGTATTGTTCTATATAGCCCCACCCTAAAACTAGAGCCCCTGAACCTGGGTCATGAAATTCACAATTTTGGAAGAGGCAGCCTTATTCAGCATAGTTAGTTTGGTAACATTGGTTAGTTTATTGTCAAAGAAATGTTGTTTAACATCCTTCTCTAGTAACATTGGTTAGTTTATTTTTCAGAATCAAAGAAATTTATGGAGACACCACAACTTGCTGGAAATTCACAATTGTGGAGAGGCAGCCTTATTACAAAATTTAGCAGTGAGAAAAAGAATTTCAAAGAATTTATCATTTTTTATATAATCTATGTGCTAGCACTAGAACCCCTGACCTGAAGCACCTGAACTGCGACACAGGACCTCAGTTTATACAGTCTCATCCAAAGGACCAGTCTCCATGTCCCACAGAGGGATTCGAACCCATGATCAACTCCTTACTTTGTGACTCTAGAGCAGAGGCTTTAACCACTGTGCCATGCATGCAACAAAACTAAAGGAAGAAAAGAATGTTGTTTTGTAAATGGCCCAATTTTCTGTATTTCTCTTAAAATGGTGCCCTTTGAATACATGTATTCATTGAATTACAACAAAACAAATGAAGGAAAAGAATATCATTTAATATCTCAGCAGTATTTATAAAACCCCAGAATTTCATACTTGGGTAATGTAGATTGACATTCTTCTGAACCACTGGGCCAGAAAAGAAACTTATTTGAACAAGGAAGATTTCTCTTAATTAACAATTGCATGCTTAAACATTTCAGAATAACCAGACTTTTGATGAAAGTATGAAATCATTTTTATGATAATGTTTGAACCTTTTAAAGAGAAAACATTATCTCTTCAAGTAGTTCAAACATTTTGTAGGACTGTACTTTTACATGTATCTAAATTATACTAAATATAACTTTTGGCATCATTTCTTATAGAACATGCAAATACATTTTTGGAAACATGAAAACAAGGAATACGCATATAAAACAAACAAACTTGTAAATCTTAATACCCCATAAATGTAAAATACAAACTCACTAAAAATTTGATTAAGGTTCAATGGTTGACAACCTCATGAATACTGCACAGAATCTGTAAATATTGATACAATGTATAAATTAAAAAAAATCAACAAAATCACACATAATGTTAAAAAAACTATAGCTTATAAAAAAAAAAAACAACAAGCATTTTATATTTTTGTCACATATTGCTGATGATCACAGATAATTAATTTATTGCAAACAAAGATAAATGCATTCTCTTCATAAACAAGCAAACACATTTTTGTAGACAATGTTTTAAAATCAATATCTTCACAACAAACATATACCAGCACTTAAAACCAATCACAGTCTTATCAAAATTCAATGCAAAATAGTTAATGTTCACCAAAAACATTGCAGATGTTGCCTACAATAACTTGAGACTACATTCTTGTCATCAGAAATTTTTTAATTTTTTTTTGAAGAAGAAGACAAATGTGACTATTTTCAGAAATAGGATGTTTATCATTTGATGTTGAGCTCAAAAATGCCATTTAAATATGATACAACTGATGTACATGTATGAACTTTTTTTTCTTTACAATAAGATATACATGTAAACAAATATCCAGCCTGATATACAACACATTAAAATGTTTAATGTGATAAATATGACTATATATATTTACTAATGTCGTTAAAAAAACTAACATTAAAGGAAGAAATGTTTCCAAGAATGGGACTTGCTACATTTGAATTTTTTATTTTTAAAAAATTCTGTTTCGTCTTATCACAGTAAACTTTGAATAAATGTGTCTACAAAACCAAGACAAAAAATTTCGGAAACAATGAAGAGGACGGATCTCATTAATAGGACGGACAAAAATAAGTACTTTTTTGAAAAGTTTGAGAAACGGCAAAAGGGGGGGGGGGGGAAGGTTGTAGGCAAAATTAATTACCCATCCAAAAAAAATGCAAATATTTGCACAGAGCAATCAAAAAAATGTGAACATTCATTCATTTCTTAAATCACTGAACACCAACATATCTTTGGCACATGGGTTACATGATGAAAAGCCAAAATGATGCAATGGTGACAACTGCTTACTGGTTAGGCAATACATTTAGTACAACCCAATCATATACATTTCATTTAATAATCAAAACTCTTGCAAAAGGTCAATAAAGAAATAATAGTTGTCTCATATGACTATGTCAGACATAAAATGACTCAATTCTGTATTGATGACTTCTAACTACTGAGAATTTTATCTTGATCACTGGCCTAGCTAATTCAAGGTTTAAAGAATGAGTCTTATGGGATAATTTTGGTGTAGATATAATACATGTACATGTATATTAGTTATTCTGCTGGTGCAGAGAATTTACTGAAGGCAAGCTTCAGTCATGATTCCAAAGTCTGACTTCTTTTGATTTACAAGTATTGCATCAATGTTATTTTGTCATGTTTGCCAAGTTTCTTTTTTTCCCAGTATCTATTTTTATAGAATGATATTTTGTGTACAATCATGTATATAAACCATAACAATAATGATAAAATTATAGGATCCTGTAGTGTATGTCTAACAGTTGTGTGACCAAAAAATGACCATTAACAAGTAGAAATTATAATACATGTACATGTATATGGGGCATTTGATACATGTAACCAACTAATTGGTTAAAAATGAGTTGCAATTAACCAGTCAGCCTGCCAGATACACCTGTCATAGTTTCTGCTGGGATATATGGAGCTAAAGTAATACATCAGGTTTGCATTCTAAACTTCATGCAATAATTTTTTTAAAAAATTGAAAATCCTTGATTTCGCTTGCTATGAATTCATCATCAGTTTAACAGTAGAATTTGTGTCACTGCTAGAACACCTTCGCGACATGACCTTGACCCCGTAAGAATTATCTCCATCTTTGATTTCTGTGGCCCTTTTGTACAGTTTGGCCGCGGTTTCAAAATCTCTCTGAAAAGAAAGAGAAAAATCGGTGAGTAATTGCACACCATCTGATTTTTTTCTATCAGTAAAACATAGTTCAGGAGAATTTTTCAGAAAAACTGAGCAATGGAAGGTAGAACTTTGTGACACATACCATTTCATATTTCATGACAGCTAGGTTCCTCAGAGTTTCTGCCACTCGGGGATGATGGGGGCCCATGCTTTCCTCATAAATCTGGAGGGCTCTCTTGTACAGGGGTTCAGCTTCTATATACTTGTTCTATAAAATACAAAACATGAAAATAATATCTAAAAATATTCCTCAACCAAGTTTTTTTCTGACTACCAATACAACTTGTATTCCTTTATCATTTTGTGTCATTTGAACACATCCACATCGATTTTCTGTATATAAGACATGATCAGGTAAACTACATAATTGACGTTCTTTTATCATTCCTTACAAAATTTGAAGAGCGTATGAAAAGTTGCCTTTTTTCAGAATTGGGATTTCAACTTTAGAAAATTTAAATAAAATTCCCTTGAATTCTTTCCATTAGATGTACAGTACAGCTCACGAGTTTCTTCCGGATTCCACCGGCCACGGTGGACTTATGTTCCACGCTTTTCCGTGGAACTTTAGAAACGTCAGCGTCTTTGAAGTTCGATCTCCGATCCACGGTGTGACACGGTGCGTACACGGTGTGACATGGTGCCTAAAAATTGCAAAAATGTTCCTCCACGGTGCGACACGGTGTGCACACGGTGTGACACGGTGTCTAGAAAGTGCGACAATGTTCGTCCACGGTGCGACACGGAGTTATTCCACGATGCGAGTCTGTGTTTCAGCACGTTGTTAAACGGTGCATTTCTTCCAATTCTACTTAAAATATTGTATACTTCTTTAATTTTTCAAACAAATCATTCAAAGCAGGTCCATCAATATATAAAATCAAAGTAATATTCCATGTTAAATGCACGTTTTTGGAAGACATGTTCTAAGAAAGTATTTTGTTTTAATTTTATCAAGATAGTATAGTACATGTATGTGTTTATACTTATATTTGCTATTTATTCTTATTCTATAATAATGACGAAAGAATTTCATCGTCTTAATACGTCGGTAGCTTATAACCTCTTAGGCCTGCACCCTGTATTAGTTACACCCGTAGGCGATTAAACACAAGATGACACACCTGTATACACACGTGCCTTGTCCTGACGTAACCCACATATTATTGTTGACCCCCCCCCCCCCCCCCATCTTCACTATTAAATGTACATCCCTCCTTGATTTTTTTTAATATTATAAATTTGCATGGCTCAGTTCTTTTAAAATTCCTGTGTCACACATTCACTGCGATTTCTATTACATGTACCTGTTACATATCTATATACAATTATATAATAACAAAAATTCTTTAATTATGTAACAAAAACAGACGTAAAATAATTCATTTTAAAATTACTTGTGGGGTTATTAACAAGAGGCCCCTGGGCCTTATAGGTCACCTGAGCATTATTCAACAACTTCCCAGTGACTGAATTTGATCCATGTTTTAAGCCAGATGCTATAGCATTTACCATCTGGTCATCATAACTATACACTTAGCAGTTCCTTAGTTTGGTTACTTTATACCCATAGGCAGGGTAGGGGAACAAAAAATGCATTTCAACTAATCAGTAATATTCAGCAATAATCAGTAGTGCCGCTACCACACATGAACCCTTGACTCTTAGGCCTAGATCCACACATTGCACTATTTTTGGAAAGGCATACTTGCTTTTCAAAAATATTTGATTAATACCAAGGAGCACATTTCAAACAATTCATTCATTTTCAGTACATAAGTACAGCCCCCCCCCCCCCACTATGGTACAACTGACCCTGGGGCCTTGAAATTTACAATTCTTGAAGATTAGGGATTGCTCATAACTATATAGGTAATTCATCTGCTTAAAACCTAGGAGCAAAGAAGAAAATATTCAAAGATTTAATGTTTTTTCACTATACATGTATAATCAATACAGCCCCGCCCTAACACCAGAATCCCTGACCCTGGGGCCATAAAATTCACAATTTTGGCAGAGGCACTCTTGTTCATCATAACTATGTACTTAGTTAGTTTATTTAATACCCAGGAGTAAAGAAGAAGATTTTCAAAGAATTCATGTATTTCCTCTATATAATCAATAGAGCCCCACCCTGACACCAGAACCCCTGACCCTGGGGCCATAAAATTCACAATTTTGGTAGAGGCACTCTTGCTCATCATAACTTTGTACTTAGTTAGTTTATATAAAACCTAGGAGCAGAGAAGAAGATTTTCAAAGAATTCATGTATTTTCACTATATAATCAATAGAGCCCCGCCCTAAAACCAGAACCCCTGACCCTAGGGCCATAAAATTCACAATTTTGGTAGAGGCACTCTTGCTCATCATAACTATGTACTTAGTTAAATTATATAAAATCTAGGAGCAGAGAAGTAGATTTTCAAAGAATTCATGTATTTTCACTACATAATCAATAGAGCCCCGCCCTAACACCAGAATCCCTGACCCTGGGGCCATAAAATTCACAATTTTGGTAGAGGCATTCTTGCTCATCATAACTATATACTTAGTTAGTTTATTTAATACCCAGGAGTAAAGAAGAAGATTTTCAAAGAATTCATGTATTTCCTCTATATAATCAATAGAGCCCCGCCCTGACACCAGAACCCCTGACCCTGGGGCCATAAAATTCACAATTTTGGTAGAGGCACTCTTGCTCATCATAACTATGTACTTAGTTAGTTTATTTAATACCCAGGAGCAGAGAAGAAGATTTTCAAAGAAATAATTCATTTTCACTATATACTTATTTAGCCCCGCCCTAGTACAAGAACCCCTGACCCCAGGGCCATGGATTTCACAATTTTGGTAAAGGACTCAATGCTGATTACAATCATGCAAACAGTTTGACTGCTTGATGTCCAGGAGTAAAGAAGAAGATTTTTGAAGATTGCATTAATTTTAGTGGTTTTGGCCCCACCCCCCAGGCCCCAGGGGGGCAGGGATCATGAAATTCACAATTTTTGTTCCCCTTCACCCATAGATGCTTTGTGCCAAATTTGGTTGAAATTGGTTCAGTGGTTGCGGAGAAGAAGCTGAAAATGTTCAAAAGTTTACGACCGATTGACGACGAACGACGTACGACGGACGACGACGGACAAAAACAGATAGCAATAGGTCACCTGAGTGACTCAGGTGACCTAAAAAGACAGTGTGAAACATAAAGCCCCCTTTTATAAATCTCTCTCTCTTTCTCTCTCGGATACCAGTGGCGGATTCAGAGGGCATACACCAACACACACACACACCACCCTTGGATTTACAAAAAAAAAAGAAACAGAAAGAAGGGTGTCCCAATTTTTTGTTGTGTTTTTGCTATAGAAATATAGATATGTTAACTGAAAGTCTAATGTTGTAATATATAAAGAAATTTGGTTGCGAAAACAAAATGAAACCCCACCCGGACCCCTTTAACAAAATAGGATTTTCGGGTTCAGAGATATATTTTCCTTTCATTTTCAAAAACTTTCAGGTAATCCATACAAATACTTTTCCGATTTGATCAACCTCCCACGTTTAAAAACCATACTTCATCCTATATCCCATCGAGTTGTTTAATTACATGTATAATTATGTAAAACGTACATTATAATTAGAACTCTTTTCCCTTCAATCCCCTGTTTGAAAAACCTTTCACCCTTACACGCTGAAAATCAAAAAAAAAAAAAAAAAAAAAAAAAAAATCACCAGTAGAATTTTTGGCAAATAAAATCTACTAACCTCAGTACAAATATTACTTCATTCAGAAATGTATATCGAATGAAAAATGAAAAAAAGAGTTTGCGGCGAAACATAGATATTTAGCGATTTTAAAAATGGTTTTACCCCCCCCCCTTACCCCTTCTAGAAAGTGATACGAATCGGCTAATTTAAACTTTATCCGAAGTCAGCAAAATTTAAGTTTTAAAAAATCTTAATACATGCTTATTTGTGTCTGAAAAGGATATAAAAAAAAAATTAACATTATAGTACATGTAACTTTATATTCATTGTTGTACTGAAACCTGGAAGATAAATTTCGTTTGATATCAGTTGAGTGTGTTACATGTATACACTTGCTGTGATCAGAACTAAAGAATATAAAAGGTGTGATAAACATACGGCGCCCCTGACCCACCGGCAGGGACCCAATATATTTTTAAAACAGGTGTGAACTCTGAACTGACCATGAGAATGTTTCAAATCAGGAGAGAAATTCTTTCCGCGTAAACAGACTTTCAAGGTCACCTAGAGTCATGCGATTTTGATTGACAGGTGAATGAGTTGATGCACAAGAATCTCGCGTGTACAGCATGTACATGATTCAGGCACGTAGTATCAGGGGGGGCCAGGGGGGGCCTGGCCCTCCCCCCCACTTTTTCTCCCGACATTACCTTTACTATAGAAAATGTTTACTGAAAGGAAGGTTGGCCCCCCCACATTTCAGCACAGTGTAGTGTTATAAAGAAAATTTACCCCAAAAAGTTTGAATTGAAAGATAGTCGGTCTTGAAAAAAGTTGGCCACTCCCCCCCCACCCCCCCCCCCCCCCCCCCCCCCCCCCCCCCCCCCCCCCCCACGAAATAGGATTTTGGACTTTGGGCAACTTTTTTTTTTTTTTTTTTTTTTTTTTTTTTTTTTTTTTTTTTTGCTTGTCAACTTTTTCAGGTAAGTAAAAAAAAAATTCTCAGGTTGGCCCCCCCACTTTCAAAAACGATGCTACGTGCCTGTGATTCATTGCATTAAATGGGTTTAATATGAACCAAAGTTGTGGAAATTAATTAGAATTATAGAATGATAAATTTTGACTTCCGTAACCTAAATAAAACAAAGAATTAAAAAAAATAATAGACTTTGTCAGAGGGAGTCTCTCTCTCTCTCGTATTGCTTTTTACACCCTTGACAAGAAAAGAAAAACTGATTAAAATAAAAAAAAAGAAATAATTACTTGCAATAACATAAAGTAGTAAACACTAGTCTATGAAAATAATGTTTGCTGTTACGAGAAATACATTAACTTTGGAAATTACTGCATTTCTGAACAGGTATGAAAGATATTGAATATTGAGTAAAATCTCTCTCTCTCTCTCTCTCTCTCTCTCTCTCTGAACATTCTAAAATGTAGAACTGAATTAAAATCAGTTTAATTATTATGAAAAGAGTAAATTATATATGATTTGTAGAGGAATATTTAGAATGCTGCTTTAGCAGTTCGTACTAATCCCAGACGAGAAAAACAAGAAAAAGAATACCGGATACTCAGGTAGAAATACATCCACATATTCGAAAGGAATTGAATTTTTATTATGTCTCAAAATGTCAGGATAAATCAATGGATACATACAACTGCCAGATTTTTTTGTGAATGTATACAACTAGTCAACTACCAAACTATGTGTAAGAATTATCGTGAATACTAGGGTTTATTTTTCTTGCATGCATTTTTTCTTTCTCGCATGTAGCAACTTACTAGTATCTTCATTGATATGTGGTCTATCTATTTATACTATAATTATTTCTACAAAATAAGGGTATATTCATAATCTGTATGTATACTGACTCGTCATTTTTTTTATTTCACTATTTTTATTTTCGAAGTAGGAATCAGATAATGTTAAATTAGCTATCTGATATATTAAATATTTGTAAATATCTTTTTATAATAATTATTTTACAGAGAAAATGATCGCTAAAATTATCTACCCGTGTCTATGTTTCGCACTGAATATGTTAAACGACAATGTACTCTCTTGTACTTGGATTTGTACATTCGGATTTATCGCTTATATCGGAAACATAATAATTAGCACAATAGATATATATAATTGTTCTTGTTTTCAAATAAATATGAAATATGAATTCAACAGAAGTAAGATTTAAATTTATTCAATATACTTGGCAATCATACCGTCAATGGCGAACCAAAGTTTACACCTCGAAGCTGTTATATTATAAACTCACATGTTTGTTAACGAGTTGTTTGTATTAAGTCAATCTTCATTTTTGATTTTTTCCTAGCTATCAAATAATCATTATTTATATATCAAAATTCTATAACTGAAATGATTTTTATAAACAAACTATTTTCTTCCGTAATTTTCTCGCACGGTGGAACACGGAGGGTCCCCCAAGGAAACGGTAATGTCCACGGTGTTACACGGTGCGTCTCTGGAATGATCGCAATATACACACACCGTGGAACACCGTGTACACGGTGTAACACGGTGTATTTTACACCGTGTATTTTCCACCGTGGGGTGGCAAAAACTCGTGAGCTGTACTGTATGCATTAAAACAAAATAGTGAACTGAGTTCAGATACTAGCAAGGAGATCGAATTAAATAGATTTCTGTAAAAAAAATTGAATAAAAAGTTAAAAACATGAGGGCTAGAATTCTCTCTGGTACAGCTGAAGTGATTAGATAAGGTACCTGTTGTGAGTATAGCACTGCTAAATTAACACAGGCTGTGGCCACAGAGGGGTGATCTGGTCCAAAGGACTTCTCCCTGATTTCAATAGCTCGCTTGTACAGGGGCTCGGCCAACTCAAATTTACCCTACAACGTCAATAGCAAAGTATAATTCCTTAGCTGAGTCGCTATCGTTCCTTAACAGATGACAGTTTTCAATCCATTAAAGTTAACAAATATAAATTTTATTTATATATGGAACTATAAAATTTTCAGTTTGAAATGTATGATACAGATCATGACACTCAATTATGTTTTAATTATTATTTACAGTTTCGTGCATTGGCATGTTAATAAATCTACTTATATTAGAGTTACATGTACCTGTTTCCTGTAGAGTAAAGCCAGGTGTTTTATAACTGAGGCTACACTATCATGGTTTACACTGAAATGCTGAAAGTAAATTTTTTTCTGTTAAAATCTTGTCAAAAAATTGATTTTAAAAAAAGTTTTAATTGAACAATTCTGTATATTGATTACTGATAAATTCTTCAGTACACAGAAGAGGTCAACGTTCTTAGTTCCTAATCTTGATCAGTTCCATTGTAACATTTAAGAAAATTTAGCATGGAGAAAGAAAAAATTGCATTATTATAATGTATGGTTTATAAATGTTCCTCCATGTGCATAGATACACAGTTTCCAATATCAAAGTCCCAGACAGCCTTACCTTCAGTCTGATCTGCAGGGCTCTCTCATACAGAGGTTCTGCCTTGTCGTACTGTTTTCTGTCATTGTACAGAGCAGCTAAGTTGTTCAGTGACTGGGCCACATCAGGGTGATCTGATCCTAGAGTAGCCTCCCTCATCTCTAGGGACCTCTTCAACAGAGACTCAGAGGCCCTAAAAATTAAAATACAAGAATTTTCTTACATAAGTTCAATTTAAACAATATCAAAGAAATTTTGTATATCTGGATTTGATTGAATTTGACTGAAGATCATATATATTACTTACTCAAAATCATTTTGTAAATAATGTAACACTCCAAGCTCATTAAGGGTTCTTGCCAGGTCTAAGGAGTCTGGACCAATTGCTAACTCCTCAAGCTGAAGAGCTCTCCTCTGTACAACTGATTTCATCTGTCCCTGTAATTGAAACCAGCAAAAATATAAAGGAAGAAAAAAACATAGGTAATCAGAGATTACAGAGCTCACCTCAACGAATGTTGTCTTTAAGTAAGGCAAAGTCACACAATTAACCAACAAAAAGTGTACATCCAAAAATGCAAAATTTATGCAATTTTGATTTGATACTTTGGAATAGACCTATATAAAAACTTCAAACTAGTTCTTCATCATGTAAACGTAATTAACGAGTTTTCATCCCTTGATGCATTATTTGTGCAAGTTTGGTTTATATAAGCTTTATAGTTTCTTGGTAATAGACCTGCACCCATAACTTTTACGAGGTCCATTATCTGGAAAATGTATGTCGAATTCAGCATCTGAAGCAAGTCCATTAGTGTGCATCCTAAGATGTATCATCCATGCAAGTTTGCTCAACATAGAGCTCAAAGTTACTTGGAAATGAAACCTGTATAAAAAAAACTCATCTTTTCATTAATCCAGAAAATGTAGGTCAGATTCAGCATCTGAAGCAAGTCTGGTAGAATGCACCCTTGTACCATCCATGCAAGTTTGGTCATTATAGGGCTCATTGTAACTTGGAAATGAAACCTGCACCAAAAACTTTAACCTGTTCACTCAACCGGAAAATGTAAGTAAGATTCAGCATCTGAAGCAAGTCTGGTAGTATGCATCCTAAGATGTACCATCCTTGCAAGTTTGGTCATTATAGGGCTCATAGTATCTTTGAAATGAAACCTGCATCCAAAACTTTAACCTGTTCACTCAACCAGAAAATGTAGGTCAGATTCAGCATCCGAAGCAAGTCTGGTAGTATGCATCCTTAGATGTATCATCCATGCAAGTTTGGTCATTATAGGGCTAATTGTAACTTGGAAATGAAACCTGCACCAAAAACATAAACCTGTTCACTCATGCGGAAAATGTAGGTCAGATTCAGCATCCGAAGCAAGCCTGGTAGTGTGCATCCTAAGATGTACCATCCATACAAGTTTGGTAAACATAGGGCTTATAGTTACTTGGAAATGAGACCTACACCAAAAACTGCACCAAAAATGTTAACCTGCTCCAAAAACATTAACCTGGTTATTCTTCTGCTGAAATTGCAGCATCTGAAACTTTGACTGGTACAATGAAACACACTAGAAACATCTTCCATGCATGTCTAATCAATATAGGACATAGAAGTACTTAAAAAGAAAACTGCTCCAAAAAACTTATCCTTAACCTGGGACGCCGACGAGGATGCCGACACCGAGGGTATTACATAAGCTCCCCCAACTTCGTTGAGGTGAGCTAAAAATTGACATAAAATGTAAAACAGAGAAAAGACAAATCAAATAATGTTAATGAATCTTCAATGGAGTAAAAAGAAAACATACAGAATTAGATCTTGGTGTCTTCACTTTCTTTCTAATGGATACAGCTCTCTTCTTGAGAGGTTCTGCCAGGTCATGCCTGATAAGAAAAGATCAAGGCATCATTATATCTGAAGTGAGTTTTCTTGACATGAAGTAATGTGTCCTGAGTTGTTGTGCATTGTCACTATTTCCATTCACTTACTTGTCCTGCTTTTGATAAAGGACGGCGAGGGCATCCAGTTCCTTGGCCACCAGGTAGTGGTCAGAGCCGTACCTATCCACATATATATCCAGGGCCTGTTTATAGAAGGTCTCCGCTGTGGAGAATTTCCCCCACTGGGCGTGGAGCCCAGCCAGTTGGTGGTGGGATCTGGCTACAATCGGATGATCCGGATCCAGGGCAATCTCGCGGATTTCTAATGCTTTCTGTAAGGCTGGAACAGCCTGGATGATAAAATATGAATTACCGTACAACAGTGAAGTTGTTTGGAAGAGTAAGAGTCAATTACAACATTTACACTTATAAAATACATGTGCATACACAATGTATACCATTCTCAGTTTTCTGATGGTAATAGGAAGCAAATAATAAACTTCAAATACATGTAGCATCAGTTTGGTGGTAATATAGCAATTCTGGCTTTATGTGCATTAACATGAACACAGAAAATTAGTCAGAAATGCTTTTTATAAAATAACTTTTAACATTTTTGATACAGTGAATAAAAGTATATTCTAGTCCTCACCTGGTTCAGAAGTCCCAAGTCTTTGAGGAATTGTCCCAGAGACTCAAACATGTCAGCAATCCGGGGTAGAGTGATCAGTCCTCCATGTTGCCCCACAACTAGAATTTTATATAAATCAAATTAAATTTCATTCATAAAATTAATTAAGCTCAGCAATTCATTTGAAACCAGAAGTCTCTGTCGAGACTGAAGCTCTACTGGTTTGAACTTATAGCAAAGGAAAAGAAAAGTACTTAAGCAGCTGGGATTTGAAATTTTACAACAGCAATAAATAGAATAATGATTGTTGATAAAGTCTCTTTATGTTCTTAGTGTAGTCTACTTGTGTGCCAAGTTATATTGAAATCAGACCAAAACTGTAGGAGAAGTAGCATTTTGAAACAATTTTACAGTCATTTCTATTTTTAGTAACCATAGCAACACCGTTCATCAAAATTAAAATTAAAATTCGATACACAGAATTATGTATCTTAGTGTATTCTACTTATGTGCCAAGTTATACTGAAATCAGACCAAAACTGTAGGAGGAGTAGCATTTTGAAACAATTTTACAGATATTTCTATTTTTAGTAACCACGGCAACACCGTTCATCCAAATCAAAAACCAATATACAGAATTATGTATCTTAGTGTATTCTACTTGTGTGCCAAGTTATTTTGAAATCAACCAAAACTGTAGGAGGAGTAGCATTTTGAAAGAATTTCACAGAAATTTCTATTTTTAGTAACCACGGCAACACCGTTCATCGAAATCAAAAACCATACACAGAATCTTTCTGCTCTATTCCTTACTTTGTGCTATACACAGTTTCTGTATTCTAATTTGAAATCAGACCAAAACTGTAGGAGGAGTAGCATTTTGAAACAATTTTACAGATATTTCTATTTTTAGTAACCACGGCAACACCGTTCATCGAAATCAAAAACCGAATTACAGATTTATGTATCTTAGTGTAGTCTACTTGTGTGCCAAGTTATACTGAAATCAGACCAAAACTGTAGGAGGAGTAGCATTTTGAAAGAATTTCACAGAAATTTCTATTTTTAGTAACCACGGCATCATCGTTCACCGAAATCAAAAACCGATATACAGAATTATGTATCTTAGTGTAGTCTACTTGTGTGCCAAGTTATACTGAAATCAGACCAAAACTGTAGGAGGAGTAGCACTTTGAAAGAATTTCACAGAAATTTCTATTTTTAGTAACCACGGCAACACTGTTCATCGAAATCAAAAACCGATACACAGAATTATGTATCTTAGTGTAGTCTACTTGTGTGCCAAGTTATATTGAAATTAGACCAAAACTGTAGGAGGAGTAGCATTTTGAAAAATTGTTTACAGACAGACGGACAGAAAGACGGACAGACGGACGGACGCCGGACGCATTACTATCGCATAAGCTCTTCTGGTCTCTGACCAGTAGAGCTAAAAATCACTTCTTCACAAAATCAATGTGCCATTTTTCAAGCTAGAAGTGATGTTTGCATGAATATGAAGAAATATAATACATTCTCAAATTCTAAGCTTTCAACAATATCATTAATTTAAGTCAAAAAGCCATCTAATTATAATTAGGGGATACATATCATTTCTTCACCTTCTTCCATTTTCCTGGTAGCTGTGAAGTAAGCCTGAGCCATACTGTTTTTGTCTGTTGTGATAGACTGCCAGTAACTGATCAACTCAGCACACCGTCCCCTGTTCAAAATAATGATATTCTCTCAGGGAATTTCGCTCATTTTTCACTAGGTTTAATAAAGACACTAATTACTTAAAGCAAAAAAAGTCATTTGTAGAATACTTGTGTCGATAAAATAGCTCTCAAACATGATACAAGTACTGTAGAAGTACTTTTTTCCATGTGGTATTAATTTACGAATTTACAAATTTTTCGCGGAAATTTGTACAAGCTTTCTTAATATAAATGTAAGGCATATAGTGACAGTCTAGGAAATCAGCGTAATTTTCTACATGCAGATTAAACAGAAATTGAGATTCCATAGAATTATGACCCCCTGGAAAAAACTATGTCTACAGTATATTGATGAACCAAGACTTCTGGTATCTGTGGATGTGTAAAACTTTTCCATCTGTTTAAATAGACAAGCATACCTTGCATACAGCCTTTGGAATATACACAAGTTCAGTATACACTTTTCCAGATTTTCTTTGTCTCCTTCAATCTTAAGCAGCCATGGTAACTCATCTGCCACTCGACAAGTCACCTGCCCAGGACTGGAAGAAAAGAATATGGATTTCAGTTTTAAAACCCCCAAAATACTCTTTGTTTTGAGATTGAATTTATTAAAAAAAAATTATGTGCGTGGAATAATAAATGAAAAATCCATGCCATTATTAAATTTTTTCCTCTTCTTATTTAATAAAGTTTGGTTAACAGTGGATAATGTTTTAAACAAATGTGTTACTGAAAGCAGATATAGTTCTCACCTTAAGAACTGTGAGAAATATTTAATAAGATCTTTTCTAAGCTGACTGACTAGCCGCGCCTCATCCTTCCCAAAACAGTAGTCCTGTACAGCACACCTAACCTGTAGCCAAAAAGAGAGTCTTGTCAATCTGGTTAATTCAACTTAATCTACTGGTGTCAATTAATATATCAAAGTAATTAATTAAAAAAGATAATTCTCAGATAATTCTAAAGCTACATTTTGAATGTATATGCATAAACTTTTGCTTTTTTTTAAAATGATAATTTATAACAGATTCATTCAAGATAGCAAGTATTTCATTAATTTTCAAATGGCTGACCTGTTCATGAGCAAAAGTTAGTAGTCCCCCTTGATACTTCAGCACCAAGTGATCAGTAAGGACTTCAGTGAATACAGTCAGAAAGTTCCAGGTCAAGTTTGGTATCAAGGCCAGTAACTCTGTCTCAGCGAGTCCCCCACGACTTACATAGAGGTATCTTAATATCTACCAAAGAAAACAAGAAAGGTTATTATTTAGCATAACTCACAATATCAAATGTACCACCCCAAAAAGACTAAGATTTATAAGATTGAAGTGACAACACCCTGAGTATCAGATAATGTTTGTATCTTAGATAACATATAATTTTTATGGACTGAAGTTGATTTGATTTGAAATGAGAGCATTGTGGGGTTTTTTTATGTTAAAGCACAACTCCTCCCAAACGGACAAGACTTGCTAGTCACTACATGCAGGAAGAATTTATCCTGTATCTTCAATGCTTCAAAGGCATAACAAACATAAAAATAAGACAAGAGGCCAAGGGGCCACAGCGCTCACCTGAGCACATCGGCTAGAAAAAGCACATATCAGATCAGAACTGAAAGTTTACTGAGGTGGGGGGGGGGGGGGGGGGGGGGCTTAAATTCCCCCTCCCCCCAGGGGTTCATGATTTGAACAAACTAGAATCTACAATACCTGAGAATGAATCCATATAAATATCACTAATCATGGCTTTGAAGTACTTGAAAAGAAGATTTTAAAAGGTATCCCTATAATATCCCTATGTAAAAATTGGGTTGGCCATTTTGGCCCCACCCTAGTCCCGGGGGTCATGATTTGAACAAACTTGAATCTACACTACCTGAGGATGATTCTACATGAGTTTCATCTTTCCTGGTCCAGTGGTTCTGGAGGAGAAGATTTTTAAAGATTTTTCCTATATATATTCCTATGTAAAACTTGGGTCGGCCATTTTGGCCCCACCCTAGCCCCGGGGGTCATGATTTGAACAAATTTGAATCTACATTACCTGAGAATAATTCCACATGAGTTTCATCTTTCCTGGCCCAGTGGTTCTTGAGAAGAAGATTTTTAAAGATTTTTCCTACATATTCCTATGTAAAACTTGGGTTGGCCATTTTGGCCCCATCCTAGCCCCGGAGGTCATGATTTGAACAAACTAGAATCTTCACTACCTGAGGATGATTCCACATGAGTTTCATCTTTCCTGGTCCAGTGGTCCTTGAGAAGAAAAATTTTTCCTATATATTCCTATGTAAAACTTGGGTCGGCCATTTTGGCCCCATCCTAGCCCCGGGGGTCATGATTTGAACAAACTTGAATCTTTACTACCTGAGGATGATTCCACATGAGTTTTATCTTTCCTAGTCCAGTGGTTCTTGAGAAGAAGATTTTTAAAGATTTTTCCTATATATATTCCTATGTAAAACTTTGATCGGACAATTTGGCCCCACCCTAGCCCCGGGGGTCATGATTTGAACAAACTTGAATCTACACTACCTGTGGATGATTCCACATGAGTTTCATCTTTCCTAGTCCAGTGGTTTTTGAGAAGAAGATTTTTAAAGATTTTTCCTATATATTCTTATGTAAAACTTGGGTCGGCCATTTTGGCCCCATCCTAGCCCCGGGGTCATGATTTGAACAAACTTGAATCTTCACTACCTGAGGATGATTCCACATGAGTTTCATCTTTCATGGCCCAGTGGTTCATGAGAAGAAGATTTTTTTTAAAATGCCATTAATTTTTCTCTAATTCATAATTATCTCCCCTTGGAAAAGGGCGTGGCCCTTCATTTGAACAAACTTGAATCCCCTTTACCCAAGGATACTTTGTAGCAAGTTTAGTTGAAATTGGCCCAGTGGTTCTTGAGAAGAAGATGAAAATGTGAAAAGTTAACAACGACGACAATGCCAGCGAGGACAGATGACGGACAAATTTTGATCAGAAAAGCTCACTTGAGCCCTCGGCTCAGGTGAGCTAAAAACTGTACTTACAGATTTCAGGAAGCCCCTTGTTTCCTGAGATTCCAGACTTATCCGGAGTAGATCCAGGATTTTGCCATACAAGCTGACACAATCCTGACAGGTCAGCAGAACATCCAGCTGGGATCCCACCTGGCCATCATGTTTCAGGTACCTGATTAAAAAAAAAATTCCATGTCACTTTCCTCAACAAGAATTACAGGTTATCTCACTATATACCGGTATAAGCATTTTTATTCTAAAAGATTCAAGACTGATAAATAATTTCTCTCACAAGTTTCTCTCGATTTTTCATGAATTTGCAAACCTGTATTATTTACAGTTTAAATAAATCAAAACAAGAATTATTCATAATACCTTCCCAAAGCTATCACTTAAATTTTATACTCCCTTACCCTGCAATATGTCTGGCTAGAACCATGACATAGAGAGGACTACAGGTAGCTGGGGTTCTACAGTGGGTCAGAATCAAGCTGTCTTCTGATCCAATCTGGGCGTCCATCGTGGCTAGCTCAGCATGGATCAGCTCCTTTACATTCTTGTTGCTGAGTGGTTCAACATGCAGTGTAGGCCATGCCCTGAGGAAGACAGAATACAGTTTTAACTTGCATGTACAGTCAAACCTTACTGTGGAATCATTATTGTTCGTGGGGGACCAATGTTCGTCGCTTTCATGGGAAACCCTGACCCACGAATTTACATCCCCACGAACGTATATACAAACGTTTGTTTTATTATTCATTATAAGTTAAATTATGAAATATAACTTGTTATCAACGAAATTACGTCTCCACAAACCAGAAAATTTTTGGCTACCCACGAACATTGACCCCATGAATAAAAATGATTCCACAGTATTATCTAATACCTAAAGGACTGAGAAAAAAATTGAGATATCTTAGGGTTCAGGATATTGAGGTTGACAAACAATAAGAACATAATGGGTAGGACTTTAAAATCAATTTGACATATCCATTGTATTCAAGATATATGAGATTGAGATACCAATAAGTTTTACAATATTTGTAACCTGATTAAAGTTAAGTGGCTTGAGTTCAAGTGACCTTGACCTACCTCCAGGCTTGAGGACACGTTTCTTCATCTGCAGTCACAATAACCCTGACATCAACTGGGAGTGGATCCAATAGCCATTTTAGGTGGATCTCTGCTTGCTTAAAAACAAACAGAACAAATTTCATAAAGTATATTGTGTTGAGGGTCATGCTTTGTAAATAAGGACATGTATATATAATAATATTCATATTTACTTGTAAAAGTTGTAGGAAAAATAGTATATTATTTAGGTTATTTTTTAGAAAAGTCTTACTGAGCTTGTATTTTTAATTTTTATTTCAGAAAAAAATCTCTAAAATTAGATATACATGGGGAAAAACAAATTAGTAAGACATACCTGAAATTTGTTGATTGAATCCAGAACCAGTATGACCCCTCCTGGGGTTTTCTCTGAGACTTTCTCCAGCCATCGTGGGAATTCCTCCACCAATCTGATTGGATCAGCGGTCAGGGCTGGTGGGGAGTTCACCTTCTGCATCAGCTGTCACGAAATTTAATCATATAAACAATTCTTTCTGATACTAATTAAATAGAATTTTTCTAGATTCTTGATTTTTTGTGTACATTACTAGATTAAAGTCTGATATCCATGTCTGCATGTACCATTTAACATTTGCATTATGAAAATAACCAGGGTCCACCTGAATCAAATATGTCCTTGTCTCTTTTTTTAATTTTAGTTTTTTAGATATACACATCTATAGTATCAGTATTTTACCTGGGAAGTTAACCTTCTGATCATGAAGATGGGGTCTGCACTAACTGAAGATTCAGACCCGACAAAATGGTACAATACCTGACCAGATGGGGTCTTCTCCTGTTGTAGATTCATCCTGAAATACAACATAAAATTTTAGCTCTAAAATTACATAAAAAAATCTTTTGCCTTTGAAAAGACTCTTTCTTTAAAGGTAAGGAATCTTTACCATTGAGCTAACAGCAGTGATCTGCCAGATCCTGGGGCTCCAATAATTAACAAGGGAGGAAGAAGTCCAGCTGAAGAAATGTGAGCATTCAGCCTCTCATAATGCTGTAATGAAAATACACCTCATTAAATGTGCAAACATGCAAAGTGAAACTTGTCTATCCCTAGTTTTGTGTAATCTGAAATACTGTCTACTTTGAAAAGTCTCTTGTAGTAAACTCAAATGTTCTAAATCCTGTCTAGTCTATAATGTTGTCTTATCCAGCCAATTTCTTTGGCACTATTGATGTAGATTAGAAAAGTTTTACTGTATACTGTAAACCAACTTTTATTCACGACTACTTTATTTCACGATTTAACAGGGATAGACTAGTTCGCGACGATTTATTTTCGCGATCAAGCCTTTTTGGGTCTGTTGTTACTACACACATACACTTTAAGGACCGCTTCGCGGCGAGAAATATTCGCGATGGCGAAGCTCTCGCGAACTTCGCGAAAATTTCTCGCACGCGAATAAAAGTTGGTTTACAGTAAGTACTACAACCTACATAAATGTTTATGCATGTATTCAGGTTAGCACTTCTATGCCATAGGCAGTTATCTTTATTTCAACAAACCTTCTCAAATCCCAGTTCACAGCTGGACTTGATTGAGAAGTTAAATGCCTCCATTTGTTCGTAATCCCCGTGTATATCCCAGGCCTGTCCCCCACATATCTTGTCAGGCCCCTCCATTTCCCCAGCTACATTCTCTTCATCCTCAATGCTCTCCTGTCCAGTGTTCATACCAACTTCCTACAATGAATTTTTTTCGTTAAGTTTTCTTTTGGCAATGACAATTTTTTAAACTGCAATAGGCAAGTAATGAGCATCCAAATTACTAACATACTGTATATTTCTTCATTTTACAAGACATGACGTTTCATGAAAAAAATTACGATCAAAATTACCCCCGCTTTGGTTATCATTGAGATCTTTTGATATGAATGAATGAATAGCATTAATTTTGTTCGATACAATCAATGAAAAGCAAATGCAATAACCCCCACCCTCCCCAAAAGCACAGTCTGTGATGTATGTATGCAATCACATCAGTAAGATAAAGATTTAGGAATGCAATATAATCTAAACAACTTACTGTTTTAATCATCTTTTCTATCTCCATTACAGCTTGCTCTACTCCACGGGAAGGTGCCGTGTAGCCATCAATTATTTTGGCATTCCCTTTCTGTCTTACTTTGTTTTTGAGTTCACTTGCTTCTGTGTGACTAGCTCTGTTACTAAATAAAAAAAATCATCATGAATATTAACTAGGTACTTTGGTATATCAAATAATGGTTGTTGATAACCGAATGCTTTCATGTAAAGGCCAGTGATAGGCTCAGTGCTCATACATTTGCAATTCCACATATTAAAATATTGTAGAGAATATGCTTCCCTTGAAAATGACTTCCAATTTTTTTTTACAATTGTATGTATTAAAACGTATGTAATCATTTAAAAGAAAATTACTGACTTGATCACCATTCACCTAGCATTATCTAACCCAATCTTACCCTTTTCCATCTCTGAAGGAGAACACAGCAGACAGATTGCTACCATTCTCTAAGTAACCACACTTGTACTCCCAGCTAGTGAACCTGATAAATCCAAAATACATATATTAAACATTTTACAACACAATAATCCTCATTCTTTCATAAAATTGTTAGTCGCTGATTTTATGTGTACTTGCCATTAGATGCATTTCATTAAATTTTAAAATAGTAAATTCCTGGTTAGTAATCACAAACCTGTCTGCAGCATCTCCAAGGAAACCCACAAATATGGATGATTTTTCTATCTGCCTCTTTCTTGTTAACTGCTGTCTTTCAATTACCTTAAAAATATGAATAATAACTCATTATTAAATTTAATAAATTATTGTGCTAATTTAAAAACACCTTTATTCTTACTAGGAAGCAAGTTTATCCAGCACATATTGATATCAGAATGTGTTAATCAACTTATCTAGATAAGAAATTATCTTCTTTTTCTGTTCAATTTTCATTAAAAAATAACATACTGAAACAAGAATAGGAAAGTGTTTTCTGCACAGTGTTTCTCTGAACAGATTCATTTACAAAATGGCAGAAACACACACAAAAACTCTGTAAAAATTACATATAAATCTTCCATTTCATACAAAATATTTTATACACCTATATGTACCTGTGGAGTAAGGTTAACATTGTCATCTATTGTCAGGTGGATCATGATTAGCTCCCTTCCCTCCCCATTACAGAGAGCTGCCAGGCGTGGGAAATATTCCTTCTGAAATATCTCCACTTCGACGTGAGTATCGCGGGGGGCGGACACATAGATCCTGATGATGGGGCTGAGGGCATGCTCGGGGAGACTGGGGATTATCTTAGTCAGGCTGGATATTACAGAGCTCCAATCCTCTGTAAGGTCACATAAAATCATATTATCACAAACATGTTAAAGTTATATAGTCATAGTCATGTAATGGGGACACTTAATGCACAATCATGTATGAAGTTCATATCAAAGTTGCAAAAAAGAATCACAATCATTGTTTTGTTTGTTTTTTCCTTTTGTGTCTCTATCTGAGAATTTCCTCTCAAACTATTTTTTCGTACCTCTATTGAAAATGTGTTACAGAACAATAAGTTTTTCATAAATAAATTAGATATGGCTTATCCACAAATAAAACAATTTACTAAAACATAACCCGCCCTTTTCCAAAAGTAAATTGCTCCTACCCTTATTAATATTGTTGAATGGACCCTCCGTCTCCATCATGCCGTGTGCAAATTCTGGTCCCCTCAATGTTGTCTGGTGCCCCTGGCTCATATTACTTAGTGAGGGCTCACTCTCTAGGGCTGTCCACCAGTCACCTGGGTTTGGACTTCCTGTACATATATATATTTACATGATATATAAAATTATATTAAAATTTGAACACAACATTTCTCAGTAATAAAACTTGAGACTCTTACTTACAAACAAATTCTTTCCAAAATAAGTTGGAAATAATTCAAGAAATTGAAATTTTGAAAATTCTTAGTTAATACATGTATGCCATCACCATGCCTACCTAAAGATGCATCAAAATCTGGTCTGTTTGAAGTTTCTGAATCCTCTAGACTATAACCAGAGGCCATTTTGAACACTTTATTTTCTAGGGCTCTTTTATCCCTCAACAATGTCTGTAACTGTAACTCCATGTTTTCCCTAAAAATCTGAAATTATAACAATGTAAAGATTTTAAATATTGCTAAAATTTTATTAAAGGAAATATAAGTATCTAGAATGTTCACAATACCAGTAATGAAAGAATTTTACACTGCATAGAAATATTATATAGTATACATTGTACCACATATCGTTTAATTCAATTCAGCTTTTGGGGAAAAATTTATAATAATTGTTGTGTCAAATAAAAGGACAAAGAAAATTTGGTATAAAATTTTGTCTCACAGTATGCTTCTGCTAAAAGCAGATTAAAGTCAATCAAATTTATACTTGCATAAAAAGTACATGATTACTATGTACTTTGTGCTAGCAATCACATCTTATATCGCTTACTTTAAAATTTCTCTGGACTTTGTCTCTGTCACTTTGAAATGCTGCTGCCCGGGCCTGGGCTGCCTGCTCCGCTTCCGCTGCCTTGTCACGCTCTGCCCGGAGATTGGTACAGGTTTTCTGGAGGACTAAGAGCTCCGCTTTCTGTCGTTTGTTTTCTATTTGTAATCTTGTCTCTTTCTTCTTCATGTCTGCTATGTCATTTTCTTTGTTTAGTCTGAAAAAATTATTTTTTTAAATGGCTTAGATTTTTTTTTTTATCATAAGCTAGTTCATATTTTTTTCAAAGGTGACATTACAATGTAGTCATTCAGTCAATAATCTTTCTTTCATTAATAAAATAGTGTAATTGCTTAAATTCCTTAACATAAAGATACTGATTGCATTGGCATTGGATAGAACTTATTTCAGTACTATTTTTTTTTTTTGCCAAAGGTTTTTACAAATGAATGCCTGAATCTGTAGCTCTCTCCAAGTGCAGTCTGGTATGTCTGATCAATTTTTTTTTAACTAGAGAACTACAGTTGTGCAGCTAGGTTACATATTATACAGGCAGCATATTGTACAAGGGAAAAAAACTTGTAAAATGTGTAATGTAATGTGTACTATGATTAATTTATAATCTCATTCAATAAGAATGAACATACCTGTACATCTCAAATTCCTTTTTGATTTTCTCCGCCTCCGGATTTTCCAGATCCACCGACAAAGCTGACTGCAAACTCCCCCCGATTCTTTTATTTCTGCTGGAGCCATGACTAAATATTCCTAGTTTTCCTCTGGGTTTTATTTCCACTGGGATTCTTTTGATGACCCCATGACTGCTTCCATTCAGGTCGTTACCAAAAATATCGTCGTCTTCTGGATTATTCAAAAACGACCCACCGGTACCCATTTCACAAAACCGTTGAAGTCAAATTTACATTTTATAACCCTATAATGGTTATGAAATAAATATCTTGAGAGAAATTTTCTTATTTCTTTCTTGACGTATCATCGTATGTCAACAAAAACAGAATAGAGTTTGGAAAATTGGAATGTCGAACCCGATCTCTGTCGATCACACGCATTCTCTCCCCATGTATTATCACTCGTTTTGTTTCTATACCTTAATGTCTTTATGTAGGGAGTAGATAGAATGTTCTATCGTTAAAATGATATTGTCCTACGGACCCGGTTTAACGATAGAATTCGTTCCGTGTATTCGTAATGTAGCAGAAAGAAACACAACGCATAGTGCATTTTATGAACAATCTAGAGATGAATGTAAACATGGAGGTAATTTGAATCGAGAGAAAAACGTTGAGAAAATGAATTGGATTTTCGTATTTATATGGATTATTTTTTTGGGATAAAAGGCATAAGCAATCTCAAAAAGGTTTGTTATGATTAATTTGCAAGTTATTTTCAGTGCAAATCCGTTTGTATCCTTCAAAATCGTTTCGGTGCGATTCTGCAATTTTTTGCTACATTACGAGTATATGGGTGGTATTCTAACTGTGGTGAGGGCTTGTACCGAGACACAGTTAGATTATTCTAACTATGTAGGGAGCAGTTCATGCAACAACTTTTTATAAAATCATGAATTACTAAATATCTGATAAGAAATAAAAACAATTTGAATCATAATAACAAAAATTAAGACGACATTTAAAGCGATTTTAAAAACCTTTATCAACGACAAGACATTTTATGTTCGTTATCATTCAATAAAGACATTTCATCGAGGCAATGAAAAAAATACCCCCATGTGCATGTTCTAACACAACTACATCGCTGCACGATGGTAAAAGTGCTGGGGGGAGGGGGATAATTGAAAGAGAGAAAAAAAATTGAAACCTACAAAAAATTCCGACAAGCAAAAAAAGGAAAATTTTTAAAAAGGAAAATCCTATTTCGGGGGGGGGGGGGGGGGGAGGTAGGATCGAACTTTACTTCTTTCAGTACTGAACAATTAAAATTTTTCTCCAAACACTACCACTTACCTTTTTTTTACCGACACTGCAACGTGCCTGTTGAAAATGATGAAGGGGGGAGGGCTAAACCTACACCCCAGTGTTAAATAAATGCCTATACTACCGGGGTATGTCTATCTTTGCTTTAAACACAAAAGGGGGTTTTGTTATAGCCCTCCTAGCCTCCCGGTTCCGACGCTATGGTGCGATAGTAAACTGCTTGCCTCTATCCGTTTTCCGATACATCATCACTACTAGCTATCTGCATGGTTTCTGTTATTGTTCGTCGGATTTAAACGTCATTTTCAGCCCCTCTGGAACGACCGAGCCAACGCAACTTTTTTTGTAAGATCGCATATACATGTATTGTGCATCTCTGGTCAAATGCACTATTACAGCCTCTGTTTTTCTTAGCGTTGGTCAGTTGCATGCTTTTCCACTTAGCCAATATTTTCTCATTCCCGACCCACAGTGATAGTCCTCGTTTTAGCAGACTATGGTGGATGCAGCCAAGTGCGAGATATCCATACTAGGTGCGACTGGGCGCACTTGAAGTGCACAAGGTTTTCCGGCTTTTAGAGACACGCCCTGTTACCAATCAATCCGCCACTGCTTTTTGGATAGCTGAACAGTAAAAGATAAACTTGAGGAGTGGGCTTATATTGGCTATGCCTGAAGCCCAATACATGTACATTCATGTTAAGCATGTTAAGTACATAATAAAATATGTTCAAATCAAAAGCTAAGAGAATCCTACAGAAAAATCTGGAGTGCAGTTTTGTTGACAGGTAAGAACTTAATTGTGCTCTGCTCTGGCAACTGCTGCAGTCAAGTGCAATATGACCCAAACATACTGGTCCTTAATTCCGTGTCTTTGGACACTATCAGCAAGATCGAGAGGGGGACTCTACAAAAAAAGAAAGCCAATCGCAGCGATTAATTCGATTGCACAACAAACCACTTTACCAACCACGCGTTCATTGATTTGTCCTTGCGTTAATCCTGGTAGGTAGTGAAGACCTTTTCCAGATGCAGTACATTACTGACTTCCCAATTATGCTGTTGGGCTTATTCGAGTTATTTTACGAGTGTGACAAGTACCATGCAGTAACGGCGACATCTGAGATAGTTTTCAAGTTTAAAAATGCAGTTAAAAAAGGTATTTAGCATCTTCTTTGCCTTTCATGCTCTTGGGTCGTCAACTGATGGTGTTTGCCTTTACACAAGATCAGATGACCACCATTTAAACATCTCTTGCTTTCGCTTAATGTCTAAAGGAGGAAAAGATCAGTATTCAAAATAAGACTATGTGATGATATGCCAAGGACCACCAAAGTCACCCATCTTCACCATCAAGGGGAACATCTGGAAGTCGTTAATATTTTTTCGTATCTGGAAAATACAGCCGCCATCACAATATCACTGGACACTGAGATAAACATACGCATCGATAAAGCCGATTCATTTTTAGCCGGGCTCATTGCTCGTTGAGCAATGCCCGGCTATTGCGACGGTGAGCAACAAGAAATGCTGCTTCTTCACCGCCAAATTGAGTTTACGAGTAAAAATATAGTACGTACACCCAGCCGCTGTTGAGAAAACAAAATTCATTCAAACACCCTAAGAAATAGTCAATCGAATATTTTTATCAAAATATTAAATTGTTTAATATTTTTCATGGCTCCTTTGACTAATATTTACAAAGCAATTCAAAAGGTGTGAAAGGTTTTCACCAGGTATCCCTGTCTGCGTCATATTCTATAAATATAGGTTGTACTATCAGGCTAACACAAATGCAGGGAACATCATTAATGACTTGATGCAAAACTCCCCGCTGAGGACACATCAGTACAGAGTCGTTTGACCTTAATTAATCTTGCTGCATCTGTGTTTACTGAGTATTTACTTCGCTTTGTATATAAAACCCCGAAACGATACATGTGATAAAAATTTTACGCTGTTAATTTCTAGCTATATTTTATTTAATTTTTAAAACTCTTTAATACTTTACATGCCATTGAGATATTTTTGTGTGTGACATATCCTCTAGACGTCTGAACTTGATTTTAAACTGTCACTACGGTCTTTGTTCATTACCCTGTAAATGAGCCCGGCTTTCAGTACTTCTGAGTACTTTGATTAGCTAAAGTCTTTTTGTTGAATGTCTTTCCTCGACTTCAAGTTTCAAGTCTACCAGGCTTGTTTTATCAGCGATCTTAATCTGTTCTATGTCAGCGAATTTTGCATGGGGATCCTACACGTAGAATGGAAACTCTATGTACTACACATGAAATACTAGTATGTGGAGACAACGAAGAGTATTCGAGCATTGAATTGCGGTTCTTGCTCTGAATCCTTAGTATATTGGTACGACAGATTAATCAACAGCGACATGTTAATAAATACAGGTAGACTAGACCGCAATTATGTCTGCCTCTTACATGTCTTAGACGTCTATAAACGTGATACGAAGGTCTTTGCTGTCGATAAAACTGCTTTGATTTCCTCTTTCAGAAGGACTTACCGAGGATGATAGCAAATTATATGAAGACCAGCAACAGAAGAAACATTTATAAGAAAAGTCAGACAACTATATACGGCTCAAGAAGACATTTTTGGAACACCAGTCTTTTCCTGTATCAACTGCTGCTAGATGAGGGTAAGCCTCAACAGCAAAAGAAAACAGTGCTCATTAACAACCCCTGCAGAAGCAAACTCATGATCTTCAAACTGAAGAATGCAAAAATAAAGGGATAACTATATTTGATGTATATTTTTAATGTTATAGAAAATTATCAGATTTCTAAATAAGGTGGCATGACCATAAATTAAATCTATTTTATACTGTACTGGTATAGTATATATTTGCAAATTTAACAACGCACGATGTTTGCAAGCTGTTTAATTGTCCAGTTAGCAGTTACTAATCAAAATTCAAAACAATAGCCAGCCAGAGAATGATGTTCTTGATTGAGACCCGCTGTATATTTTCGATCGATCGATCGTTCGGATGTACACGTGGTCCCCTGTGCTAACCTCCTTTATGGCAATGCCAGTGGAAAGACCCCCGTCTGACGCTCCTACGGCACTGGTGTCAGCCATTACACTTCCAAATGGAGAACCATTTAAAACGATTTCAGCATGGGCCCATTCACCATCTTGTACTGCGACGGACCAAGAGAAAACGTATATGCCGTTTTGAGGAACGATGAAAATGCCGTCATCTTTATGGTAACTATTGCCATGGTTTGTTATTACGGTGTCATACACCATGACGTGTTTTGCAGGTAGTTCTGATTTGAGCGAATTGATATAGGCATAAAACGCTACTCCCTCCGTTGGGGTATTTTGAAGAAGCAACCTAGTCTCTGAAAAACAAGTTGAAATACTAGTATGCATTAACATAACGTTCATCCAATCGTTTTTCGAGTGTAAATACGTGTTTTTTTTCTTAATTTTATTTGACCGTAGTACACATACATGTATTACATGTATATTGAAAATGACATAGAATTCTTACGTTTATCATGTCCGTTTCTTTTAACAACGTTATAGGTGTTGTTGGTGGATTCCAACAATTGCAAGTGAGCTCTAGAACTTTCCGGCACAGAATTGTTGTTATTTGATGTCGGCACAGTTTGTTGATCTGCATTTTCATGTTTAAATAGTATCTCACCGATAAGTTCGTGTAATTGCTTATTCCCATTGCGCAAAATTTCAATTCCCTTGTCCTGTTCTGTATTTTTCATCTTCAGTTTAATGTTTTCACTCTTTAATCTTCTGTTTTCACTAGAAAGTACTTCAACATCGTGCTCGAGTTTCAACAAGCGTGACTCCATAATCGTTCTCCATGTTTCAAAATCCAAATCGTTAGCAACAACACGATGAACCAGAAAAATGGAAATCAGTATTCCCAGAAGACGGAAACTATACATTGTCATAATTAAAATCGCTCCCTTGTTTCAAGGTATTTTTAAAAAAATTGCCGAATACTCCTTTTTCGGTATACTAGTTTTTCTTATGTCTTAAATACAAAATGTAGATCTTATGTCTTAAATACAAAATGTAGATCAAGTGAATACAGTAGACCCATTTGATTTAGACTCTATACCTATATGACTCGTTCTTATCTACTTATCTTCTTATCTAAGACATATCAGTGAAACATGGAATGTCTGTCTTGACTTTTGCGAAACCTTGATTTTCCTTACTGAACTCTTTGAAGTCGCAAATTAAAGTTAAACTATTGACAATTATTCATTAACAAGACTATATACGTTTTCTAACATTTTAGCATGAATTTAAACATGCATTTATGCAGAAGTTCAATATCATTGCAATGGATCTTTGGATCACGGAATGCATACATGTAGAACCACAAAACAAAATGAATTCAAACTTAAGGTTAAAAAAATAGGATCAGTATTGCATCTTTGAATTAAAACGGTCGCACTGAGTTATGCTCTTTGCAGACGCCTTGGCCCTGCTTCCCACACATAAAGTATGGTTTCCAAAACAGTGTCTATTTTCAGCAAATAAAGATTTCATATTTCATTTTTAACACAAAGGAACGTAATATCAACGAGATCAGCAGTAGATTGATTAGGACAATTCTCAGGTAACTTTGGACTTTCAGGAAGGCGTGGCATTCTCGACGTTACATAATTACCATCTGAAATTTACACAGCTTCCATTCACTGTTGAAATACACATGGGATAGAAATTCGGGCAAATGCCGATTAGTGTATCGAATAACCGATAGCATTGTCTCGCCCCCGGCAAAGAGGTAGAGCTTTAGTCGTCTCATCGTTGCAACAACAATTTAAAGCTCCCGATTCTATTAATTTCTTAACCAGTGAGAATCTATTCGTCATTTGACAGTCGCTAATTTCGTAGCGCCGAGAATGTCTCACGCCTTACAGAAAGTCCACGCTTCCTGAAGATGGTTCTAAGTGTATGTTGTTTTACGTCCCTTTCGATAATTATTCAATCAGATATAGACGTTCATATACCGATGAAGGGCTTCTTTCCTACATTACCCAGGCATTTTGGAACAAAGAAGTGTCACCAATAAGACGCTGTTGTCACCAATTCGTGAACGCAATTGACGACCAAACGCGTTATTAAATTTTTTAATCGCGTTCTATGTACCAGCGTCTTTCAAACGTTCTACATAAGACGATTGATGACGTTAACACGATTTGTAAACAATATACTGTATTTGCGAATAATATGCTACTGAATTTATATATTGTCCATGATATCTTTTTTATACTTTAAGAAATGCACTTGTCTTTTCCCCTAAGTATATTTAAACCAAAAGATGCCATTAAAGTAAGGATTATCTAGTTAAATAACCATGTACGATCAAGTACATGTTTCTCTCATTATTAAAATGAAATTCTCAAGTTCTGTAATTAAAAAATTGAAGAGTCTACATAGCTTTTTTATCTACTCTTCAGTATTTACCGGCAAAATTATCTTTTTTTTTTTTTTTTTTTTTTTTTTTTGGTTTTCCGAAAAATCTGGCGTTTTCCAGGCTTTTTATAATTTTGATATTTTACGTACCAGAGAAACGTCAAAACCTGCGGCGCCATTACGAAAACGGAAATTGATGTTTCCAACAGGAGGCGGCATTCTCTAGTCTCGTTTTTCCCAGACTCTCGCTCTCTCGGGTTAATTTTAGATACATATACTTGCGAAATGAATTAAATCTCAATCTTACAAGTTCTCAATAGTACAATACTTTAAATGCTTACAACATCGTTTTTATGGCTAATTATATCAAAATCGTAAAAAGCCTGGAAAACGTAAGGTATTTCGGACTAGTTATTTGAGACACGATGTTTACAAGACAAAATTTATTGATTCAAGTTTTCTCTCTTTAGTAGTCAATAAAAGAACATTAAAACAGTATCCAGCCAGCAAAAGATGTCCGAGCAGCAGACCCACTGTAGATTTGCGATTTTGAGTCATGAGTGACCGTTCGGATGAACACATGGTCTCCTGTGCTAACCTCCTTTATGGCAATGCCAGTGGAAAAACCTCCATCATACGACCCAGCTTCACCGGTGTCAGCCGTTATACTTCCAAATGGAGAACCATTTAGGACGATCTCGGCATTTATCCATTCGCCATCTGCAACTGCGACAGTCCAGGGAAAGACATATATACCGTGCTGTGGAACGGTAAAAATGCCATCTTCTTTATGGTAACCATTACCATAGTTTGTTATCACGGTGTCATACACACTGATATGCTTCGTGGGGAGATCTGAGGAGTGGACCGAATTGATATAGGCATAAAATGCAACACTTTCTCTGGGAGCGTTGGGTACAAGTAACCTAGGCTCTAAACTACAAATTGGAATGCTTTTATATAAATATCTCATTTAGACAAAATGACATTATATGCATATTAATCGCGGATTTGAATATGGGAAGGTACATATCACACAAATTATAGCGATTGAAATTTAATTAAATATAAAACATGAGAGCTTATACTTGATTCATATTAAAATTTGCCTAGTTTGTACATTAGATATGGGAAATACTTACGTTTCGCGTGATCGTTTCTTTTAACACTAGTCATGTTAGTAGACTCCGATAAGTGAAAGTGTATACTGGATCTGTTCTTATTTGATGTTATCAGAGTTTTCAAATCTTCATTTTCACGTTCAAGAATCTCATCAATTAACTCATGTAATTGCTTATTCGCATTTTGCAAAATTTCAATTTCATTGTCCTGCTCTGCATTTTTCATCTTTAATCTTCTGTTTTCACTTGAAAGTACATCAACATCGTGCTCAAGTTTCAATAAACGAGACTCCATGACCTTTCTCCATGTCTCAAAATCCAAATCATTCGCAACAACACCAAGTACCAGAAACAAGAGGCCCAGGGGCCACAGCGCTCACCTGAGCACATCAGCTAGGAAAAAAGACATATCAGATCAGAACTGAAAGTTAATTTAAGTTGGGGGGGGGGGGGGGGGGGCTTAATTAATAACCCCCAAGGGGATCATAATTTGAACGAACTAGAATCTACATTACCTGAGGATGATTCCATACAAATATTACTAATCCTGGCTTTGAAGTTCTTGAAAAGAAGATTTAAAAGGTTTCCCTATTTATTCTTATGTAAAACTTTGGTCGGCCATTTTGGCCATACCCTTACCCCGGGGTCATGACTTGAACAAACTTGAATCTACACTACCTGAGGATAATTTCACATGAGTTTCATCTTTCCTGTTTCAATGGTTCTTGAGAAGAAGATTTTTTAAGATTTTCCCTATATATTCCTATGTAGAACTTTGATCGGCCATTTTGGCCCCGCCCTACCCCCGGGGGTCATGACTTGAACAAACTTGAATCTACACTACCTGAGGATGATTCCACATGAGTTTCATTTTTCCTGGCCCAGTGGTTCTTGAGAAGAAGATTTTTAAAGATTTTTCCTATATATTCCTATGTAAAACTTTGATTGGCCATTTTGGCCCCAACCTACCCCCGGAGGTCATGACTTGAACAAACTTGAATTTACACTACCTGAGGATGATACCACATGAGTTTCATTTTTCCTGGCCCAGTGGTTCTCGAGAAGGAGATTTTTAAAGATTTTTCCTATATATTCCTATGTAAAACTTTAATTGGCCATTTTGGCCCCGCCCTACCCCTGGGGGTCATGACTTGAACAAACTTGAATCTACACTACCTGAGGATGATTCCACATGAGTTTCATCTTTCCTGGCCCAGTGGTTCTTGAGAAGAAGATTTTTCCTATATATTCCTATGTAAAACTTTGATCGGCCATTTTGGCCCCGCCCTACCCCTGGGGGTCATGACTTGAACAAACTTGAATCTACACTACCTGAGGATGATTCCACATGAGTTTCATTTTTCCTGGCCCAGTGGTTCTTGAGAAGAAGATTTTTAAAGATTTTTCCTATATTTTCCTATGTAAAACTTTGATCGGCCATTTTGGCCCCGCCCTACCCCCGGGGGTCATGACTTGAACAAACTTGAATCTACACTACCTGAGGATGATTCGACATGAGTTTCATTTTTCCTGGCCCAGTGGTTCTTGAGAAGAAGATTTTTAAAGATTTTTCCTATATATTCCTATGTAAAACTTTGATCGGCAATTTTGGCCCCGCCCTACCCCCGGGGGTCATGATTTGAACAAATTTGAATCTACTCTACCTGAGGATGATTCCACATGAGTTTCATCTTTCCTGGCCCAGTGGTTCTTGAGGAGAAGATTTTTTAAAAATGCCAATAATTTTTCTCTAAATCATGATTATCTCCCCTTGGAAAAGGGCGTGGCCCTTCATTTGAACAAACTTGAATCCCCTTCACCCAAGGATACTTTGTGCCAAGTTTGGTTGAAATTGGCCCAGTGGTTCTTGAGAAGAAGATGAAAATGTGAAAAGTTTACGACGACGACCACAACGACAACGACGACGACAACAGACAACGGATAAATTTTGATCAGAAAAGCTCACTTCGGCTCAGGTGAGCTAAAAAAGATGTCAATACAAAAGGAATGAACAGATGAGCTGTTGTCATAATTAATAACAGCTCTTTGTTTCACTCTATATAATGCTCTTTCGTCAGATAAACGTAGTTCTCTTGATGTCCTTCATTCAAATTATATATACAAGTGAATATAAGACACGAGTCCCTGCGTAAACTAGTATTTGACTTGTCATCTGTAGTGCATTTGGTGGCACTGCAATGAAACACTGATACAAGTCATCATGACTGTGTAGAATTTCTAGTTATAAAGAGCATTGGCGGATCCAGAGGGGGGTTCCGGGGGTTGGAACCCCCCCTTTATTTTTTGCCAAGTGGAGAAAGAGAAAGAAGGGGGATAAAACGTTTCCCGAGAATAAGTATTTGTACGTCTAACTTAAATATAAGTATTGAATAGATAGATTCTCACATATTTAGTTTTTCCATTCACCTTCACTATCACTTTTTATGAGCTAGTGAATGGTAGAAAATATTCTACTTATTTTCATATATCTTATATATGAGATGTAACATGCGAGGTTGAATTTGATATTAGATTCCCGCGATCTGAAATTGGCTGTGTTGGCTATATACAAGAAAGTGCCAATATTTTAAATTAAATCTTATGAAGGAACTTAAATTTAATTCATTGTTTTATACCCAACCCAAAAAGGATTTTCAAATTCTTTAAGAAAATCCATTCTACTCTTCGGAAATGCTGCAAATCCATTCAATTTTAAGGCTTCAGTAGTTTTTTGAATGTGTTAATTTTTTTTAATAGGACTGGGGGTACCTTTTCGAAGAAAAAAGGACGTAGAACAAAGATGTTTTCCACAATTTTATATTTTTCCATACATGTGTGTGTGAATCTTTGCCTGAGAGTGTGTAAGGGGGGGGGGGTTAGAGGGACACAACGCTGGAACCCCCCCTTTCAAAAATTGCTGGATCCGCCCCTGAAGAGGTTATTGTTCGCACCAAATTTTAATTGATGAATTAAATGAAACTGATATTCGATGGGAGTACCATTTAGAATTAGACCAGTTACACTGGTAGATTAAAACATGAAGGTGATTAAGGATATGGAGATAACGAACATTCAGTATCAAAATCTATAACAAAACAAAATAGGAGCAGAGCAAACACAGACCTCCAAAAAAGGTGGGATTAGGTACCATGGAGGAAAAAGCATTCCCTGCCGACCGGTCACACCCGTTGTGTGATCCTTGTCATGATCGGGAAATAACTGGAAAATGAACAACATTCAAGATCAAAAGTCCATTGATACAATACAGTAAACCAACTATTATTCGCGTCATCTTTTATTCGCGATTTGTCAGTTTGAAATCAATCCGCGGCTACTAATTTTTACAAATATGGAAACATTTTCTACAAATTCCAAAGCAAAATAAATGGTTCGCGGCGATTAATATTCGCGACTTAAAATAGGTCGCGAAACTCGCGAATATTTCTCGCACGCGAATAAAAGTTGGTACTTTGGCGCAGAGCAGATGCGACACATTCTTTTACAAATTTCAACTTCGGAGTACTTGTGTATTATATCAAAATTTATGATTAAAAGAAAATAATTTAGCAAATAATCAATGAAAAAATGTTTGTAAATAAACAGTATATATTCACATATTATGTGAATGAGCCAAAAAGGTGAGAAGAAATGCAAATACATTAATCGAATTTCTCTGGTGAAGTGCTCTAGAGAAACATTAACAAAATTTATTCAGTCACAGAATCCACTTATAGTATAAAAGAACTAAAACTGCAATCAAATGAGAAGGAGTTGAGTGACGTCATCAACTTTTACAGTCATTTAAAAGCATTAATGCGATGCGGCGACACCCTTCTTCGTCGTACCCCTTGGTCACCTTCTAATAGTTTTTTTTTTTTTAATTGTGTTTTTACTGAGGTCTTTTAAAGTCGAGCTCAAATAGCAGACTCTAAGCAGAAAGATTTATCTTATTGAACAACTGCAAAATAAAAAGAGACTGTGACTGAAACAATTTTTTTTTGATTTGACAAAATATTTTGGTACTCTTTGCTCCGGTCATTCAATATTTAATATCGGAGAGTAACAGTCCTCCAGCTGAGCTAATATATTTCAACGTCCTGAAAAAGACTTAATTATCTGTAAAAATTTTAACCCCTTCGTATTCTTTAGTGATATAAACAACAAAGTCTGACATATCTGTTTAATATTCGGACAAATTACCGGAAAGTTAATGGTAATTAAACAACAAAGCTTTATAATTAACATTAACTTTTCAATCGTCAAATTTCCTTACTTATGCAGTATACATTTATCATCTGCATAAAATGGTCACATCTCTGAATTGATTCGATACGTAAGAGCATGCTCTTCTATTAAAATTTCTAAAACGAGGTAAGTTGTTGACAAAGAAGTTGGTGAAACAAAAATATCAACACTCTCGTTTAAAGTCATACTTTTGTATGTTCTGTCGTCGATACAATGACCTTGTTGGCAAATACAATCTTTCAATAAGTAAAATGCTGACTGACTTTTCTTTTCATACTAATCGTTTGGGCATTATTTACCCATAGAATTGTCTACTGGTGTTTTCGGTATTTCCCTATCATGACAAGGAGCTCAGGGGCGGATGTGACCGGTCCATAGGGGTGATCCACGACACCTTATTCCATCTCTGATGATAGTTCTGCTCCTATTTTGTATTGTTTGGATGTATGACGTTAATTTGATCTCGATTACTTTTGGTACTCTCCATAAATGTTTCAATATGTATTTTTAAAATTATGCATTTCCCTAACGTTATTAATACATTTTTCTTTCCAACTTCACATAAGGAAATATTTTACGATCAACCTGCTTAAATCACTTTAAACCCAAATGTACAATCGCAACTTCTCGGGCCTTTCCGGTTAGCGGAAAAGCGACCTCGAATGGAGGTTGTTTTTCCGACCTCTGACGGAAAGACCCGAGATGATGCGATTGCCCAAAAGTAGAATTGATGCACACAACATAAATTGAGCATCAAACTGATAATTTTATAGCTGTATCCAGCTTTTATCCTATACAAATAAGCCGCCATTACTGAAGGATTTTGCAAGTGAACTTAAAGACAAAACTTGTTTACTAACGACAAATGCCCTCATTTAAAGAAAACAAAAAAAATCCAACGGGTAATAATATTTACTTTTACTTCAGAAAATGTTCCTTCTTTTAAAATATCGTTTTGTTCTAACAGGTTTTAATTGTTGTATTCTTTCTCTCCGGCTTCTCTTCACCAGACAGATTTTCCAGCATCCTATATACCAAATAAAAATGATGGAAAAAGTTTATTAAATATTCTAATAAATATTTTAGAATAAAATTCAATATGAGTTGACATGTAAAGAGAAAAGGTTGGCATTATCCATATTTTTAGGCTTATTAGAAATCCTTCAAAGAAGAAATATTAGTAAAAAACAGAAAAGATATCAATGCGATTAAATAATATGAACAGTAATTATTCAACACATACTGTATACCAACTTTTATTCGCGTGCGAGACATTTTCGCGAAGTTCGCGAGAGCATCTTCGTCGCGAATATTTCTCGCCGCGAACCGGTCCTGTTAGTCTTTGTGTCTATTGACTACAAATCCAAAAAGGCTTGATCGCGAAAATTAATCGTCGCGAACTAGTTTAACCTCGATAAATCGCGAAATAAAGTCGTCACGAATAAAAGTTGGTTTACAGTATACAATTTTTTCCATACAAGGTGAGAAATAAAAAAAAATTGCCATACCTTAAAAAAGTCAATTCCAAAGAAGAATAGTTTTCTTGGCCCAAACAGTCTATCATCATCGTCACCATTATCATCATCGTTGCCATAACTATTATCATCCTTATGAAAAAAAAGCAAGAACAGAATATTCAAAAAATTGTAAAAATAGTATAGTGCATGTTATACATTTATAATATATATATATGTATATATTATACAATTATCGCTGGTTTTTGAGGTCAATACAATGATTTAGCCATCTGAGGAGTACAATATTCACCGTGCCCAAAGGGAAATTATTGACCTCAAAAAACAGCAATAATTGTTTTATTATATGATTCCCTGCTAAAATGATACAGCTCATTACTTGTTTGCATTTCATTACTCAGAAAGTCCTAGCCAAATACAAGAGAGAAGAGAATGTAAATACACCTTACCAGTCATATCAATTTGAAGTTTTTTTTAGCAATTTTAGTTGCCATGAAAAAAAAATATAATGTCAGTCTTTTTTATATGATAGATTTTGAAAGAAAGGAGTATTATCAGGGAAAACTTACTGCCAAAAAGTAAAAAATGTTGTTCAGTTAAAGGGTTGGAGGGGGTTTCCTGCATCCCCTCTTACCCCACTCACCTGAAAATATATGTATTGGATTATTTAAATAATAAATTTCCAAAACAATTTGTATCAATTTGGAATTTCCCGATCTATTTTTAGATTAATGTAGAGGAAATAAATCCTTATATTCACCTGGAATGGCACGTGCAAGTTAATATAACGTAGTATTTCTTCCATATAGTTGGATCTCAGCCAATCAGAGAGATGGAAATTATTCAATCATATAATAAATACTAGTATATGGTACAAATACAAATATTACATCTGAACAATACACGTTTTAATTTAATACCGTAAAGGCTATCTTCTGACCCTTGTTGACTTCTAGTTCCATTGCTTCTACTAGTTTAGGTATATCATTGCAATAATGTTCATCCTGCAGAGATGTTATTTTCTTATCCATAGTTTTTTCACCAACTTCGTCTTTTTCATTTTCTTTAGCCGTGCCATCTTCTTTGACACCGATTTTGTTTTCTCTGTCTCCTATGTATACCACTTTATCCTTTCTCTCTACAGTCTAAGAATTAAAAAAGTAAATTTTTCTTGTGTTTTCATTAAAATTTAATTAAAATTAACTTATTGTGATATAATTTTTGGTTCTTTATACAAAATCACCTTTTTTTTAGTAAAGAATAGAGGCGTACAAGGCAAAGTTGTTATTTCCCCCGCTCTGAAAAAAAATTTCTCAGTTCTAAAAGTTATATTTCTTCAAAATTATATGCTTTGTGTCAACTTTTACACATTAAATTCTGTATTTCATTTTTTTAACAAGGCTGGGGGGTGGCAGCCATTTTCAGACTATTTCGATCTCCTTTAAAAGAAGAGCTCCATATAAAGATGTACAAAAATGATCAAAATTTAAATCTAAAATTTATGAATTTTTTTATTTGTCAATAAAATATGTTAAAAAAAAACAAACAAACAAACAAATGTTGACAGCTTTAGATACCATATCTAAAAAAAATAAGTTAAATCTGGTGGTTACTTTGTGGTTAAATTGTTGACCCCCAGCCTCCTTAATATTTTATTAATAATTTATTTTTTACTCATGTTTAAGATATGTGGAAACAAAAAAAAAAGAAAAAGCTTCACTTATGATTCAAACACTCTCCATACCGCAGAGTTTGGACCACGACCGACCACTTTAACCACTACGCTACGTCTGTCAGTGTGATTTAAATGAAGGGGTTTGTTGAAGCGTAAATTTTTTCAGAAATTCGTTTTTTATAGCTCCATTAAACCCATTTCCCACTAAATATGCTTAACTGTCAACTTTGAAATAAAGATTATCAAATGATAAGTCGTTCAGTAAAATAAAATAATAAAATGTTTTGAAGATGACATTAGTGAGAACATGATTTTAGAAAAACATAACTTTTCTGTGAATTTTGAAAATTGAGAAACATTTTGTCTCAGAGCGGGGGATTGTCCTCGCCTTATACGCCCCCTTTCTTACTGGAAATTCAAATGAGTCAAAAATCACTGCTGTTCAACGTAGAATGAATCATTTTACCTCTACTTTCTTTATGTTTTCTTTTTCAAGAGAGGCCTTTGCCAGTTCCCTTTCTTTGCGTTTTCTTATGAAAGCAGATAGTTTACTGTAATAAATTGAGAGTACATGTTTAAACCTAAAGTAAGTTTGGAAGCTTTAATTATTCAACGTCACATAAAATACAAAAAATCACTAGCTTGAGTACAGGAGATATCCCATCACATTCCATTTAATCTTATTTTCCCTATTAAAAATGGTGACTTACGCTCTAGGTGACTTTGCAATTGCCTGGTTTTTTCTGTCATTTCCAACCACTTTTTCCTTGCCATCTTTGCCACCAGATTTATTTTCTCCGACTTCTTTCTCAACCACTTTATTAATTCTTTTTGCAGTCTAAAAAATAAAAAAGGTCAAGCCTTTCGTTTTCATTAAATATTCAATAATAATCTTTTTGTTGTACATGTATATATTATTGGCTCTTTTAAGGAAAACACAATTTTTAGTAGATTACTGGAAGTTCAAATCAGTAAATCACTGCTGTTAAACATAGAATCATTTTACCTCCTCTTTCTTAATGTTTTGTTTTTCAACTGAGGCCTTGGCTTGTTCTCTTTCTCGCATTATCATATAAGCTTTTAGCCTCCTGTAATAAATTAAATTAAGTGAATTAAGTTTGCAAGCTTTAATCATAAAGAAATCATAAGAGCGGATCACAGAGCCACCCCCCCCCCCCCCTCCCAAAAAAATTATAGATTCATTGGCATTGTCAAGTTCTTTTTTCTCATTTGCAATTACATACAGGTAATTATGATTTTATCATATTTTCCTAATCAAACATTTAATAGCTGATTTTTAAAAGTTTTATGAGTATGACTATTTTAAAAATTATCCAAACATTCTGAAACTATAAAATTTAATTTAAAAAATTCCCATATAAAGAACTTTTAAGAAAGATGGACTTACGCTCTAGGAGAATTTGCAATTGTTTGGTTTTTTCCTCCAATGATACTATCCTTGATTTTATTTTCCTCCATTTTAACTCTCTCCTTTGCTGCTTTTGTCTCCTACAAAAATGACAGAATTGTCACATTATTAACTTTATCACTTGAAAGTGTATGTTATAAATTTGTTTCCAATATCAAAAAGTAATGACTGTTTGTAATGTTACAAAGATTAGTAAATATTGGATTTCGAATCATCATGCAGCATTTGTACCTGATTTTTGGCCTTTTCCTCTTCTTCCACTTGATCTGCCCTTTGATAATCAAATTTGAGAATCTGAAGCTTTGTTTCCTGTAAATAGAACAAAAATTAAATAATGGATCTTCATTTAAATACGTCATGAACATAAAGGGGTGTTTAATTTATTTATTAACTTAAATAAACTAGACATGTAATATGAAAATGACTTAAATTTAAGGCTATTTCGATGAAAATGTTGTCGCTCGCGTTGCGCAGTGGTTTAATACAACGTCTGCCCTAGAGTCACAAAGTAAGGAGTCGATCCTTACGTCGCGGGTTCGAATCTCACGTGGAGACCGGTCCTTCGGATTAGACCCTACAAACCGAGGTCCCGACCGGCAAGTGGTGGCATTTCCATATGAAAGAAAATTTCTCGAGAGGGAAACATACAATCAATCAGTCAAATATTATAGAAAATAAACTCCCGTATGATGGATATACATTTTGGCAAAGATTTTTTTTTTTACAAAAACTACATATACGAGCTTGTACATGTATGTACATTTGTGCAACATTTTATGTTCAACTTCTGGATCGAGTTATAAAGGTGCTTTTATAAAAGCATATACTTACCCAATTTTTAACCGCCTCATCCCCAAAGTCTAAGGGTGTTTTATACCTGCAAAAATATTAATGAATGCAATATTTTACACATTTTATTTATTGTAAAAACCACAACACACCGATACACAGAATATATTATAATAGTAGTTATTCTTGTTTATGAAAGTACTCTAAGTAATTTCTGGGCCAGTGCTTGTATTACCATACCTGTTGTCATTTGCATTGCCATCTTTCTTCTCCCTTGCAATTTCTCTCTCCAGCTTTTTCGTCATCTCTCTTTTCTTCTGTTGTTCTTCCTACCAAAAAAACAATCAGGTTAGTAAAAACATCAATATCTACGAAATGTATGTTTTTATAGATGTCTGAAGTGTAATCATGAACCTTTTTTTTTCTTAAAAAAATTTTAAGAGCCATTGTCACAAAACTATAATAAAACTTCTATTAATTTGTTGAAAAAGTTAGAATCGAGAAATTACATAGATAATTTCTGCGGAGGCAGTAGGCCTTCACAATATTTGATCACGTGACCGACCAACTCCAATTACCACTGAATTTTTAAAAACTTGTTATTTCTTTCTTATCAATAAATATATAACTTATACATAGATAATTTTTATTATATAACTTATACATAGATAATTTCTATTATATAACTTATACGTAGATAATTTGTATTCTTTACCTCCATACGTCTCTCTTCCTCCTCCACAGCATCAACCCATGAATAATCAAATTTTAGGATCTTCAGTTTTGTGTCCTAAAATATTCATTTGAACAACAAGTTAATTTTTTGAGAAATGGAATGCATTAAAAAGATTGAGGAGGATTCTCAATATTCTTTCTTGTCCAGGAATTTGAATTTTTTTGCTTTATAGATCCATCCAAGCAGATAATGTTCCAACCCCCCCCCCCCCCCCCCCAATGAGTCAATTTCCTATGTAAATTTTCTTTGGTATGAGGATATTTCTTTTACTTTACACAGAAGTTAAATAACTCTGAAATATATTGGGAGGGGCGTCCGGGTTATTGAACAATTCATCACTTAAATAAAATTACATATTTACTATTATTTTTTTAATTTCCCAATTAGAGGACGTTTGTCCATCTGTGACGGGGTTGTCTCCGAAATCCAAAATTGCGTTATAGTCCATGATTTTTATTCTACGAAAAGGAGAAATATATATATAGCATAAGGATAAGAAATTTTCTAACACATACTTGAAACAAAATATACTAATAATATGTATAGATCTAAAATATCTGGTTGAGATTTACCTCCGTGTTTTGCCTCTCTTCTTCGCTTTTTGTTGTAGTGATGATTGTTGCGTCACACTGATTGTTACGTTTTTGTAGTCTGGTTATGATGACGTCATACAAATATGTCCTTTGCTTCTTGATTCTGCAGAAAGGGAGGGAGTGGGTTATCGTTCGTCATATATTTGCGTGCCTATAGTATGCTTAGGTAGATTAAAGTTGTTGCTAAAAACCTAAATTTCAGTACATTACATGGCCAGTATAAAAACTTACTCGACTGACTTTTTTTATTTCAAGTATGAAAATAAGTCAGTTTTAATTTTTTTTCTTGATAAGTACGTCGGTGTATTATAAAGGCAAATCATGACACCCATCGAATAATGACCGGGCTGAGGGGGGGGGGGGGGGGGGAGTCGGTTTTCAACGAAAAAATTGACCCCAGCCGTAGAATTTTTTTTGTAGAAAAAGAACCCCAGGGGTCATTTATTTTAATGTGAGGCCTATAAAAAATTGACCCCCGTTGAAAAAAGATCCCTTTTCATTGGCGTCGGAAGCAAATTGAAAGTGGGGAAGGGCTAAGTGTGCAAAAGAATTCCAACGTCCAGAAAGAAAAACCAAATGAAAAGGGAAAGCACGAAAATCTATTTCGTGTGTGTGTGTGGGGGGGGGGGGGTTAGCCTCTCCCTTTTTCAATTATTTAAATTTTAAAATAACACTATATATTATTTTTGTATTTATTAACCCCCTTTAATTTTAGTCCCCCAACCTCGACCACATCGGACCTAGGTAGACAGACATCAGCCCAACCAATGACACCTCAGCCCAAGATGATTGACACGTCGGCCAATATAAGTCGTCTAGTTCGGCCCATTGAAGCATTTTTTTTTTTGGAGAGAAAAAAATTAATCCATCGAATGAATTGATATTAATATTGATGAAATTAATTCATAATCAAAGTTTTACTTAGGAATATATACGAAAAATCTTTAAAAATCTTCTTGAGAACATCAAAGTCATGCATGATTGGTCATATTTGTACAGATGTAGGCCTATCCTCAGGTAATGTAGATTCAAGATTGTTCATGAATCCCGGGGGAAGGGCAGGGCCACAATGGACGATCAATGTTTCACATAGTAATATCCAGGAAAACACGTTAAAAATCTTCTGATGAACAACAAAGCCCTAATTGGTAATTTATATAGAAGTATCCTGGGGTCTAGTGTAGATGCAAATTTATTTAAATCATGACCCAAGGGTGTAGACTTGGACCTCTTTAAAAGTTCATATTTATAGGAAAAATGTCACGGTAATTCAAAATATATGTAATCATCCGTAGTTAGTGTTGGTTCTATTATTTGCTTAGATTTGTAAATGAATGAAGCGACATATCAGGATCGGATTTTAAAAACAACAAACATAATACTATGAGCCTATCAAAACTTTAACTGCAAATATATAAATTCAAAAAATTGTCGTCCCCCGCTTTCGGTGTCTTTGTGGGTGAGATGTCATTGGTTTATGACACATTGTGTCAAATATGAACGCCCTATCATATGTCATTTAAAAATTCTCATTGAAGTTGATTTTTTTAAAAATAAGGTCAATCGTGAAGGTCAAGGGATCAGAAATCATAGCATCCTCGGAAATATCTTGTAACAAGTAATGCACATGTCAAATATGAAAGCCCTATCTCTTCTCAATATAAGAAACAAGATGTGTTTGTGAAACACTGATGACCCGTATGGGTAGATTTAAGGGAAGATTTAACTTTTCTTAAATGCAAATTGAATATATAATATTATAACCCAAAAAAGGGTCCTCTCACAAGAAATACGATTGTGAAATATGAAAGCCCTAACACCCCCTGTTCAAAAGTTATGGCCAGGGATATGTTCTTGAAATGTACGTCAAACTCCAAGGTCAAAGGGTCAAAGTTGTTGGTTTATTAAGAAAAGTCTTCTCCCAAGTATTACATCTGTGAAGTAAAAGCCTTACCCCTAACCATTCAAAAGTTATGACCAAGATTAAAGTTTTTAAAGAGTAGGTCAAACACAAAGGTCAAGGTCAAAGTTCTTAAAATCAAATAAAAGGTCCTGTCTCAAGGATTAAGTATGTCAAGTATGAAAGAACTTGCCCTTACCGTTCAAAAGTTATGGCCACGGTTAAAGTTTTTTCATAAGTACTGGAAAGCTCCATAGTCAAGGTCAAAATTTCAAAGTTGTTTGTATCAAATGAAAGTTCTTGATACAAAGAATACATATGTCAAATATAAAAGTCCTAGAATCTACTGTTTAAAAGTTATGACCAAGGTCATAGTTTTTAAAAAGTAGGTCAAACTCCAAGGTCAAGGTCAAAGGGTCAATGTTCTTGATATCCTATGAAAGGTCCTGTCACAAGAATTATATTTGTGAAGTATGAAAGCCCTAGCTCTAACCCTTCAAAAGTTAGGTTCAAGGTTTGTTTTTAAAAGTAGGTCAAACTCCAAGGTCAAGATCAAAGGGTCATGATTCTTGGTATCCAATGAAAGGTCTTCTCACAAGAATTACATATGTAGAGTGTGGAAGCCCTAGCCCTTACCGTTCAAAGATTACAGCTATGGTTAAAGTTTTTAATTAGTACGGAAATCTCCAAGGTCAAGGTCAAAAGGTCAAACTTGTTGGTATCCAAGGAAAGGCCTTGCCACAAAAAATAAATATGTGAAATATGAAAGCCCTTGTCCTTACCGTTCAAAACTTATGGCTAAAATAAAAGTTAAGAATTTTAGTGTAAAAGTGTGTCAAACTCCAATGCCAAGGTCAAAAAGTCAAATTTGGTGGTACCCAAAGAAAGGTCTTGTCACAAGAAATACACATGTGAAATATGAAAGCCATAGCTTCTCTCAGTCAAAAGTTATGGGAAAGGTTACAGTTTTTGTGACGGATGGGCAGAGAGACGGACAGACGAATGAGATTTAATGTCCCGTCGCTTTCGCGAAAATGGGGGGCAATAAATATTTACAAAACTATTTGTCTATTTTAAGTTTTAGAGTTTTTAACTCGATCTTTTAAATCAATTGTTAAGATAACACAAAGGTACACTTGTAAGCGTGATTAAAGTGTTATGTTTTTGTAGAATGACTAGTAAATCAATATTTATCAATAACGATATTAAGATCTAAAGAGTAACTCATATTTCCCAATGAACTTGTTTGTTATGCATACGCGATTTGAAGATGATAAATTGCAAAACTTATTTATCTACAAAACTTCATGGAAATGCTGAAAGGTTTTATTTTTATAAGCTTCTGAAGAGACTACTAGAGGAGCAATACTTTAAGTAGAGTTAAAAATAATGTTACTTTTGTAATAAACTTTAATTGTGAGTAGCAATGATCAATGTTTCATTAAGCCGATCCGGAGCCAAAACACGTTTACAAATGTGGCGGGAACTAGTCTATGACACTTCCAGCCCTATGACGTCACATGTCAATCAACTTTGTAATATGAACGTGATAAACAGAGACTTATTTTTATAAAATACTGAAAGGATTAAGGACAAACAAGAGGTAAGCAAACGATGATTTTACTTTTTTAAGCCAGCAGTTAGAGCCTAGCTTTACGTGAAGCCCTTGGTGATGACGTCATGCTTGGTAACTGCTAGGTAGCGTTGTGTTTTGGTTACTGTTGTTAGTTACTCACTTCGATCAGTAGCGAGTAGACGTGTTTTTCACAGAGCGATAGCAATCACAAATATCACAATGAAAAGACAAAGATCTTCCGAGAGAAAGAGCCAGAGTGTGTCTAAGAGGGTAATTCTTTAGGAAATAAAATTTTATTGGACTTAAATGCTTGTTTTGATATGATTGATACGGTGCCATTGGATCTTAAAAGGGGGGGGGGGGGTACAAAAATTTCAAAGATGTCGCCTAGCTAGCACAGTGTACTAATACATTTCATATTTCCTCAAATTTGACATTTAAAACAAAACATTATTTTAAAACAATTTAGTGATACCGTTTGAAGAAAATGAGCAAAAATAGATCTGACAGCATCTTACGTATAACAGTATATTATTTTTTTTAATAAAAACACATCAGTACCATATGGTGTTAATAAAGATAGGAATAAGGACCTGAAAGATGTAATATCATTGTGGGGTAGGGGTAGGAAATACTGTAAAAGCACTACCCTAAACCTCACATTAAAGCTATAAACAAAAACACAAAACAGAGGAAATGCGGTAGATCTTACAGATAACCAGAGATTGCACAAATCTTTTTTGTTTTTAATTTTAAAAAAAAGAATCTGCTTTTTCTGGTATATTTAATTTGAATCAAATTAATTTGAATGTTTACTTTAATCAGAAGGTATAAAATATTGAGAAAACGTTTGTTGTAAGTTTTCCGAAAACCTGTAAATAAACATAGGGGAGCGCACTCTATGATTACCGAAAGTTGGGTTGTCCCCCATTGACAATTTTAAAAAAAGAATGGGGGTTTCTTATTCTCAGAAACTAATAACCTATTTGATTTAGATTATAAAATCCTAAATTGCTTTTTAAATATTTTTCGATAACTAGTATATATTTACCTTTTTTTTAAAAGTTTCAGAGAAGAAAAAAATACCGGTCCAAACACTTTAAAAACATCAAATTGCAATACAAGTAATTTCTAATTTATTTTTGACCATTCTACCTGTTATCACTTTACAAAACAGCATAACCAATCTTAATCTTAATGAACATTTTATACTTAGGTCAAACTTCAATAGATATCATACTAGATCAGTCTCAAATACAGATTTTGTTGTACCATTAATTAAGCATAAACAATCTGAATCATTTTATTTTAATGAAATCAAAGACTGGAACATGTTACCAGCAGAAATTAAACCTGTTTTAAATACTAGAAATAATTTCGCTTTTAAAAGAAATGTCAAGAAATTTTTATTGGAAAGGGGAATTGCCCAGTGTAAAAGTCAAGTCGTGTTTTATTAGTTTTTTTTTTTACCGGTTTTACTGTTATAATTATTATTATCATTAGTTGTTCAATTACAATCATGGTAATATTTGGTATATATTTATACTACAATTCATTTTTAAGGATCTCTGTGTTGTCAACTTGATCCCATATCTTAGCTTAAGTATTTATATTTTTCTGTTTATTTTATTTGACATCAAATATACATACCCCATTGGAAATAAGCCATTGGCTTTCATGGGTTATCCTTATACAAATGTAATGTCAATCATATAAATATTCAAGTGTTCCGAAAACTGATTGATTCCGATATTTTATCTTAATTCTATTGTTTAGTGCCAACTTTGACATATATCATAAATTATATTGTCATTCATGCATTGTACATGTAGCAACGTATGATTATGTAGTATACCAAATAAATCTATCTATCTCTCTAACCACAATATAGTGAAATATATTTACAAATGAAAGTCAGTTTTCAACACGCAAAAATATATACGAGTATAACAAGATATAAGCAATATTTTGTTTGCAATTCAAATTTATATATATACTGATGAAAAGGGAATTTAGACTCGTTTGCCTTAAAGAAAAGTAAAAAAAAAGGTTAACTGTAAACTATGAATAGTATATTCCGATTTACAGTATTTAATATGTATACTAAAATTTATCTGGAAGTGTAGTTGAGAAGAGCGAAAATTTTACAGATAGGCCTATATTTCTTTCTTTATAATTTAACTGACATTCCTTATTATTTTCATTTTAGCGCCGTATAGATGTCTCTTCAGATGACAGTCCTCAGTGGTACGAGGTGATGCTTGCCCTGGCGGCAAAATCAGCTGTAAGTCTCTTTCTTTCTTTCTCTCTCTCTATATCTCTGTCTGTCTCTCTCTCTCTCTCTCCTTTCAGTAGATACAAAATGTATCTATAGCTTCTGTCTTTTCTCTCCAGTGAATACTCTCTATATTTTCTATCCTTCCTCTCCAGTGCAAACAAGTCTTTACTTCTGCTGCTCATGAATGGAAAGAGCACATTAAAGACTGGGTAAGAGTCTGAATGTGTTACATGTAAAACTCATTTAGAACATTTATAAATATCATTTTATGTGGGTCATATAAATGATCCTCTGTTTTATCAGAAAAGTACAATCTTTCATTTTTTATCAGTATGAGTTGACCCATGCCATCAACAAGTCTGAAGAGCGTAGGGAGCTACCCACCATACCTCAACCTACGCACCAGGTACGTACCTCACTCAACATTGTTCGAACCCAATACATACTTTGTAATCATTAATATGTATAAAGTTTGGAGAGAAACCTTTTATATCCTTTGTCTTGTAATTAATATTTAACTGTAATTTACGATGTTTTCTCTTACTGTATACAGATAGAATGGTTGGCTAGAGTGAATTTTAAGCACAGACCCATGCGCCGAAACGTACCAGAACATAGACGTCATAAAGTCTCCAAGAAACAAGACCTGAATTCCTCCTTTTACGTCTACTAAAGAGGAGGAGGATTTTGGTGAGTTAATCCACCGGAAACCTGTATATTATATGTGATTAAAAAGCCTTATACTTACGTAAGTCTTTATCTTCATTAATGCTACCCTGCAGGTCTTGAACAGAAAGTTGCATTATATACCGTATGTAAAACTCCCTAACTTTTATGGGGTTTTTTTATGCCCCTGTAAACGAAGTAAAGGGGCATATAGTTTTTGTCGTGTCCTTCCGTCTGTCTGTCTCTCTGTCTGTCTGTTTGTCTGTTTGTCCGCAAAAACTTTAACCTTGCCCATAACTTTTGTTTTAATGGAGCTATGACTTTCATAATTCACATGTGTATTTTTTGTGACAAGACCTTTCTTTGGGTACCACCAAATTTGACCTTTTGACCTTGACCTTGGAGTTTAACCCACTTTTACACAAAAATTCCAAACTTTTACTTTGGCCAGTAGGTACCGGGACATTTATACTTCACATATGTATTTTTTTTGTTGAAAGACTTTTCATTGGATACCAACAACTTTGACCTTGACCTTGGAGATTTCCGTACTTGTGAAAAAACTTTAACCTTGGCCATAACTTTTGAAAGGTAGGGATAGGGCTTCCATACTTCACATATATAAATAACATAATCCTTGTGAAAAGACCCTTCATTGCATACCACGAACTTTGACCTTCTTTTTAAAATTTTTAACCTTGGTCATAACTTCTGAACGGTTAAGGCTAGGGCCTCCATACTTCACAAATGTATTCTTTGTGGCAAGACATTTCATTGGATACAAATTACTTTGACCTTTTGACCTTGACCTTGGAAATGTCTGTACTTGTGAAAAAAACTTTATCCTTCGCCACAACTTTTGAACGGTAAGGGATATGGCTTTTATTCTTCACATACATGTATGTTATCCTTGTGAGAAGACCCTTCATTGATTGGATATCAGACCTTGGAGTTTGGCCTACTTTTTAAAATCTTTAACCTTGGTAATAACTTATGAACTGTTGGTGCTAGGACTTTGATACTTACCATATATAATCTTTGTGACAAGGCCTTTCTTTAGAAACAAATAACCTTGACCCTTTGACCTTGACCCCGGAGTTTGACCTTTAAAATCGTTAACCAGGGCCATAACTTTTGATCAGGTGGTGCTAGGGTTTTATATTTCATATGCATTTGATCATGTTTGATTTTTATAAATTTGAGAAAATTTAAAACTCGGTATGTTGCCATACGGGGGCATCAGTGCTTCACAAACACATATCTTGTTCTTGTTGTTTTCATGGCACAAATAGACTATCGTTTCATGTCCTTTCATGGAAGTATTAAATTTCATACTTTATGTTTTTCTCCAGAAACAAAATAAAATCGTAACAACTAACCCCCGAGTCCTTAAATGCTACATACTCCATTTTTATCAACCTGTATTGTTTGATAAATATGCTAGATCGTGTGTACGTTCTGATAAATCATCTTATTTCTTGTAGATATGGTGCAGATAGATGAGATAGTTTGCAAGAATCTGAGACACACTGACTGTCACAAATCCCACAGTACCGTGCACTGACTGTTCTTGTATTTTGTGTACCACACTTTTCATGGACCAAAGTGCCAGATTATACATTGTGCTATTTTAATTACAATCTCAGTGCTAACATCACCGCCATCATAGTGCCATGTACGAACTGTGCCTGTATTTAGTGCAACATACCTTTCATGGACCCTTATGTGTTTGACTACACGTACATAATGTGTTTTACAGTGCAGCTGTGCTAAGTCCTGTTGATGCACTACATTTTACCAGGCGCTATGTGTGACTTTGCATAGACATTGTTATATAAGACATTTGCTGCATGTTTAGCAGATGTGATTTATTTCCTTATTTGGCAAAGTTTTATTTGCCATTATTTTGTAGAATCACCATTACTATTATAATTTTTTTTATTATTTCTTTTCTAAAATCGGCCTAGTTGATGGTTCTTGAGAGGAGAGCATTTCTCATATACTTTATATAACTCATTTACTATTTTGTATATAGTATTTGCATGTTACTGTAAATCAATTTTTATTCGCTAGAACTTTATTTTCGCGTAATTACGCGAGACAGTGAGCACGCGAAAATTTCATTCTCGCGTATAATAGTATTGCTTAAGATTATATAGAGAAATATTATCAATTCGTGAAAATTATGTCTCGCTTATAAAGAGTCAATGACTATCTCGCGAAAATAAGATGTCGCGAAAATATAGTGATCTACAGTACTTTTGTTGTTGTTTTAATATTCTTTACACAGATGAGTTTTGCCTTAGAGTTACATTTCGTCATCATCATCGTCCTTTACACCCTGTGGTATGTAGAGCAGCAACAGACTTCTTCCACTCTTGTCTATTCTGGCCCAGCCTAGTTGATTCCCCTGTTTGGAACATGGCTTCCATCTCTGTCACTTTTTGCCGTCCTTCTCCAAGATGGTCTTGGCCTCCCACTTGTTCTGCCATCTTGGAATCCAGTTCTTGTTGTTGACAGGGTGTCTTTTCGTGGAGGTTGCCCTATCCATCTCCATCAGCGTTTGGTTATGATGGTACATATATCTTCTTGATTGCATCAGTGCAACAGATCTTCATTTGTAACCTTCTCAGGTCAGAAAATCCTGAGTATTTGGCGGCCGAGGCATGTGGTATGGAAGGACCGTAGTTTGCTGAGATCTGTTTTTGTTATTCCCTAGCATTGCGATCCACGTAGAAGAGCTGATACAATACAGCTCAGGTAAAGCTTCATCTTGGTGCTGGTGTTGTACTGTGCAGACCTCCAGATCTTATTCATTTCTCTAAATATTCTCCTGACCTTGCCCAGTCTGCTGTGGATGTCTTCCTTTGTGTCGCACTCGGCAAATATTAAAATACGTATATGTGTATGTCACACTCATAATAAAATCAGGTGATATATACGGAAGCGTATTTAGATATAAGATAAAGATTAACAGATCCTTGCACTTTCACAACTATAACTTTATCCTCAATATTTAAGAAAAGAAGCAATTTTGTTTTATTATACTTTCATGTTAAATGCTAAAATCTCATTGGTTTAGACGCAGTTAACAATCCGTTCTATTACCCTCAGCCTTAGCAACACACGTGGCAACGGGTAACACAACGGTAATGCTACATGCGTGGAAATTATGCGCGTACGGTTCACCGTAGAATTCTAAAAGCGTCAGTTGCGCGTTTGAAAGAACCGGAATAAACCTAACTTCAGTAAAAGCTTGCGTCCGATGTAGCTTACTTGAAAACAACAAACGACAGACGAAACATGCTTGCAAGTGCAGAAATAACGAAACTTTAGATGACAAAGGACTCTTAGGGTATCAAACAAACAATAAAGAGGTCAGTAAATCTTTTTCAAAGAAGCGGGGAGTTTGAAAGCTTTCTAAACGTGAACGTAAAGACGATCGACGATTTTTTTTGCTGACATCTTAAATCAACAAAACATTCAGTATAATGAAATAAATGGTACCTATTTGGAGGGTAACAGTTGAAATTGACACCCCTCGGAAAACCATTGTCAACCTCCGCTGACGCGTCGGTTGACAATGGTTTTCCTTGGGGTGTCAATTTCAACTGTTACCCTCCAAAACAGGCAACATTTATATAATGTTAATGAAAAACATTACATCTATAATATATTTCTGCCACACTTGTCAGATATTTACATTAATTATTTTTCTTTATTGTTCTAACTATCTGATTGGCTCAAACTGGATCACGTGACCAAGTATAAAAAGTGTTACGGACTGGATGTTTCTATTTCAAAAATTTATAAATCTGCTGTTTATAAAATTGGAAACGTTATTCTGTGAATCAACAATAGTGCTATCGTCACAATAGTCTTTATAAACTGGATGTTTTTAAAAACAGATACAGCAGCTTGTTTTCATTACTGTTAAGTCATAATACAATGACATAACAATGCATTATATGAGAAGGTACTGAGTACTAGAAAGAAGGATTTTAAGACATTTCTTATAAACTGATGGAAAATAATAAAACAATTGTAGCCTTTTGATTCGGTACAATCCCTCGATATTATATAGTTTGCAGCAAACTGTAAAGTTTCACGTTACGTCACGATCTTATTGACAGCTGTGCTCAAGGTAATTTGTACACGCCTCCTAACCACAAGCTTTACGACTTTCTTCTTATCCCCGATTGGTTGCAACAGACTATTTTCGTGTCAGTGCTGATAATTTGAGTTGACCAATCACGTGAGTTGTTTACGCTGGATGCATCTGAAGAAAAAGATCGTGACGCAACATGAAACTTAAACAGTTAGCTGCAAACAATAATATATAGACCTTAGAGAAATGCTTTCTCTAAGGTCTATATATTAAGGGATTGACCTCATCAAAAGGCTATAATTGTATAGTATATCGACTTTTCAAATCTTTTTGTTGTTTTGTCAGATAATTATGTCCAATTGTCACTTATTCTTTCAACATGAAAATGTGCCCATGTCACGTCTATTTAGGTCATCAACATATTTTTCTGGCGAGTCGACCCAAGTATCTGACAAGTCAATATAATAACATAATCTTTTTACATGTCTACGTAACATGAAATGAAATGATGTTGACCTGTCAGAGAAATTGATTAGATGTACTTGTCAGAAAATTATGGCGACTCGTCGTATATCATGGTAACAAGTAGATGTCAGTTAGTGACTTGTCACATGCTGTGAGGGGGCCTGATCTGAACAAACATAAATTTACACTTACTGAAAATACCTCTGAATGTGTTAATGGAGATAAATGAAAACAAATACATGCATGCCATATATGGTTGTATAGATAAATTATCGTAGAAGACAATGGTAAATTAAAAAGTGTGCCAATGATTTCATCTGAAAGTGTAAATGAATTCGTTTCTGAGGAGGGGGTACTTAGTGTGATTCGGAGTTAGATACCTTGTGGTATAATCTTACTATGGGTTAAAAATTTATTTTCGAAACAAGTGCCTGTGATTTCAGTGTAAAACTGAAATTCCCTATTGTGTCTCCGCCCTACCCCGGGGGTCATTATTTGAAGAATTTAGAATCTGGTTTGAACATATTTTATTGCACAAAATATATACAATGGGATTGGGCACAAGTTCTAAAAACTTAAATCGCCCTCTCCCTACATGAGATATTATAACAGGATGAATTAGAAGTGTTCAACAGTTTGTACAAAATAAATAACAAGTAAATTAAATAAACTCTCATTGTGGACATATATAGACTGCTATATTATTGTGTATACAAATAGTTTTAAAAAATGTGTACAATCAGTTAAATCTACCAGAATGCTGAATATAAGAATGTACAATAGAAAATAGATATTCATTTTCAGCAATACTGAGTGATGTATCCCCCCAAAGTAAAGTCTGAATGTCAACAATATGGACTTTATTAAATCTCAAAAACTTATGAAAAACTCTTTCCTGGCCTCGTTGTAGTTAGGGCACGAGAAAAAATAATGATGCGTATTTTCTACCTTACCGCAGGAACATAGTGGACTAGATATTATATTACATCTATAAAGATCAGCGTTTAGCACGCAATTGTGCCGAAGCCGTGCATGCAGTATATTGTTGCGTCTTTTACCAAAATTAAAATATGGCGGAGCTTCTGTTATTTTTTGTTTAATTTTACTTTTGAAAACAGACAAAGAGCTCGAAAGTCTGGTATTTAGCGGTAAGGAATTCCACTCCTTTATTACAGTTGGTACAAATGATGATTTGTAGGTTTGCAATTTACATACAGGTATACTATAATTTTGAGAGTTTCTTGTTCTATATGCAGAAGCATTACATCGCATATCAGGTATATCTATATTTAGAATCTACACTACCATTGGATGCCTCCACATAAGTTTCAGCTTTTCTGACCAAGTGGTTCTTGAGAAGAAAATTTTAAAAGATTTTTTCTATATACATGTAATTTAACGTAAAACTTAAATTCCCTATTGTAAATCCATCCAGCAGCCGGGGGTTATGATTTTAAAAATATTTAATCTACACTACGCAAGGATGCTTCCACATAAGTTTTAGCTTTTCTAGCCAAGTGGTTCTTGAGAAGATTTTTCCTTTCCTATACTAGTATATTTCAAGATACAAGTACATGTAAAATTGGAATCCCTACTGTGGCTCCATCCTATCCCTGGGGATCATGATTTGATCAATTTAAAATCTCCACTTCACCAGGATACAGCGGACCTTCAGATATCCGGACACCAGATATCCGGATGCTTCAGTATCTGGACGATTTTTCATCATTTTTAAAAAATATTTTCTTTTGTTTAACTGGTAATTCAGATATCCGGACGCTTCACATATCCGTACAAATTAACTAGGAACCAAAGCGTCCGGATAAATGAGGCTCCACTGCACTTCCACTAGTTCCACATAAGTTTCAGTTTGTGTGGCCCTCTGGTTCTTGAGAAGGATTTTTGAAGATTTACCTATATATTTCAATGACCAGCAGCAGATGAGATTTTCAAAGAATTTATTAGTAACTAGTGCTAATTGTAACGGGGACCGTTACAGATGTTCCCCAAACGCTCCCCAACTCCCTTTTGGTGCCATATTCCCTGTAAGCTTCATTAAATAAGACAAACTGTATGCATTTGGGACTTTAACATGTTCCAAGTTCATTCAAATTTTAGCATTGCACGCGTGCGCATGTGAATGCATGTGCGTAATGACCATATCATCTTATCTACAAAATCTATATATTTTAAAATACTAAATATTAAAGTATTTAATCCAAAAGTATTAAAAATACGCTCTTTCACGTATATTTTTGATTTAACTCATTTCACGTGCACGCACGTACATACATGAGCATGATGACCATATCTTCTTGTAGAAGTCCATTACATCTATCTATGTTCTAAATCCCACCTCGTTTGGTTGAAAACCAAGGGAGTTATAGCTTTTTAAAGTTTCAGCCAATCA